ATTTTGATTGGCAAACTAATTGTAAAATTCAAAAAGTGTTTTCCTGGTGCATAATTGTCAATTTTATTATGTTTCAATAGTGTCTATCATGCATTTATTGAACTTATATACATATTAGTTACTGGTACAAATGTTAAAAGAATAAAATGTTTCCTTAGATAAAAATATTTCAGTTATTTTAAAGTGGGGTTTAGTATAATTATAAGATTGAAATATATTTCATAAAATGAACACCTGATGCGATATTTTGACACAGCCACAAGTGATAAAATAACACCATTATAACATTAAATGAAATATAATTTGATCTACCAATTGCAAAATAGTTATTTCATCTATTTTTTAAAGGTTTTAAGGCACTTTGATTTTTGTCTGTGTATCATCATAATATATATTACTTTATCACATTATGTTTATATTCAAAAAATAATTCTGTAGTATTTCATGAATTCTGTTTGATTTTTAACTTATGTGCAAATATTTAAGTGCTTAATTTCTCATCATTATATCACATTATACTAATGACTAAGTGTATTTCTCACAATATGTCCATTTATTACATGCTTTTCAGTGGACAGTAAAATTATAAAATATAATTATCACAGTAGCCAGACTATATCTAAATGCGGATGAAAAGAATATAACTTAAATACATAGAAATACTGTCCGATTGCTAATACACACCATAATATGAGTAAAATGTGCTTGAATACGAAAAAACACATAAATATCTAGTTTATCTACACAGTCATATCATTTTAAAAATGTAACATTATTTCGTAAAAGTTTACAGGATTATTTCTTAACAAGAACTATGTGACATGATGATTTTATGACATCATTAATGAGAGCGCATGTCTTTATTTGGCAAAAGTCAGGAAAAAATATTAAAAACCGATAAAAAGCATGGAATAAATAGCAAATTTGTTTTTTATATGCAAGATCATATTATATTTTGTAAAATTATAGTCACAAAACAATTTTTTTTATAAATTGAATTAATGATATTATGATATATCTTTTAAATTTGCAAAATGTCTAATGTGTTAGTAAGTAATTTCTCAATAACATAATGTATTTTTTACCAGTACCTATTTAAATTAAAAATAAAAAAGAGACTTAAAGCTGCATGCCTCCAGATGAACCAAAATATTTCAATAAAACCAAACTTGGAACAAAAAGTATTCAGATTTCAAGAAAAAGTAAAAAGATTCAAGATAAAAGTAACAATTCCATGTTATGTGCGATTTATGACTGATTTTGCAGTATTTTCAACCTTAGTTCTATTGCATTACTAACACAGGGCTATTTTTAGCATATTTTGACCTATTTTTGGTAATTTACACGATTTGTAAGTGCTGTTTTGCAATGTGAAAGTTATTTTCTTTTTTCCACTTCACAATATTTTACTTTATAAACATTTTCAAATTTTTCATGAAAATCAGCATGAATCTGGAGGTGTGCTGCTTTAAAGGATTGTAAAATTCCTACAATGGAGGGGTTAAAAGCAGTCCTTTAATTGTGCATCAACAAGGATGCATTCACAGCCCAAGCATGCATGCAATGCTTTCTAGCACAAGTACCATATGTTCATCATTTCATTATTTGTGTCATTGTAGTCAGTTTTTTTTACATGGGAATGTGTATAAAAACAAACGATATGACTAGAATGAAAATTATTATCCTATTCTTGTGTTTGATGAGATAATAAGTCAAGGTTGCCATCACTTGTACCTGCTATATATTTTAGTAGGGTATAAATTACTGATAATTATGCAAATATGTAACAATATCAAATTATACTATAATTATAATATGGTCTTAAAACAGCCCCAAACCATAATATGCCTTCAAAAAATATTATTTAAGAAATCAAATTTATTTTCAGAAAGTAATCATATATTCTAACTTGATAGATAAAAGACATTCTTAACTTTCAAGTTATTGCAAAAGTAATCTATCTTAAGATAGAATAGTTTTGCACAAGATTTAGGAATCAAAGGGACATATTTTATAGTGTTAAAGTATTCTAACTCAAGATAGAATAGTTTTGCACAATAAATATTCAGGAAAAAGTAGCTTTTCTAGTGCAATACTAGGCTATGTTAACACGTAGGCAATAAAATGCATATTTTACACTTTTCTTAAAAAAAATGAACATGTACACAACTTATTTCTATTTTTTGATAAGATTGGTTGTGATTTTTTTTTCAAAAAATGAAATCACAATAAAATAACATATTTTTTCCATTTCCTGAAAATTTTTCAAAATACAAGTTAGAATAGTCTTGCGCCGAGCCCTCGACTTCATATTAATAAAAAGTCAGTCAATTGTAATGCATGCAGGAATACCCTGAAAATCACATGACATTGGTTAATGAAGACTAATAATTTATTAATCTTAGTTGTTATTGCAGTGGATAAAGTCAACAGTCCTCGGGTTTTATTCAGACATTGTTATCACTGATCTTCAAATTTGTAATGTTGTATAAAAATTGCATGTAATCCCCTAAGTAAAATTTAATTGTTTTGATATTAAATTGTTGTGTTTTTTTAAACATTTTGTGGTATAACAGTATTTATCATAGCGCTTATTACACACTTACCCTGTGATATTTCTTTTAACCTTTACCCTGCCAGCGGCAACTAATTCTACCCATGCAACCAGTGCACATTTGTGCTGTCTGATCTTGGTCTGCACTGTTAGCTATTCAGCCAGTACTTATTTTGAAATTTTCCCTATGACTGATCTAGATCAAACAATGGGCAAGTCCATTTCAGATAAACGAATATGCATAACACCATTAACAGAGAGTTCTCTGTGGAACTGACAATTATCATTGACATAAATTTAGGAAAGCTTTCTTAATGATATCTGAATATTGGAGAGAACTTTCTTATCATTACAGCTTTCTACAGTCTTTAACTATTGATTCTGTAAATTGTAATGTTAGGCTTTTGATGGATGTTTCTTTCTAAATTTAATGTGATAGATGGGTTATAAATACTGTAAAATGAGACATTTTCCAGGAGAAAAAACGGGCAAGAACAAAGAACATGTCAACTTAGTTGTTGTTATCTATTCGAGTAAATATTCCATATTTAATTCTTATCTTTATTGTTACACAGTGAGAATTTTATTTTGGTTTTAAGATGTTTTAAATGCAGAAAGATACGCAAATGGCAAATGTATGTACACACATTATGTTTATTGAAGTGGATATTGTTTATTAGATTTACACTTTTACTGCAAGAGGTTTTATTGTATATAATAGGGTAATTGAATTTATTTGAAGTTAGTGAAGGTTGTTTTTGAATGTAATACATGTTAGGAAGTTAACATTTTCTTAATATTAGGAAATAGAAGTTAATTCATGGCAAACAAATGCTGGAAAATAGGTTTTAACTTTTTGAATCAACTCAACTCAAGTAATTTTATTGGCAATTAAAACAAATAAATCTTGAATATGGAAGTGACTAGAGTAGTTTGTATTTTGCAAAGTCACTATCTAATTTTAAAGGGTTACGACTAGGAAGTGCAATTTTTATAATGATTGTATTTTTAATATTTTTTCAAGGTTTATCAATTGATTTTCTCTTGACTAACAACCTAATTATCAGTAGTCAAGTTGCCAATTAGCACAATCATGATTGTGTGGAGTAGAAGGAATTAGAGATACAATTACTGCATTCCATGTGCTCAACTGTCACCTTAACTTATATGATAACATAAGATATGCTACCTCACAATGTATGTTATTGTAAAAAATATGCCATAAGCCTTGGATTTATATCGGAGGCAATTTTATTAACACTTGTGTGAACAGGCATTAATGTGTTAGGTTATGATAAAGTCAGCTTTGATTTAAATGTCAGGCTGAAAGTTGGCTGCATGCAGAGTTTCTTATAGAGGAAAATTAACTATAGAGCTTGATTGCTTTTAAGCTCCATGAGCAGGAAATATAAAACTGGCTTCAAAATGATGTAATACATCTGTGGGCATTAACAACTTCTCTTGTTTGTACATAATGGAAGTTAAAAGAGAAAATTGTAAAGATAATAGTAGATCAACTGTATCTCTATGATTTAGAGATTATTTTAGAGGTGAGGGGATTGTGTCTATCAGAGAGGAGAAATGAGATTGTAATATTAGAGATTGTTTGAGTGTTAGATGAAAGGCTTTGATGTCAGTGTTAACTATTTAGAGAAGACTGTACTAAGGAATTTTACAGTATTGTCTGTAATCATCCAGCGATAAAACATTGCTATATGCAACATCTGAAAACAATTGTTGGAAAACAATAATCAATAATGAAATGTAGCATTTTGTAGTTTAACCAGATTTCCAATAGTTTTCTTCTCCTAGCTTAAATTATAACATCTTATTTTATATAGGCATTTATTGTGCTGAGTTTTTGTTAAGAAGGTGCTAAAGCTGTCATTTAAATGGATATAAATTAAGATTTAGCTGTTTTGGGCATTCTTTAGGGGTGTGTTTTTTTTTATTTGAAAGACAGATGTATTCATGAAAAAAAAAAGTTGTATCAAATTTTCAATTGGCCTAGTCTTACTTTCAAACAACCTTTATTTCCTGTGAATGTATCTTTGTTTTGGATTGCTATGACCTTAGATTTAATTGTTGTCATTGAAATGTGTCCATTGTGTTCATTTAGTTTTTCCTAATTACTCTAATTACTTAATTTATTGATTAACAAAGACCTGTTACATGAATGTAGTTTTGTTACTGTTATATTGAAATAATCATTTCCTGTCATAAATGGATTTACCTTTAAACTATAAAGTGACAGTTAGAGTGTATGTCAGTGCTTCAAATAAATGTCTTGATTGTATAATAACAATATTGATTGAAGGGAACTTGTGTTTTTGAATTTTGGATAAATATATCATTATTATTCAAAGACAGACTGACAGTGTTTTGTTGTAAAAAGAACTCAAAATATTATCATTGTTAAATATTTTAACAATTTATATACTTTCAGGATTGTAAGGTAAAAAAGAGTTCCCCACACCAGCCTACAGTTTTATCAGTGCCAACATTTACCACAAACACACTAGGCAACAATTTCCAAAATAAAGTAAGTCAAGTTTGAAAAATACTTCTTTATGCACACTATTAAGTGATTAATGTGTACTAGATTGAATATTACTGATATTTTATTAAATAAATAAAAAAATCCGTAATTCTAAAGTGTGATTACTAATTAAACCTGTTCTTTTTAACGTTACACTTTCATCAATATGACCATTAAAAGTTAAATTTATCATTCAGTGAAAATATTTTTCCAGCATATTTATTCATTTTTTCTTTCTTCTTAACTAGTAGTATTAGTAGTTCTTCATTTACTACATTTATTAGTGGTAGATTAGAAGAGTTGATGACACTGTTTGAAAATAAAAAAAAATCATTTTTCTCTTTCTAGTCGGCCATTGACTTGTCTCGTAAAATATTGCCAATGACAAGTAATCCTGAAACTACAGCATCATTAGATAAAAAAGTTTTGCAGCAGGGTCTTGACCTTGGAAGTAAGAATCTATCGGAAACTAGGAAAAACAGTTGTTCCAATTTGAGTGGATTAGCTTCAGGGTCTTGTGCCAGTAGTTCTGCATTTACTAGTGGTAGACATGATCATAGATCTTATCAGCAGGATTATAAACTCTTCCCTTCTCCTGCACACAAAAACACTGTTATCGATAGAAGCAAAATAACTGCCGTGCCTGGTGCTGAGTTATCAGACAAAAAACTTGTCACAAATTTATGCTATTCTGGATCCAGAACCCTATCTGACAATGAATCCTTAACATTTACCACAGGACAAAGAAGTAAAGACAAAGTAATAGCAAGTACGCTTTTTGGAAATGTATCCAACCAGAATATATGTGTGAAATCAGAGACTGGTCAGACTTCTGGTATTTCTGCCAATGTTAGTGATTACAAAAGTGCTCACCCTATAGGCTCTCGAAAAGTGACGGAAAATGTTATTACATACCATGAACCAATGTTTCAATCTGTAGCAAATACTTTATTTGAAAATCAAAAGAATTTAATGATGGGGAAGCGCAAGGCAGAAGAAGAGAAAATGAGAGAAGATGGCACTTTCCAGGAAAGTAAAAAAATCAAACTTGAAACAAATACAAGTCCAAATAAAGGCGTTGAAAATAAAACAACTGTGGTTAAAAAGAAGTCCATAGAAAATATTATTGAAAGAATCAGGACAGAAAAAACTCAGTCAAGGGGAGGTTGTAGTACTCAAATGTTGAAACAAAATGTGGAGGATACAGAAAAAAGTGATGCAAGCAGAACGTTATGTGAAAATGATAAAACTGAAACAATAAAAGTGCAATCTGATCTTGTTCAATTAAAAGAGCCTGAAAAATCTGAAACAGATTTACAGAAGTCGGTGGAAGCAAACTCTAGTCAAAAAGATGATACTTCTAAAAATTCTGAAAAAGATGATGTGAAACATAACACTAATATTGACTTAAAAGTTAAAAAGTTTGAATTAGAAGGTAACACAGCTGATAAAGCTGACATAAAACAAAGTTTGCCTGCAGAACAGATGGCAAAGAAAACAACTGATAGCCCTGTCAAACAGAAAAAGGTGAATAGTCCTCCTAAGTTAAAGAAAGAGAAAAGTCTGGTAAAAGTAGAAAAAAGTCTAGTAAAAATGAAAACTCCAGAAAGTAGTCCATCAAGATCTAAAAAAAATGACATAACTCCATCAAAACAAAAGAAAATAGATGCTCAATTATCCAAAGAAAAGAAGCAAGAAAATGTCTCATCAAAAAAATCTGTTGAAAGTGCAAGTGAGATATCACTGAAACATGATGATATTTCATCAAAACAGAAAGATACTGCACCAAAACAGAGAGATATTGGTCCTTCAAAACAAATAAATAGTTCATCACAAAAGGAAAGTAATTTACCAAAACAGAAAGTAGGAAGTTCACCAAAACAGAAGGATAATAATTCATTAAAAAAAGTAAATAATTCAGTAAAACAGAAAGAAAATGACTCACAAAAACTGAAGGAAAGTGCTTCATCCAACGAAGAGGAGTCAAATTCATCTGCAATAAAAGAAAATAGTTCACCAAAGCAAAAGAAGGCAGTTCAAAATAAGAATAAAAATAAGAAAGAATTTGAAGATCAAAGTGTTGAAAATATTTGGAAAAAAGCTGATGGAGGTGTTTATGAAAAGTCTGTTACAAAACAAAAGAAATGTGAAGATAAGGCCAATGTAAAGGTTAAGAAACCAACTATGAAAAAAGATGCAAAGGAAAAAATGAAAAAACAAGATAAGAACTTTGCTGATACTATAAAAGAAAAGAATATTGAAATTATCAAGAAAACAATAGGTGAAAAAGTGAAAGTGAAATATAAGAAACTAAAAGTAGATGCTGATAAACCAAGTGAAGAACCAAAGAAAAGAGGCAGAAAGAAAAAAGAAGTGACACAAGCTGCTTCAAAAAGTTCAAAGGAAGGAAAGGTAATAACAGTCGCTAAAAGTGCCGGAAGAAAACAATGTGCAATAAAAACAAACTCAAATCTAAAAACTAAAGTGACAAAACAGAGAAAACAGAAATTGCCAATAGCACACAGGAGAGTGAAAAGGGAGGCCAGTTTAAATGCTACAATGTTCCTTAACATTTTAAATGAAAAGTCTCCTAGAACATCAAAGTTAGATCCTCAAAGATCAAAGTCAGATTCTGATATCAAAAATTTCAAAGCACTCAGTGTAAATACAAGTCTTAGCTTGAATAATGTAGCTCTAAATGAAAATAATGAGAAAATTGATTCAAAACAGACTTTCCTCATTCCAACCGGTTTGAAAAGTCCAAAGAAAGAAAAAGTAAGTCCAGCTAAGCAATTTTATGGAAAAAGCTCTAGTTTAGGAAAACTTACAGATCATAATGATTTTGTAACACCAAAAAAAGAGCCAAAGTCACCAGTTAGAACTCCAAGTCCTAAACGTAAAGTGAGCTTTAGTGATGATGTTTTTGAAGATGTGTTTGAAGCTGTAATTCAAAGAAGTATTGAAGAAACTAAAGAATTTAAGGTGCCTGGCAAAGTTAGTAGCAGTAGAAAAAATAGTAAACGTTCTGAATCATGTGACAAAGGTAAAGGAAAAAAAGATTATCTTAAAAAGAAAGACAAAAAGGGTAGTTTGAAAATTAAATCAGATAAAAAGGAAAAGAAATTCAGGTTGAAAAAAATTAAACAGGCCATTAAAATGACAGCATCTAAATCACCAGAAGAGGTTGCCGAGAAGAAAAGGAAAGCAAACTTAGCAAGATTAGAAAGAGCTAAAGAATTAATGAAAACAGAGAGAAAAGTATCTGAGAAAGGTGTAGTGGAGGAAAAAGTTTTGATGATTTAAATTTGATGTCATAAAAAAGATACAGGATTCATTGGATCAGGTAAGCTGAAACGAAAAATTTGATAAAGTTAAAAAAATTTAAAGGCAAAAAAAGGGTGCCTTATTCGTGTCTAGAACACATTCTCTGTTAAATCAAAGACCGTTGTAGAGAATACAATGCCGTCACCAAGATGGTGTGAATGTTGCCAGTCTAGTTATTATCCTTACCAAACAACTCAGGGAACTCAAGTTTGGAGAATAAAACACCTGGTCGACAAAGATTCCTCTAAATCACCGGAGCCGATTCAGAGTTCCAGCAATCATTTCATTGCGGCGCATGCTAGATGCGAGGTCAGGCCGTATGCCTCACCTTCTCATGTTTCTATGATAGAATCAAATCCTTATGTTGGTCAGATTATGCCACATGGCCATATACAATGTTCTGCTTGTAGTTGTGGACATAGTGGTGTATTTCATCCAGGACAGTGCCAGAACTGTACTCTAGGTGGTGTGAGCAACATGTTACCATGCCAACGGTATGGAGGCACCTACTCTGTTACATACCCACATACACATGGCTCATACACACATTGCGGTAAGTTGCATTAACTTCTCTACATTATAATATTTCTCTTAAGGATTAAATATAGGAAAGGTGAGAAAAGAAAATTATTTAAAAAATTATGTTTCATTCAGAACTGAAACTAGAATCAAACTGATGGTAATATATGTATGACATGGATGCTTGCTTTTTAGCTCGACTATTCGATAAGAATAAGTAGAGCTATTGCAGTCACCCGAGCGTCAGTGTCAGTGTCGGCGTCTGCGTCGGCGTAACCACTTATGTTAAAGTTTTTGTAATAGTTCAAATATTTTCGAAGTCCATTGACATATGGCTTTGAAACTTTGCACACTTGTTCACCATCATGACCCCAACCTGTAGACAGGAGGAGGTAACTCTATCAAGCATTTTGACAGAATTATGCCCCTTTTTAGACTTAGAATTTATGTTAAAGTTTTTGTAATAGTTCAAATATTTTCAAAATCCATTGACATATGGCTTTGAAACTTTGCACACTTGTTCACCATCATGACCCCAACCTGTAGACAGGAGGAGGTAACTCTATCAAGCATTTTGACAGAATTATGCCCCTTTTTCGACTTAGAATTTATGTTAAAGTTTTTGTAATACCTTAAATATTTTCAAAGTTCATTGACATATGGCTTTGAAACTTTGCACACTTGTTCACCATCATTACCCCAACCTGTAAACAGGAGGAGATAACTGTATCAAGCATTTTTTTTTACTATCAAGCACTAAGAATAGTCGAGCGTTGCTGTCCTACCGACAGCTCTTGTTTATCTTCTTAAATGTTATTTATTTATTCTTTTGATAGAGAAAAAGACGTTAACATTCTTGCTTTATCTTTATATGGTAGGATTCATCATTTCAGGATGTGGGGCATGTTACACTGCAGGAAGCTATCACCATTCTGTTGGTCAGACATTAATACACCAGCCCCAGATGTCCATGTCAACAGAGAGCCCAATTCTTCTACACCACCCAGTTCAACTTCAAGTCACACATGAAACATCTCACCCTGTTACCATGTCAACCATTCCTCATTCACACACAGACTCATGTCTCACTCATTCATCTGTACAAACTGTCCCATTACAGCTTAGTCAAAACGAGCAGAATCTTGACAACTTAACACATATGTGCCAATTATCACAAGGGGAGGTAACTAATGTGTCAGCAATGGCATCTAGTTCCCCTTCCGACCATGAGATTGATGTTGGTTCAAGGGATGACATTGTCAAATCGGTGCCAAATGTGACTCAATCATCAAGCAATGCTTCGAAAAACATTAACAAAGGGTTAAAAGCAGCCAGAATTAAGAAAATTTGTTCAAAGCAACCTGTTGTTAAATTAAAGAGAAGTAAGTCATGCGACATTGCAGTAAAGGCTACAGGAAAAGTAAAAGAAAGCTTGAAAATTAAAGATATAATAGATTTAAAAGTGAAAGACAAGAAAAAATCAAATTTGTTATTAATCAAACAGAAACAAAAGCAGTTGGAACAAAAATCGGTAAAACTTTCTCAAAAGAAGGATTTAAAACGTTCAATATCTGATAATGATAGTTCTGTTAGTAGTAAAAAAGTTAAATTGAAACTGGGGGAAGGGAAAGTTGCTAAGAAAGATAAAATAAAAAGAAGTGTTAGTTTAGAGCAGAAGAAAGAAGAGAAGCAGGTGAAGGAGCAGCCTAAGAGGGCGTGGCATGGGTGGAGCTGGGAGGGGGAAGGTGTTGTGAAGAAGGTTACAAATATTGTAAGTGAATATTATCCCTGATACAATTTTGAATATGATTTTAGTTCTTTAATCAATTATTGACAGGGTTGGTGGTTCTACTTAAGTGCCTGTTTGTAACTGAAACAAAGCAGGAAAGTGCGGTTGGTGTCTGCCTCTCAACCCAGATATCATGGGTTCGAGCCCTACTTGGGGTCACGACCATGTTTCTTCATATGACACCAGGTTCCAGGAAGTGGACTCAAAAAAGATTAATATAAGTCGCAAGAACTTGTTTCGCAATCAAACTTAAATATATATGTTTAAACCAAAGCAGGAAAGTCACCAAAAGACCTTTTACTGTGTACTGTGACTAAAAAACTTAAAACTCAATGAAATAGATTAATTGTAAGATTTTAATACATGATGTATATGAAAGTGCAGTAAATAGACTGTTTGGTGTGTTTAACTTTTAGTATTGTAGGATAAAATGAAGTATGGTTAATAGTTTTTAATACACTGCTTATAATAAACACAAAGTTAATATATATGTAATGAAGTCATTTCTGGCAATTTTAATCTAAATAACTTGATATTTATTACATATAATATCTTCAATCTTTTCTAATGGTGTAAAATGAGAATTATTTGTTGAAAAAAAGATTATATTTACTAAAAATAGTATTAAAAAAAATGTTGTTTCTTGTAAAATCATATTAATTGAAATCTCCAAACTTGAGTTCTCTGAAAGCCTCATTTCATTTGTTTGTAAATAAATTAATATTTGGTTTTATATTATTTAAAGATACTTTCTAAATTTGTTGAAACTGAAAATCACTAATCCTTCAAAATAAACATAAAATTCATTTCATTTGTTGAATTATATATGAATTTGATTTAATTTAATTTCAGTTTGATGGTCAGATAGTTCAGAGAAGATGTTATAATGCTATACGCCATGATGATGGTGATATTATACAGGTTAAAGACTGTGTTCTTGTCTGTTCTGGTCAGAAAGAGAAAGATATACCCTACATTGCTAAAGTTTCTAACTTCTGGCAAGATTCTGTATCAGGTAATTTTGTTTGAAAAAAAGATAAATTAAGGGGCCTTTGAGGTCATGTGGTTAAAGTCACTGACTTCAAACCACTTGCTTTTCACCACTGTGGGTTTGAATCCCACCAGGGACTTCGGATTTTTTCATGTGAGGAAGTTATCCAGCTAAGTTACGGAAGGTCATTGGTTCTACTCAGGTGCCTGCTAATGTCTGAAAAAAATGCAAGGAATGGCATCTTAGATCTATCTCCACAAGTTAAGTTGGAATGTTGCCATATGACCGGCAAGAGTGACTTCAAATCCAACAACAAAATAATAAAAAAGTTTATAAGAGTACATACAGAGTATAAAAAACAGATTTAAAGAACATTATTATACACCTACACTCTGGTTGTAAGCATGTTGCTATTAAATTGGTAACTTGTAAATTAATGAAATATATGTTTGAAAGGAACATTTGACCCTTCATGTGCTGGAACAGAAAATGATATATATGGTTGAGCAAACACTTTAAATTTGTAAGAATTTGACTGGTTTTTTTTGAGAGAAAAAAAAAATGTAATTCAATTGAAGTTAGTTTAGACATGTAATATATTTTCCAAAAAATTATTTAGAAATATTGTATAATATGATAATTGGGATTTGAGTTTTCATAAATTTTGAAGTCTAACTTATTATGTAGGTAATATAGAAGTCAGATGAGAATTATAACAAAATTAAAAACCTAGAGAATCCTCAACATCACACCTTAGATGCCACATTAATTTGATAAAAAGCCTTGCTGGAAGTGAAAGAATATTCAATTATTCTTATAAATTTAAGAAATGTAATTATTTTCCTGGGAATATGTCCACTTCGTTATTTAAGGTCATAGTTTTAAATCGGATTTGATTTCATATAAGATTTCTGTTTCTACAGATGAGATGATGATGTCTGTGTTATGGTTTTATCGACCTGAGCACGCTGAGGGAGGTCCTATATACGGTAGCCTGGAGAACGAGGTATTTGCAGCTAAACATCGTGACGAGACTCTTGTAGCCTGTATAGAGGATAGGGGATATGTACTTACCTTTAATGAATACTGCAGGTAGGTTCATATTTGTAATTGAAAGCCTCATTATGGCCACCATGTTAAAAAAAATTATGAAATTTGTAAATGTCAGGTGATTTCCATAGCGAGAGTCTGAACAGAAAAAGGTTCATGTTAAGTAAAATCGAAATATTGATGTGAAGTAAAGTCGAATACTGGAAGATTGGATGGACTGGAATGGTTTTCCAGGAATATGTAAATTCTCAGATGCTAAGTACTGTTGCAGTTTTGTCAAAAGTATGAGCATGTTTTATTTTCAACCCTTACCTGTTGTTAGTGTACAAATTCAGTTGTGTTCTCTCTTTGAGATTGCCCTTAATTTAAACAGTAGGCTTGACATTGTCTACATGTATATGAACATGTTCAAAAATATAAAACATTCCTACATTTTAATCAGTATATTCTTTATATTTGTGAAAATAGGTTCATAGCGGAGGTAGAAAGAAGCAAATCAAATCTTCCTGCACGTAAAAAAGTAGTCCCTGAACCAGAAGAAAAGTATCCAAGCAACAGAATACCTCCAGTGGATGTGAATCCAGAAAATGTGTTCCTTTGCCGTCATGTTTATGATATTAAACTAAAACGGGTTCTAAAAAACCCTTCATGAGATTAAATTGAATGTATTTATGTGTATGAGTAAAAATTTAACTAATTTAAAATACTACAGAAAATTAGTAATGATATCATATATAGTTTATGTAGTTAAATGAGTTAAAAAAAATTTCAGGCAACTAGTGCAAACTGATCATGGGTTGGATGTGTAACGTTAAAACGGTCCAAATCCTTATCTATAATATTGAATTGTTGAAGTTTGTAGGTTTTAAGTTAAAAAGAAATTACGAACCATTGCCCCCTCATGTCTGTAGGTTCATGTTCTGCCAGGGATTTTTTAATATTCCATGTGAGGAAGTTACCCTGTCAGCAAATTGGGGGAGGTTGGGTGTTTTTTATTTTGGAGACTTCATTCACCTGCTATAATGCATGGAGGAACACCTTAAGTAGCCATTCCTCCTCAATGAAACGACGAAAGTCGTCATAGGACCTTTGCAGTGTCAATTTGACGTAAAACCCTATAAAAATAAAGAAGAGAAAAAGTTAAAGCTCTGAAATTATTATACATATTAAATTATCTTCAAAATTGAAAAAAAAATGTCCATTAGACAAAACAGTAGTGTGTTGTCACTTATAAACACAAAAAAATTCAAGTATTACAAAAAAATTAAGTGTATGTCTCGCATTGGATGAAAATGTATCTTGATAAAAATGTTAGCGTTTGTTTGATCAGAGGTTTTTTTCACTCAGTAAAAATCTGTTGATGTGTTGAATTTTACAATGTTACATTGTCAATAGATGGTTAGTGATTGTGTCCATGGCTTTAGTATGCTTAAGGTTGCACATTTGTTAAACACTGTTGTAAAATTGTTGTTTTTGCTTGTTGGTTTTGGAAATATTTAAGAATAGCTTGTTCTTAGCATTTTTATGAAATACAAGACAGAGTTAAGATATTAAAGATATTTTAAATACAAAATAGAGTTGAGATAGATTTGGATTTGAGATATTATAAATGTCTTTTTGCATTTAGCTATTTTTTAAGTGAAAACAAATGGTAAATGGAATATTTTTCAATATTCAGATTAAAAAAATCAGATATGTTAAATATTTTTGAAAGATTAACAATATGAAACACTGGAATGAAATGATAAAGTGAAAGTTTGTAATTTATGTATCTATATATTGTATATTACATTATGTATATGGTGTGCATATTTAGTGAACTTTTCATTGAATGTATACTTAAATGGTATTTATCCCCTAACCACGCAGCTTTTTATGACTGTTTAAAATGATATTACATGGCATCGCATAAATTATGCAAATTAGCCCTTCACTCCAATTAAGTTTCATCATTTGTCAAATTAAATAGAATACATGACGTGATCATTTTTCTTTCTTTGAATACTTAAGTGCAATTTGTATCATTTTGAGGATTTCTTGAACTGAAGCTATATTTTAAGTTGTATTCTGATTTTTACCATAAGTCCATAATGATAATTCATTTATATCAGTAAATTAAATTATAGAAAAAACATTCAATTTTTCTCCCATATATTAAAAAACTTCTTTTTTGACATGTCTGAGTATTTATTTATATAAGCTTATGACAAGTTACACAAATACATTCTGTCATAAACATTTGTAGGCTAAAATTTTTGTCAATCAATCTTGGAAATGGTAAGTGTTTTATCTAAGAAAACTGAGAGAAAAATTGTTAAAGATTTAATTCTTTCCTGTATAAGAGGAGCAGAGAAAACTTTTATACAATTTTAGAAAACTTAAGCATTTTATAACCCTGCTCTTATATTATTTTTTTTACAAATAAAGCAGTATTTTGTTGTTTTACAACTAAAGGAGTATTTTGTTATTTATATGCAAAAGTGTTCAAGACCTGTAATGAATTTTGAGAAACTCAAATTTATCTACAGGTTTTTCTTCTATTTTTTTCAACATTCCATTTAATGATAAGTGTTAATTTCAAAGTGAAAGCTGATTACAGTCATCAGGATTGAACAAAAGTATTTTTTATTATTATTTAAAAAAAAATTATTCATGATTAAAGCTGCATGTCTCCAGATGAGCCAATATATTTCAAGAAATTAAACTTGAGAAAAATGTACGGACTAAAAAGATTCAAGATTCAAGTAATAATTTACATGTTATAGGCAATTAAGGGCAGATTTTGCACTCTTCATTACCATATTTTTACTGTGTGACTAACACAGTAAGAACTATATTTGCATCATTTGACCTCTTTTTGGCTATTTACCGGTACTTGGATTGTTAGCGTAGTTGGTAATGTGTAATTTACTTTCTTTGTTCACTTCAAAATATTTTACTTTTAAAAACATTTTCATAATTTTCTTAAAAATTAGTATAAATCTGGAGACTGCTTTAAGACGAAAAAGGTTCTCTGGTGTGATATAACCAGATAACATCCCTTTCATTGTGTAAACTTGAGGAAGATTTAGTATATTGCCAATTTGCTATTTATCACAATTCCTTCTTTTTTGAAGTTTTTGATTTTATATTTTCACTTGTGCTGTTTTGTTAGGCATGGACTTAACTTTGGGCTGGCAATTCAATCAACAGGATTGTCAACAATATTTTGTTTGCAAATTAAGTGGACTAGTTTGCATTTTGGCATATTGTACTTAAATTTTACTGTTTTTGTAATGTTTTAATAAAACCTGTCAAATGGCAGAGCATTTATATATCACTTTAATATACTAACTTTTTTAAGGAGGAATTTTTAGATAATTTTTTAAGACATTGGTAACTTTGCCTCGTGGACAAGTTTTTCTCTGTCTTAGCTTTTTCTACTTCATTTTACAATACAACTTAGCAAACTTTTTCTAGTCATTTTGATACTTGCTACTTACTATTGTTTCTTTATGTGTTTATTGAAGTACTGTCAACTTTTGGTATAACTCCTTGATACTATTACTATGTAAAGCCAGCCTGCACTAGCAGACATTATGCTTTTTAGCTCGACTATACGAAGTATATGGAGAGCTGTCCTACTCGCCCCGGCGTCCGCGTCCAGATTTTAGATTAAAGTTTTGGTGCAGTAAAATATTTTTCACTATAACTTTGTCATTTCTTAAGGTATCAACTTCAAACTTCAAATATATGTTCCTTATCATCAACCACATCTTATGTGACAAGGTTCATAGCTCTAGCACCAATATTTTCAGATTTATCTCCCCTTCAACTTAGAATTTTCCTTTAAAATACTTTTTTTTACTGTTGCTTCTTTATTTCTTAAAGGATCAACCTCATACTTCAAATATATGTACCTTATCATCATCCCCATCTTATGTGACAAGGTTCATAACTCTAGCACCAATATTTTCAGATTTATCTCCCCTTGAACTTAAAATTTTCCTTAAAAAATACTATTTTTTACTGTTACTTCTTAAAATCTTAAGGGATCAACCTCATACTTCAAATAAATGTACCTTATCATCATCCCCATCTTATGTGACAAGGTTCATAACTTTAGCACCAATATTTTCAGATTTATCTCCCCTTGAACTTAGAATTTTCTTTAAAAAATATTATTTTTTACTGTAACTTATTTTTTTCTAAAGGGATCACTTTCATACTTCAAATAAATGTACCTTATCATCATCCATATCTTATGTGACAAGGTTCATAACTCTAGCACCAATATTGCAAGAATTATCTCCCAATCAACTTAGATTTTTTTACTAGAAAAATGTTATTTTTTACTATAACTTTTTTAGTTTTAAAGGTATCTACCTCAAACTTCAAATACTTATTCCATATAATCAATTATATTTTATGTGACAATGTTCATAACTCTTGAAGTAATTTTTACAGATTTATCTCTCTTTGAACTTAGGATTTTCTTTATGAAATATTATAACTTTGTTACTTTTTAAGGTATCTTCTTCAAACTTCAAATATATACTTCTTATCATTGCATACATGTTGTTTGACAAGTTTCATAACTCTAGCTATACTATTTCTAGAATTATTCCCCTTGATCTTGGAATTTATTTTAACAAATGTTATTTTTATGCCCCCACAATGTGGGAGCATATAGCGTTGCACTTGTCCGTCCGTCATTCCGTCCGTCCGTACGTCCCGAAATCTTGTGAACGCAACTCCTCTTAAACCAGATGGCAGATTTTGCTTAAACTTACAGGGATGAACAACCTTAATGTGTAGATGGTAGTAAAGGAAGGAATTTTTGCTGCAACCAAATTTAACAGAATTATGGCCCTTTGTTGATTTTTTCACTAGATACTTTGTAGAAATTAGATACTTTGTAGAAATTTTGTGAACGCAACTCCTCTTAAACCGGATGGCAGATTTTGCTTAAACTTACAGGGATGAACAACCTTAAGGTGTAGATGGTAGTAAAGGAAGGAATTTTTGCTGCAACCAAATTTAACAGAATTATGGCCCTTTGTTGATTTTTTCATTCTATACTATGTAGAAATTTTGTGAACGCAACTCCTCTTAAACCGGATGGCAGATTTTGCTTAAACTTCCAGGGATGAACAACCTTAAGGTGTAGATGGTAGTAAAGGAAGGAATTTTTGCTGCGACCAAATTTTACAGAATTATGGCCCTTTGTTGATTTTTTTACTATATACTAAGTAGAAATTTTGTGAATGCAACTCCTCTTAAACCGGATGGCAGATTTTGCTTAAACTTCCAGGAATGAACAACCTTAATGTGTAGATGGTATTTAAGAAAGGAATTTTTGCTGCGACCAAATTTAACAGAATTATGGCCCTTTGTTGATTTTTTCACTATATACTATGTAGAAATTTTGTGAACGCAACTCCTCTTAAACCGGATGGCAGATTTTGCTTAAACTTACAGGGATGAACAATCTTAAGGTGTAGATGGCAGTAAAGGAATGAATTTTCGCTGCGACCAAATTTTACAGAATTACGGCCTTTTGTTGATTTTTTCAATATATACTATGTAGAAATTTTGTGCATGCAACTCCTCTTAAACCGAATGGCAGATTTTGCTTAAACTTCTAGGGATGAACAACCTTAATGTGTAGATGGCAGTAAAGGAATGAATTTTTGCTGCGACCAAATTTTTCAGAATTATGGCCCTTTGTTGATTTTTTCAATATATACTATGTAGAAATTTTGTGCATGCAACTCCTCTTAAACCGGATGGCAGATTTTGCTTAAACTTCCAGGGATGAACAACCTAAATGTGTAGATGGTAGTAAAGGAAGGATTTTTTGCTGCGACCAAATTTAACAGAATTATGGCCCTTTGTTGATTTTTAGTTTTCAACTTGTGGCACATGTAGTCCAAAAAATATTTGACCTAGAGTCATAAGATTGACAGAACAGTGGCGTGTGGGGGCCTCAGTGTCCTATGGACACATTTCTAGTTTTACTATAACTTAATACATAATTATACATAATTGATTGCTCTTTATAGTTTTGTCCTCCTTACTGCGTCCAGTATTTTATTAGTCGAGCTTGGCTGTCTCCTGTGACAGCTCTTGTTACTGTGTATTTTTAGCATTATGATATTGAAACCACCAAAAATGTCAATATCAATTTTATTCAGAATACACATAAAGATAATTTACAGCAAGTTATGCCAGAATTACCCCAAGTGAGCTATGTTAGCTTCATGGGCTATGCTGTTCTAAGTGTAATGTCTGGAAATAATAAGTTTTAGTAAACACAAGAAATGTACATGAAACATGAGCATAATAAATATCTTGGAACCAATTAAATATATAAATGGTTGCGATTTCTACACAATTACTAAAAAAAAAAACTTTTACTTAATTAACAAAAATGTTAAAAGTATATGGGCATTCCCAGTGTGCAGTGTTTGATATTTTGTTAGACATAACAGAACCAGGATTCTTGCCATCTATATTTCAATTATGCTATATTTCTGCTCATGTGAATTTGAACTATGCATAATTCTACATCTCCAGCTAATATCTCTTTTCTAAATAGAATAAGTTATATGGAAAATGAAATAATCTCTTCAACAGAAATGTGAATTTCAAGTTTTTGTTTTTGAATTATTTCCCCTTCCCTTAGTACAGAACAATTACAGATTAAAGATAAAGTATTTGATGTAAAAATTAATTCACTTATTGTTGGGTTACATGCTGACAACTCAGAACGTCTGAATATTTATGTAGAAAAGTTAAATTTTATGTGTATACAAGACAAGACATACATAATGTGTAAACAGAATGTGGCATAACAATATGTTTACTGCAAGTTTAATGTTTTTATTTTCCTTCATAGTTTCTTACAGTATTATGTTACTGATTCTAGAAGCAGTAATTTATGTCACAAACATAACTTACATATAGGTATTTTTATATTGTATTTGTTGCTGATGGAATGTTGTTTTGGTCTTTTACTGTCTGTGAAAAAAATACATATAACTACAGAGAATCTGTAAAAGATAACATATTTGACCTGAATATTGTTTTAAGGTTATAATTTTTATATGAATACAAAATTTGTGATTTTTATTTGTCAATTATGATGAAATTACTTTTTTAATTTTCAAAATTTTAAAATTAATAGGTGTTGAACTGTAGAGACTTGTGATTTTTGTTGTAATTTTAGTTCAGATGAACTGTGTGGGATTTTATTAGAGATTTGAGCCGCGTCACGACAAAACCAACATAGTGCGTTTGCGACCAGCATGGAGCCAGACCAGCCTGCGCCGCATCCGCGCAGTCTGATCAGGATCCATGCTGTTCGCTTACCAACTATATAACAAGTAAAGAAACCGATAGTGAACAGCATGGATCCTGATCAGACTGCACGGATGCACAGGCTGGTCTGGATCCATGCTGGTCGCAAACGCACTATGTTGGTTTTGTTGTGACACAGCTCATTTTATTTGTTGTAATTTGTATATTATTTGATCAAATTATACTGGACTACAGAACAATCTTGTTAGATTATGTCATAATATTTGCATTTATTTTGTTGTCATTTCAATAGATTTATCTCATTATGTCAAACGAGTAAATAAAATATGGCTCATAAAAACATAATCTTTGTCTGTGTTTTATTGCAATATTGTACTGTACAGTTCTGCTCCTTTAGGTGTATTTGTAGTTTTACATGATTTTTATACACCAAAAATCAAGTTCAACAACAGTTACAGTGTTGTAATAGATGTGGTCAGATAAGCAGACATCTATACCAAGTTCAACTTAATTTTCGCTATATATTATAGTATGTTGCAATACATTTATTTATTGTAATTTCTGATAACTCATCTTATACTGTTAGAATGGGGTGGGATGGGAGCGGGTGCATCAAAGTTATTCTGCAGTTGTGAAGTGCTGAAAAAAGGACCCGAGATAAAATCTCCAAAAAATATTATGACTCCACTTAGGTTAAACAAGTAATCATCAGGTAATGTCAAAGATATAATTAGCAGTTAGGTTCAATAGTTTAGGTCATACAAAATTGATTTTCACTGGATTATTACCAATTGTAGATTATCATCTCAGGCTCGGTGATAAAACAGGGAGAAAGTGTCTGAAGAATGAGAATAACTGTTACTAAGATCTTCCTAGTTTTTTGATTCATGACACAATAATGTACATAAACTGACTTTTGTTGCCTTTGCCTAAAAGGGTAGCCTCTCTTAGTATATACACTTGTGCAATATCATGACAAAAATAAGAAAGTTTTTAATGACAACACCAAGATCAAATTATCATTAAAATAACATTTCATGACTTGCATGCAAATTAGCAACATAATATGGAAGGCAAATCTTAAAAGAAAGTAAGAGTTCAAGAATGTGCTGTGTTTATAGAATCTCTATTAAATATTGGTCAGAGATTTTAAGGTCAAAGTTTACTATAATTGATATCCAATTTCTGCAGTTGAAGAGGCACCCCATAGGTCAAAGGTCACATCAGTTTGCAGACATGATATTGTGTCCATTTGACAACTACTGAATGACCACAGCCAACTTCAGACAGAAAACAGTTTCAGTGCCATAAGTAAAGAACAGCTATAACCATAGATGGAGAATAATAACAGCCATAAGTACTCGTACAGAAATGAGTTACAACCATAAGAAGACAAAAGAAGAGAAAAGTTATAACCATAATATAATAAGAGAAATGAGTTATAACTATAAGAATGATGAAAAAATTGAGAACAGTATTAACCAAGTAAAGAAAAGTATAAAATATAAAAAAATATAACATAAGTAAACAACCAGTATAACCATAAGTGGAAAACTATTATAACCATACTTAGAGAATAGTTATAACAATAAGTAGAGAGCAATTATAAAACAAGTCAATAAGTAGGGAATTGTTATGACCATAGGTAGACAACAGCTATAACTATACCGGTAAGTAGAGAGCACATGAAACAATAAAGAACGGTCATAACCATTGGTAGAGAAAAATAATTATAGCTATTGAAAGAGAACAGTTACAAGAGAACTATAAGCAGAGTATAGTTGTTACCATAAGAAAAAAACAGATATGATAAGTAGAGAAATGTTATAGCTATGTTAAATAGAGGAAAGTTATAACCATATGTAGAGAATAATTATAACCATTGGTAGAGAACAGCTATATGCAAACAGGGAAAAGTTACAACTATAAGAAAAGAAAAGTTGAACCAATATTAAGCAGAGAATAATTATGAATGTCATTCTATAACCCAAAGTAATGAACAGTTGTAACAGTAAGAAGAGGGCAGCTATAACCATATATTAAAAATAGGGAACAAATAGATCAAATTCCAGTAAGATGATATTCATTCAAAGAGAGGCTTAATTATAAATGAATGATTAAATTAACGTACTTCAAGGAGATTTTTGATTAATATAACTTATACCTGTAAGATAATAAATCTGTTCAGATGGATTAGCAAGAAACAGATGTTTTTATGACTATCAACTGAATAACACTTGCTTTCCTCCTTAAAAGATAACAAGCAAAGGGAGCTAAATCTGTCAGGCTTGTTTCCATTTTAACTTTCCCCAGAAAAAAATTACAACCCAGGTAGTATATGTACACAATAATGTATAATCAGAGACAATAACTTTGTTATGTCTTCGTGTACATGTTTGTACAAACATAAAAAAGCTTCAACTTTAGGAGAAGTTATGTATGATAACAATTTAAGCTTAACTTTTTCTTCATTTTCTTTCAAATTGATTTAATTATTTCAAAACCTGAAGCTTTGTAATTAATCACTAATTATCATGTTAATTGTAAAGGAAAATATTCTATATTCATTAACATAAAATTTCATGATATTAAATAATTTTCCTTTATTTGGTTGTATTTATCAAAAAGACATGCAAGTTAATGAATTAATTGTCTTACAGCATTGAGAACAAGACCATTATTAAAATAACACTCACAAAAAAACAACATATTATGTTGGGTTTGAGAATATAGGATCTGGTGTAATTAGTGATTTAACTTTTTTTATTATACTAGCTGTTGGAAGATTCAATCTATTCTGCTGGAGTAAGACTCTTATTTACTGTTAAGTGTATTTTATTTCCTGGTGTAGCAAGACCATGGGTGCATGAAATAAGACCATAGTTGTAGTTTTTTCAGGTGGCTAATGCACTTTGCGAATTTAATTCCTCCTTGCGTAGTAATACCCAGATGGCAAAAGTGTATTTTCATTTTCTGGTTGAATAAGACCCTAGTTGAATTTCAACTATGTATGTACTTTATATTCCATTAGTATAGCCATATATAGCAATATTAAATATTGCATGTCCTGTAAAGAATTTCATATTTGTTTCCATAAATTGAAAGTTATCTCCATGTTTATTTCATAATATATACAATCATAATCTATAATGATTTATAATTGGTAACTTTTTTCTATTTGTCTTTTCAGAGATCTGTTCAAATATGGGAAAAAAAAACACACCATAAAGATAGGATTTTGTTAAAACTCTTGGCATCATCAAGCACCATTACTACCAGTCTCTGTAACACTTTGGTTATTTTTTACATTATCATAGACATGCCATTAGGTCACATAGGATAACTTATCATAAAATAATCTGATTATTAATCTTTTATCACTTTATCAATCTGGCAGATGTATAACACCAGAGAAGCTACATTGTGTTAATTATCAAGCACTGATATGCCAACAATAGATAACCCGTTGGTTATTTAATGACCGACGATTTGCTGTCGATAATTTATACAATATGTCGTTAATAACCTTGTGCTTCATATAAGAATGCAATTCACTGTACCAGCGTTCACTACAGTGAAGATGCGTGACCTTTGACACATAAGCTATGACGAAACGCTCCGAGTTCTTCCGGTTAAGTGTCACGTGATAACGTCGCCTCTGTCGGGGTGGTTAGGATTTCCCCTCTTCTGAACAAAAATATTCGATATTTAGGACCATTTAAAACGGATTAATCAGTGAATTTAGATGCCATAAACATGGCGAACGAATACGATTATGACGATGATTACATGCAAGGTGAAGATGAGTGGGATCGTGAACAACTTTTAGATCCAGCTTGGGAAAAACAACAGAAAAAGGTTCGTCCCCTATAAAAAAGTTTTTACGCCCCCTTCCTTACGATTTTTATTTTGTTTTGCGTTTGATACTGTGCTTGTTTTTTTAATTTTTTTAAATGTTTGCTTCTTTCATGTTTTGATAATATTGTTGATGTAGTTTTCACAACAGGTTGGTTTTAAATTTGCCGGTAGGTTAAAATTCTGAATTTCATGGCGGCGGCCATTTTTGTAGGAGGGACCGGTAGTTTAATATCGGCTGCTGTATTAAGGTGAAAAAGTAGGCCCCTAAGATATCACAACGGACCGCTGTCCTATTTAGTCTGTTTCATTGTTTGTCAACAGTTTCAGACAACCCAATTTGGAAATCCAGTGTGTGACTATCTTCTAGATGATAGTGCCATATAATTTTACTACATTTAGTTCAATATTTGTAGGTCTTCTCTATTTCTAAAGATTTAAAGTTAGTTATCATAAAGGGAATATGTTATGTGTAGTTTCTCTGAGACTAAAAGTCAATTAACAGTAACACTTTTCCATCATTGTTCAGCAGATTCACTTTTTTATTTCAAGGACAACCACAAGATCATGTTCTTTTATTTTTAGAAATGCATGAAAATGTGATTTAGTAAATTATTTGGCCAATTATTCAAGTTCTTTTCTTATAAATGAGCTCTTCATTTAACATACTCTTGATATTGTTTAAAATTTTATGTCCAAGAACGTTTTCCTCTTAAAGGTCTCAATTTTGTAGGAGTAGTTAAGATAATATATAGCAACATATAATATATAGTAGATTAGTAATTGTAAAATATGGAAAGTTATGGTTCAATGTTTAGATGGTTAAGGTAAAAGATATGTCATGGTATTTGCTGTTATTGGTATTTTGATGCAATACCTAATTAACAACCAACATTTTTGAAAACTTTACGGTCACCTTAAAAGACTAGCTGAAGATAAACATATTTGGTTACTTCCCTATCTACTTGATACATGGTAGTAAACACTTGACAGAAGATTGCAATCACAGTTATACTATTTTACCTCTGGCAATTTGTTAATTTTACATATATATCAACATGCTTTATTCATGACAGGTTTGTTTTTCACACAAGTTTAGAGGGTATACTCACTGATGGGTAATATTTTTATTTGGTGATGCTGGTACTGATTGTAGTGATTATTTACTTCATATTACTGTTTATCAACCCATGTCCAGATAATTTAATAAATTGTCTTTTCCTTAGGCTAGCACATGAATATGGTCAAACTTTGTTAAGTTGTTTTATAAAATGTCTTCAAAATCCTTTTTCGTATATATAAATGGAGATGGTAATAATTCTCGTTGTTTGTATAAGGTAAAATTTCATAAATTGTTGAGCAAATGTGGTATTCTGTTTGAATTTGTTAAGCTCACACCAATCAGATTTCTGGCGGCAATTATCATTTTCAGTTTTGTGTAGAGAGAGTGTTGATGTCACGCTATATGGTTATTTTAAACCCACTCTATAATGTAGAATAAAATTAAGGGCAATTAAATAGGACTGTGCGCACTGCTGTCATGAATAAACTGAATTTTGGTGTATTTCTTAAAAATAAACTATGAGTCTGTTTAAGTGTTGCAAGTATGTATTATGTAGTTTCAGATTTTCATTGAGAAAGTGCTTATTGTGCACAATATCACAGGTAACTACGGGAGAATTCCTTGCATTCCTTAACATGTTGCTGTTCTGATAAAGATGATTTGTGTAAGCTGAATTTATAGTTTAAACTTAGTTTATCAAATACAAAGAAATATAAGTCTTGGCTTACTTTTACAAAACATAAATCAGTGCATCCACAAAAAACACAAGCTTTTTTTTTGCCAGCACACTATGTAACACATACACATTTACATTGATCAGCTGATAAAGATTGTGTTGGGGAAAAAACTCAATGAGAAGTCAGCTGACCTGTAGGTCTACATAACCTAATTATCTTCTTAATGATATCCAGACTGGTCATTTGATTGTTACAGACAATAGATCAAACATTTACTAAGATTTACCTGTATAACAGGTAACTGGTTACTGTAAGCATAGGTAGAGAGAGAGAGGAGAGAAATGTAAGAGAATACGGTATGCCCAAAAATGGCAGGAGCCTACCTACACTCACATGTGTAGTGAATGCAGTACAGGTTTACTACAGTTGTAGAACATCACAAAATTATTATTTGATCTATTATTGTAGTATGAGTCTTATGAGCTGTCTACACATTTGTAAAAAAGTATTAATACAGATATTAGCTGAAGAACTAATTTTCCTAAATTTTGGTAAAATTTTGTAGAGTTTGGTATTCATTAAGCAGCATTTAAATTGAAGCAACATTTAAATTAGCTTAATTATTGTCTTATAGGTTAAATGAAAAATAAATATTATGTAACTTTAATAACATTCATAGCATAATATAATGAGCTCCTTTTAATACTATGGAAATTTCTGCAAAATAAAAAAAGTTAAATGTTGTTTTTTTTAAGGGTCATTTGTATGAGTGTTTATAAAATATTTATTCTGCTTTAATCAATATGATATTGAGATGAAAGCAGAGTAAAATCACCACAGAAATAAAAAAATATACATGATAATACTACTTTTATCATCGGTTTTATTTTATTTTACAGACTGAATTGTAGTAGTTGTGACTACAAACTCTAATTTTGAATAAGTCATTTTGTCATATTTTGTAAGTTTCCATTTCAAGTTATTTTTTATGGCAGTGAGTAATAATAAGTAATTGTAAATGAGGCGTTATGATACTCTTAATACATTTGACAGCCAACTGACAAGTTATGATTATAGACATATATGCTTGACACATCTGAACAACCAGACATGCCTGTTCTTACTTACACCTTTTCATGTTATGCACCATCTAACACAGATTCAGATACAAGTTTACACACATTAATATTTCCCTTGTTCTGGTTCATTTAACTCAGATGTATATCTGGTTGGGAAAAAATGATAATCCTCAGCAGTTATTCCATGCCAGAGGCAGGCCACTGTCTGATAAAATTTGCACCCCTACCTATGTTGCCTGAAAAAAGAAATTTATAGCACAGATTGAGCGACCCCAGATTGAGAAAATGACTGATCATTTGAGAAGATTTCATGTCAATTTTGAAAATATTTAAAATCAACTGTCAAGTTTAATTTTCCTTATTCTTTAAGATTCTGATTTTCTAATGATATTCTTATTAGCTTCAAATTGAAGATCACACACAATTTTTCTTGTGGATGCATTTTATTTTTAACCTACCATGAACTGACTTCAGTCTTATGTGTATGAAAGTAGTTATGTGTATGAAAGTTGGTATGTTTTGGCATTAAGGTATTGTAGCTGTCTTTTTATATACTTTCTGAATCTTAAGGGTATTTAAGTCCATGTCAAGTTCGATAAGGATAAAAGATGCTATTTCTTTAAGATTTATTATGGCCATTACCTTCAACAAAAATGGGTCAGTTATTGTTTATATAAGTATGTCAAATATGTCCATTAAATTTAAATGATAAATTATATCAAATATGTCCATTAAATTTAAATGGTAAAGCCAGATTTATTTTCTTCAAGTTTTACTGACTGGATACTGGTAAATTACATACTGCAATTAAGGTTGTCATTTTCTATCATGTCCAAAATTTTAAATTCTCTTGCATTTTAGATTATTTAGAATTCTAATAGTAATAGGAATGTGTTAAGCTTAAAAAAATAAGTTTCTTCACTGATACACTTGTAACAAACTATGTAAGAAATGTTTATCAGTACAGGTTATTGAACTGGGATGGTTTACACATAACTGTATAGAACTTATTTAAACTCCTTAATTTTTAAGATAAATTTTTATAAATCTTTACATTCCCCGAATTCTTGTTTCATTAAAAGTATGCCTAATACAGCTGTTTACTGTTTACCTGTACTTTACTTTCTGAAGGTAAAAATGCATTTACTATTGTTATAAAAGAATAAACTGGACCTTTGAATTTTGATAAAACTGATTTTATAACCTTAAAAGGTAAAGATTACCATATTTAAAAGCAAACAGTAGACTTGCGGTTTCACAACGTGTAACACTATACACCTACTTGCAATACACACCTGAAAGGCAGCCAATTGTAAAACAGGTATTAAAAAATTATTAGTCATAATTTTGAATTTAAACTAACAGAAATTAATTGTAAAGACGGTTTATATGAATTATTTATGATTGTGTGACTGTCTATACAAATTTGAATTACTTTGGGCAAGTTCTTTTGGTACATAAAGTGTAAACCACACATCTTTTTTATTTGCCACATATTTAAAATTTGCACTGTTTAAAAGACATATTTTGTAAGAAATAGATTAAAGTTAATAAGATATAACAGGTAAATTGTTCCCATCTGTTAATATTCTAGCACCTACACAATATCCTCTCTCTCACAACGTTTGTAATATTTTGGCATTCCAGGGGTATAGCTTACTCAGCCAAACCAGAAATAACTTCCTTCAGTTATGCTTTAGAATAAGAGACAAACATTATTGTAAAATCATCAAACATTTCCACTTTCTACCAGTATTATTGCCACTATACATCAGATTTTATCCCAATTGTAAATTATGGAGATGTCAGTTAGACCAAAATCCAAAAGGTAGTTATCCTGTATTAACCTCTGTGAAAATTTATCATAGACTACCTGTCTTAACTAAACCAATATAATTCAGATGGGCTGAAGAAGAACAGTGTACATATTTGTTTTAAAATTAAGACAATGTCTTGACAGTAATCAGACTGTTTTTATATATGTTTTTGTAAAGTTAGTATACATTTTGTACAATGCTTTAATCACTTCTTTTGTTGTAACTATCAATCATGAAAATGTTTTGTCATATCTTGAACTCAGTCTCTATTAAGTCTTAGAAACTTTTGAAATTTATATGAATTTTACGAATTTATTTCTTGCCCAAAAGTTTTTAAGTTTCTTCCTACTGAACACTAAGGCCCAATACATGTAATTACTCTTATAGTATTTCATTTTAGTATCAGGAAGAGAAAATAACAAAACTAAGGTAATTAAAAATTATGAAAATATAACCAAGTTATATAAGGCAAACACTTAAAACAATTAATGTTTTAAGTGTTTTCGATAAGATATTCAAAAATATTAAGCAGTGTCCTTGACTCCTTGCTCCTCTACTTTTAAATTCTTAGAAAATTTAAAGTCTGACTTTTTCAATATCTTTTTAGCTTGTCAGTTTGGAAGAAAAAGTTGAGCTGTTATGAAAAGCTATAATCAAACAATTTTAAATTAAAAGGTACCAACATGAAACTTGGAATACTTGCTTATCATGACAAAGTGCAGTTATAAGACAAGGGGCATAATTCTGAAAGTAATATTTTTTGAGTTATGTCCCTTTTTAACTTAAATTTTTTTATAGACAAGGGTTAACACTGCATGCAATGCTCTTGTTTAAAGATAAGATAGGCATGCTAGGGATCAATCATGTTTAGGCCTTTAAAAAATTTAGAGCAGATTATTTGTTCAAATAATTTACTTGAATTTAAAGTTTGTTTTTGGTTGATAGTATTAATATTATTATGTAGTAGTATAATAATAAGTTAAGTAAAAGAAGATGTTATGTCAGTATATGATTATGCATGTTATTAAATGTAGAATATTGGTAGTATGCTATAAGAGTTAGTCACACACTGGAGTCGTACTGGCTACCTATTTCACCAGCCTCTATTACATGATATGTGTTTTCATAAGTAGAATCATATGTTGTAAGCTCTGATGGTTTCCTTGCCAAGCTGTTAGTATTACTTGTTTGAATGCAATAAACATTATTTATATCATTAATCATTACTGCTACTATTAATAATTTGTACTAAATATAGTAATAATTTGTACTTAGTATACACTTTTATTAGTGTACAATTTTCTGCTATATCATTTTCTACCTTTGTCATGGTTACTATTAATATGTTGCTGGGCCAAAAGCCCATAGTGGTCACTGAAACTTAATGGCATAAGACAGCTTCCATTTAAGAACATAAAATTTCCGTCAAAGTAGCTCCCAAGGATATTTTTTTGTACATATAAAATAATTGCAGTTTTTTTAATATATATGATAAGATTGCTATTATATTAGGTCAAAAACATGAAAATAAAAATTATAGCAGATGTATTTTGAGTTTTAATCATGTTTTAAATTTCATGTTGCTAACGTCATTATTTGACAGAATATTTGACGGATATTTTTACGTTCACAACATTCAGAAATTGGAAAAATTAAGCATTCTCTTTATTATAATTAGCAGCATTTTATTCTAAGTAATAAAAGATTGAAAACTGTATGTAAAGGAAGTACTATCTCTGCAGGGAACAGGCCAGATACAGATTTATTCATTTTTGATGATGTTGCTAAACGTCATTTTTTGACGGAACAAATTGTTGCTAGCATCATTTTTGGACGGAACAAATTGTTGCTACCATCATTTTTGGACGGAACAAATGTTCTTTCACAATTTCTAAAGTACTTTTTCGCAATGGATACAAGAAAACAAATGACAACAAGTAAAAGTTTTCTAAGAGCAAACAAGTAAATTATGTAAATTTATTTGGACATTATCCGAAATTAACTGTCAAAACACTGGCCATCAACTGTTCTAGGCACTAAAGAACGTATTTTACAAAATAAATTGACAATGGCTATTGAAACTTTTCAAAAGATATATTATATTTCTAACAGTTTTTGTAAGAAAGTATGAAAACAGTCTACACCAAATTGGATGTAAAAGCACCAGTCACCATGTCGGCCTTTCTGATGGACTATTAAGTGTAACTGTACACCAAACACTCAAAATTTGTAGTATTATCTAGATCCATGCATAGACAGTAAAGGTTCAGCAACTTGTTTAATGATATCCTCCCAACAAACAAAGAAAGATTTCTCCTCCAATGTCCATAATTGTCGCTTTCCTTTCTTATAGAACTGGACCCACAATCCATAGACTTTCTCCTCTCTGTGCAGTTCATGGGTTTGAACAACCTGCAAAATGATGTACAATCAATGACTTGTTGCACCAATAACATTTAATCAATTACCAGTATCTATCAAAGAGGTCAAACTGGACTCAATGAACCAATCAAATGTATTTACCAAGTATCCACAACTGGTAATGAAGTCAAGCTGATTGACATTCAAATGTTGCTTCATATCATCACAATATTAACTGGAAGAAAAGACTTAAAAATGCATATACACTACATGTATAAACAAATAATATTTGCACATGAACAGACAACTGCTTTACCTGAATAGTAAGGCTATATTATTAGTTATAAAGATTTTTGACAGGTTATATGGCCCTATATAAATGGCTGTTTGTAAAATATAACCCAAATCGCTAGCAAGGATCATTTTTAGAGGAATAAAGCAAGATTTCTTTATTAATCAACAATAGCTGTGTCACGTGTATAAAACACTATATAAACGTCAAGATTATCCAATGAAAAGCGACGTTATAAACATGCAGTATTATAAAAATTATTTAATAATTAATCTTTATTAAATAAATGCTATATGGCTGGGGCTTGAAATACTGTTATATGGCTGGGAATTCAACTCATGTTGTATGGCTAAGGCTTAAACTCATGAACTCCGGAGATTGATATCTGACTGCAAATCTTGTCAGCAAGAGTGCCTTATATTGGGTTTTAACATATATTAAATGTGATGAAGACAAAAAAACAACTTTTTAACTCACAAGTAACAATTTTTTTAAAAACATAACTTCCAAAGTAACAAAAATGGAACAGCACAATACAGGCCAAACAAAAGTAATGCATTGAAGAACAAAGTCAGTACTAATTGTTTAGCTTCTTATAAACGCTGATAAATCTTTGTCCATTTCCAGAAAAATTGAAAAAAAATACTGATTGCACCTTTTGACAGACAGCTGACGAATTTGCTAGTTTGCATTGCCTTTTTTTGTGTACTGAATTTAACCAAACTGTTAAAAGTTACATTACTACTTACAACAGCTTTAAAACTTTCTGATCCATTTCTGATGAGAAGGTTAGTTCCTACAGGGTACCTGCATGAAAAGTTGTTGAAATGTAGACCTTTAAAAACTGATAACCATGCCTTTAAAAACTGATTCAAAAATTAACTTGTGCACACACTCTCCATATCATTTTAGACATATTACCTCTTTTTCTGCCTCACTTGAAACAGAGGTGCGAGACTAAAGACTTAAGACACAAGGACTTTTATCAATTGGTCAGAGAGAAATGGCCTGACCGAGAATCAAAGCTACAACTCTCAAAATGAAAAACAAGTGCACTTACCACCGCGCCATCATGCCCGGCATTTTATAGGGTGGGTATACAAAGAGAAATTGTTTCATTTACTATTCATAGTTTACCTTAGCTTGGTAGCAGGTATGCCAATGTCTTCAATCAAACTGTCCGCCAAATCATCGCCACAAGTCTTCAATTGCTTCGAGTCACTGCAAACAAACAAGATTTTTACATATAAAGTAAATATTAAGTATTCCTACATATATCATTACTGGGAATTTTTAGGTATACCTTTCTGCAAACTTGTAGAAACATAACTTTTAAAAGCATAAATGAGAAAATAGAAAGCATTAATTTGTAATGAGGCAAGTTATTCATAATTTACCTTTGCTTGGAAGCAGGTATACCAATGTCTTCAATCAAACTGTCCGCCAAATCATCGCCACAAGTCTTCAAATGCTTCGAGTCACTGCAAACAAACAAGATTTTACATTACAAAGTTAATATTAAGTATTCCTACATATATCATTACTCGGAAATTTTAGGTATACCTTTCTGCAAACTTGTAGAAACATAACTTTTAAAGACATATAAATGTGAAAACAGAAAGCATTAATTTGTAATAAGGCAAGTTATTCATAGTTTAGCCTGGAACCCCATTGTATCGATCTATTTACCCATAAATCACAACTGAATTTAAAAAAATCAAATCTCACTGAATATTTAATTTGTATCATTTATTTTGATCCTTTTGCCATAATATTTACTTGGCAAACATCACTGATATATAGTTTTTAGCTTTGGAATATACGGATATTTACAGACATGTCAAACAGGTTGAAGAATTAGGTCACGCCATTATATCGATGCATTGTGAGAATCGCTCAGTTAGCCAAAGTTTGGGAAACATTAACCATCTTTATGTTAGATAAATTAGTCAATTAATAACATAGATGTCTGTTTTAAAATGTCAGCATAAATTTAGGAACTTTTAACAGACAGTAAATGTACTTTTAATAAGAACATATTATTTATAAGTCTATTTATTATCTACAGCGTCTTACGGTACTGGAAACATGTTTTTGATCATTTTACTGTACAAAAATAAATGCGAAAGATTTTCGTGACACTGTTGTTAATGTTAACAATCAGTAGGTGACGTATTTTGCAAAAAATCTAAAGATTTGTGAATAGATCGATACAATGAATAGCACGATACAATGGGGTTCCACTATACCTTTGCTTGAGAAGTGACAATTACATGAAAAGTGACATTTACATACTGTTCATATGTTTATAGACAATAAATAGTTTAGTACAGTGAAGATAAATGTTATACTCAGACAATAAATTATATTGATTATTATGTTTTGTTCTGGTTTTCTATGTAATCCATTGTTAGTCATTTGATATTCCAATCCACACATTTTTTTTAACAACATTTAAATAAGAAAATGAACAAAGAAAAAAATGGGGCCGATCTGACTTGAGGCCGATTTTGCTTGGGGCCGATCTGACTTGGGGCCGATTTGACTGTAATTCAACTCAATCCATCTCTCACTCCCTAGTATTACTGACACTACAATGTTTACATGTAGATTTATTATGTCAAAACATTGACGGTTGTCAAAATATGACGATCGCATCATTAACAGCCGTCAAAGAATGACGATAGCACCAATTGTGTATGTCGATAAATGACGTATGCAACAAGAATGTCCGTCAAAAAATGACATTCGCAACAACTTTAAGCGTAATCAGTCATTGGAAGCAGTAGACGTCCGTGTATTTGTCTATTTCCTGCATACAACTCGACTTTAATATGTTTTCTCTTCTTTAAAATATATAAAAATGTCTATATGTACTTATTGTTGCTATCGTCAACATTTAAAACACTTGACAGACACAAACTTACTCAAAATAATTTGGATCATGTAATTGAGCGTCTCAATTCGGCCATGTTTTTGCATTCGGATACTTACAGATTTAATCGTAGTTTCTTGTCACTACGCAAAAAAAGGAAGTAACAGCTATAAACTGAGGAACAAATGTGCGAACGTCATTCACTAAAATTGACAGAAATTACGTTAGCAACCTTTTTTCAATAAAATTTCTGGTTATGGCTTCAAAACTTAAGAAACCACCTGTAAAACCAGAAAGTACCAAGTTTAACACTAACTTTGAATCCCCACCCAATACATAATCACACAATAACCGAGTTGATGGACAGTTTTTTTGCGAACGTTGCTTTTTTGACAGACGTTCATTGTTCATCATCTACATTATTCTAATTCCTTTATTTTGCAAAATAATTGAAAAACACATAAACTAATCAAATAGAATGTAAGGCAATACATACCCCAACAATAAATTGTCTTTGTTGAAATAAAACTTCCAATATTATTCGAAAATGCGAGTATATATCCGACCTGGTGAAGAAGCTGGGAGTTCCGTCCGTCAAAAAGATGATGATTTCCAATTTAATTTTTTAGTTATTTTGTTCATTTCAATATAAAATTAGATCGGGAAATTGATTTTTATTGATTTAATTGATGTACTTTATTCAAATAAATGCATGTACTTTTCAGGTGAGCTAATTTAACCCCAAAAAATCACATTTCATAAAATTGACGGAAATTTGACAGAACTTTTACGTTCTTAAATGGAAGCTGCCATAACATATATAATTGACAGTAGATTGAATTTAATGATATCTTAAACAGTAAAACACAAGAAAAAAAGTTTTTAAAACTGCAATAAAAAGTACAAAATGTGAAAGATTCCCAGTAAAATGTTTGATTGAAACATATTTTGCTGGCATGTTAGACTTTGACAGTGTAATTGTCAATAATTTACTGCTAGCTTCAGCTAAAATCTTTTTTGTAACAACAAAGTAATGTTCATATTATTGACTAATGTTTGCTAATCTAAAATAGCTTTACAACATATAAATTATTCTATAGTACTTGCAATGACACCATAAGGTACTTGACTGAATCTCTTTCTTATTTCTCAAGTGTTATGTATTTCAAGTATGCTTTGACAAAACTCAATCTGCTGATGTCAGCATAATTGAAATGATGTATTCCTGGCATATTGTCATCTGATGCATACAGTCTGTCCACTCAATGCACAGAATCACAGGTGCACATAATTGTCTCTAATATTCCAGTAATGCTTACAACCTGGGCTAAAGGAGGGAAAAATTGCCACCAGTGTTTAGATTAGTGTTACTTGCAATTAATAAGTTAGCTGTTTGTTATATCAAGTATGTAGATTGAAACCATGTGTGGCTCGTCATGTCCAATGTTTTCATACAGTTCAAACATACAGTATTATTTCGGATGTAGGGACCATGTATCTTTATGTAGGTATATTATTATGATGTTAGTTGTATTGTAACTGTCAATATTTATGTTGTGTGACGATAGAGATCAGTCTTTCAGGTTTTACTGATTTCACTTTCAGTTTCATTGTAGACCTTCTGGTTTCTGTGACATTGTTGAGATGCTTCAGACTCTGAGTCAGTGTGATGTTTGTTTTATCTTGAAGTTACATTAAAATTAATGTTAGAGTAGATTTTATTCTTTGCTGTTTATATTCTTGTCAAAGTCTTATATTTGGACATTTTCCTGTCACATTTGTCTCATTTCTTTAACAGGTTTTGAATTTTCTAGTGTTTTTCACTTTTAATTTTCTTGTGATCTTACCACCCTTCTTGGGTTGTTAATACATGACATATACATAGTAACCAGTGTCACTGAAATATACATGATATTATGTAGTAACTTAAAGATATATTTCTTCTTTACAGACATTCACAGCATGGTGCAACTCACATTTAAGGAAAGCTGGAACACAAATAGAAAATATAGAAGAGGACTTTCGAAATGGCTTGAAGTTGATGTTATTACTTGAAGTAATTTCCGGTGAACAACTGCCCAAACCCGACAGAGGCCGTATGAGATTCCATAAAATAGCCAATGTGAACAAAGCCCTAGACTTTATTGCTGGAAAAGGAGTTAAATTGGTTTCTATTGGTGCAGAAGGTGAGTGTGTCAGCCAATCAAATTGCTGGATTTTAATATTTTTTTTCAATATTTGTTATTCAGATAAATGGAAAATGGATTTAAAAGTAATTGTGAAGAGTGACTTCCATTTCTAGAGTGTTACTATTGAAAACCTGTGAATATATTGGAGCATTTGTACATGTACATGTAGCTACTGTGAAGAGAAATGTGATAAACTTACATGTGATATCATATACTTTATAAATGGAATCTAGCTTGTCTCTTGTCTGGCCAGTTTTGAATGTGCATAAGTTCGGGTATAGATAAAGTGGTTTATATCACATTTATCATCATTATGGCCATAAACGATAGATTCCCAAACTACTGTTTGGTGTTAAATTAGATTTTCTAGATATATAAAACTAAATAGCTCTATGGAATAATCTATAGAGGAGAACCTGAAAAGCATCAAGCTTCCATCTTTTTTATACCTTCATTTCTTGATTTACTTGACAACCTTTTGCACTGAAAAGCCTGCAGCAACTCATATTAACAATGATGATTGTAATTTTGTTTGACTGTTCACCATAAGGCCCACTAAAGCTTTACTATTGTCAGCCATTGTGAAATTACTTTCTTTGAAATTGTCCTGCTACCTGATCTAATAGCTTTATATATTATATACACTAGGCTAATGCCCTGTAAACTACTTGTTATTGCTTGAATCCTAGGCAATGATTTTGTTATGCTGTGGTCATTTCAGCTGACATCCCTCACTTGTTAGTCTCTTAATCAGATTATATATATTTAATTTTAGATATGGAACTTTCAGTTTTTGTATCCAAATACATTTCTTTAAGAATTTCAGAGTACTATAGCGGTTGTTAAAATATTAAGATAAACCTACTTTTAGTCATGTGTATATAACAGTTATGTCTCTGATATAATTGAAATACTTTTAGATTTTGTAAACTAAACATTTACTGCTTACTCGCATGAAACATTCATTGCTCGTAAATAAATACCTGAATTTACGGTCAATACCGCTTAAAGCTTACTATTTAAACGAAGAAATATTTGATTACTTTAATGTAAACTTATCGTACTATCAGATAAATCTATCTACAGAAGGACATGATTAAATAAGAATGAGATAATTCATCCGTGATGACCTTACATTACCAAGACCAAACTAGGTCATACCGAGTAAACTGTAAAACATGAATGCTTCCCATTGTAAACTTCATTTTAAACATGTCTCATTACTAATGCACTGTTTAGGATAGAAGTACTTATCTAAAGAATGCACATAGTTTTGAGGATGTTTTGGTTTACATAAAAATAGCTTACCTTATATGGTAAAATTTGGGATTTAAATCGGTCTTGTTATAAATCAAACTACTGGCAAAACATAAATATTTCTAACCAAGATCTAGCCTCGTGATAAGTGGTTTTGGTTGAATAACATCACAATGAATGTTGAGTGTAGAAAGGCAGTCATACCTCACCAAGTTGATGACAAAACTTACCTTGTCATTTTGCCGACCTTGTATCATTATGATTAAGATTTAATCAAGCTACTTTCCATGCGTGGAAGAATGTTTATTAATTGTTATTTTATATTCTTTTAACAGCTTTAGATACAAATGTACATTCAATTAATCTTGCTGTTAGGTTTAGAAATAGCATTTTGTCAAACATGCATTACTAAATAAAAGCATGGTTTTCTAGCATAATTCTTGTGTAGATATTGAAGTCATGCTTATTTAATGCATAAATTACTCAGTTATAGACCCAATCATGTAGTAATAAATCATGGGTATTCAGATTCTTGCAAGAAAAGACCCAAGCTTTCTCCTTGCTCAACATGCTACTGGAGGATAAAACATCTTAGATAAATTTGTATCATTCCTGGCTTTTTTCACAGGTAGGGGAAGGAGCCTTTCCCTTATTGTGGAAATTACACAGTATATTTTAAAAGGGGGAAAAAATCTTTTGTTATAAATTTAAGGGAAAGCTGACAGATTTAAAAGAATTATCTTTGGGGGAAGCTGGAGTATAACAGCTTGTGCTTTAGAAGGATATAAGCTCTGTCGTGCAAATCGACCACCAAGTGTCTTTACCTTAAAGTGGCATGCAATTTTTCTAAAGAAATATGAAATAAAATGACCAAATATGGAGTCATATTTATGATAGATCAGTTGACAACAAAATATACATCATAGTAAAGTCCAGTCTTTGCATACTCAATGTTTATTTATTTTTGTCTGTGGTTCCCATGACTTTGGTTTCTTTAGATTTGATTATCAAGTATATCATGCATGATACTGTTATATTTCAGAAATTGTTGATGGAAATGTTAAAATGACACTGGGTATGATATGGACCATTATCCTAAGGTTTGCCATCCAAGACATTACAGTTGAAGGTAAGTTTCTTAGACCACCTGCATTCATATTCTATTATCTATAAACAAACTGGTAGGTATTTTCTTAAGGTTAATGATAAAACTCGGTTTCAGTCAAATTTAGACAGTATATAAGATTTCCCTTCATGGTGCTTTGTGTGAAATTAAAATGAAAAAAATAAAACCTAGTCCATTTTTTTGCATTGCCTTTGACACAGTAGTAAACTTGTATCTATGTTTAGAACAACATGAGAAATTCCAAAGAATGAACTTCATTCATCCTAAACTTGTCTTACAAGATAATAATTTCAAAGGTTGCATTTATCTCTGACAGGAAAATGAAACTTCTACCTGTGAAATATTTGGTGGGGAGAAATGGTTTTAAAATATTTGAAATGATTCACAGTGATAATTTCTCATCTAATAACAATGTGCTATCTTTGGGTTGAAAGCTAGGTTATTTTAAACCAAACATTGATAAGGAGATTCACTTTTTGCTAGTTTCTCTTTCGAAATGAATGAAACACAGAATTCTCTTTTTATTAGAGATATCTTGATACTGTAACATTCAACAGGCAACAGGTGTTGTATGAAACCTTCATTTATAAGTGAAATGATTTGATAAATGATTGAATGAGATATTGAAAATTTATCTGGTCTTGGATCATTTAACATTCTTTTTATCTAGAAAGTTTAATTATTATACCATGGATAGGGCCTTAATGTCTATGTGGGTAAGGTTGCTGACAAAAACTCACTCTTGCCTTTCACTGCTGTTGGTATGCAATTTTTGAGAATTTTACAGAAGGTTATGGGTCAACTTGTGTACACAAAACCTTATGCCTAGAATAATTCACCAAGGGGAACCTGAGGTTTTCCATCACCAGTGTAACCACCATATGACCTTCACAGCATCAGCGTGACTTAAAACCAAAGTATGTACATGTATTGCTGCTGTATGTTAACCCCAACAACGGGAAGCCGGATATTGCAGAATCTATTGCTGGTTACTTTTGCCATACCCTGATTAAAGTTAAAATGATTTAAAGACTACTTTACTGCTTACTATTGAAAATTGGTACTACCAGTTTATAACACATCTTTGATTTCTGTTGATTATGATATAAAAGTCTCAAAATAGCAATTTATGCTATCAGGTTTTATTGGTTACTTCTATTTGGAGTCAATCAAACCACTTTATTCAGTATGTTTGTACAAGGTCACCTGCTTAACACTGCATTATCTTAGAGTCAATAGGCAGTAGCTAAGCTACCCAAATATGTCAACTTTCCTTGTACTATTGTTGACAATTAGATACACATCAGGAGGCCTGTGACTTTAAAAGATTTACAGGGTTGGAGTATAAACCATCCAGTTGGGTTACCATGGTAATTTAAAGAAATCTTACCTATTAAAGCCCTTTTGTTATAAAGCTTTATAATGCCAAAGAAAAGATAGCATTAGAATGATTTAGAATACCTATAGTTGCCCTATAATCAAAACAGCAGCCCCAGCCCTATACCAACTACGAATTATAGAGGAATCAGTGCAATAGTGTTCTTACTTGTTCTTATAATTTTTTAGTATACATCAGTTTTGTATTCTTCCATTATACATTTTTGCACACAAACACATTCAAGCATCTTTTAACACACATGTATATTTGCTCCAATTTTTCTTTCAAACAGACCTGCTATTTAATGAAATGAGATACATTAAACATACACATTTATCAAAAACATACTGCCATGACTTCTAAAACTGAAGCAGGGGTTTGTTCATACAGACTTGAGAAGAACAAAACATATTCTGTAGCCACCCATTGTAAATTGTTCAAGGAGAGATTAATTACAAATTTTTCTCACATATTCAGCTGTTGATGCAAGCTGATTAAATTTCTTACAGTGAAAAGCAGATCATTTTGTTAGGTAGACTAAGACATGTTTAATGAATGTAGAACTCAATTTTCCTCTGACACTACATTTTGTACAATATTTTATCTTACTGAAGTTGGTGCTGCTTCATTTACAACATTTCTCTTATTAAATTGCCAATTAACAATCAATGTAGTTTAGATATAGGATGCCAATCTTGCACTTGAACCACAGTGACTTTACTCTTATCTTTAGCAGAAGGAAAATATCAGAGAGAAAAAGCAAAATGTTTTATAAAGTATAGAAGAGAAGCTTTAACTGGAATAGTTAGCAATAAGAAATGATTGGAAGCTACTAAAGTTACTTGTCCACTGTTGAAGGTTCATTTTAGTAGCTTCTGACCATTGGTATTCTTGTTTTCTATGTACATCTAAATAAATGCTTATGAAGAAGTTACAAGGTTCAATTAGTAGAAAGTAAGACAACTAGGTAGAGAAATAATTAATAGCCGTTTATTATCAAGCCTGCTTTGCTAATATAATAAATGGTTAACATCTGAGGTGTATGTCTGCATGTTATTAATAAAGAGACTGTTAATATTAGCATTTAATGAAAGCAGTAAGCAGTATAACACTGTCAACATACTTATTTCTATTCATAATTACAAACAGTATCTGTGATTAAATTAGAAAGATACAACATATTGGACTCTAGGTTTGTTTAAGGCATGGACTGTCTCACCAGTAATTGTTGGCTTTGTCATGTATATATCTGTCTTTGTAGACTCTATAACTGTGGTTACAGTGTTCATGGCCTTGTTTATATGACCTGTTATGTTACACCTATCATGATTGGTTATCCATCCATTCATGACTTATTACAGACAAATGTTTACATTGTTTATGCTCTAGGAAAGTAACTGACAGCAGTTGAAATAGAATTGCAGTTATAGCAAGCAATTTACTCTTGAATAAGCAGACTTAAGTTGAAATACTGAATATGATAATCTCTTTGAAACTTTGGTTAGTTTAATTGATTTATAATTTGCTTTTGTAATATGACTGTGATGTATACAAGTTTGAAAGGTACATATAGCAAAAGGCTGCATTGAAGATTTTAAATGTGAAGTACATTACTCCTCAAAATGTTTCTAAATTTTTATCTTACATGTAGCACTACTTGATTACTAGAGGAATCAACTTGCACACAATTGCAATATACTGCAGCATATAAGATGCACAAATAATTTATTGATTACTCAGGTGCAATTTTCATTAGCTTGTAAAGAAAAAGCTACATCAACAATTGTGTGTGTTAGAAGTATTTACTGTAAGTCTGTTGGATCCAGTACTCACAAGATTCTGTCTGCTGGCACTTGAAGTATTTGCTAGGCTTGTGATATATTGGGAATACACCTAGAATAACCTTGTCTATTCGTATTGTTATACCTGTAACATAATTGAAGGTCGAACATGAAGTACAACTCTTCTATCATTGTTTATACAATCGTTTTTTGTATGATTTTTTATACAAAAAGTACATGACTGCTTTTAGACACAGTATGCTAGGGGCATTGATGTGACAAATGTATTTAGAATGTCAAGGTGGTTTATTTAGGTGTTGTAAAGGAGGAAAGTACATTCAGTAACTTTATACATGCACTAGTTATAACACAGAATGTCCACCTCTCAATTACTAGTTACTATGGCTCCCTTGCTTATCACAAATATAGCACTGAATTAAATCCTGAGGTAGTCCCTGAAACCAAGTACAATACGGTGAATACCAGTCAATGAATTTAAGATTTTAAATTAACAAGCCCGAATTCCAGTTTTGAATTTATTCTACTATATATTTAAGTTACTTTTCTTAAAATTTTCACTGGCCCAAACTAATTTTCACTGGCCATGGGCCATCGGGCCAGTACTAAATTTGATGACTGCAATGCCAGGCATATTTTGACACATAAGACATTTTGCTTTTCATTCAAATGTATAATTTTGTCTAACTTTTTCACATACTCACAAGTTACTTCCAGGTCTTAATGCTTTGAGGAGTGTAAAATGAATATTTTAAATGACATGGGTAAACATTTTGCAGATTTATTTCACTAAAAGCTTCCTGCCTGGAATGAACTTTCAATTATCGTCAGGCATAGAAACTGAAACTCTAAAGCACCAAATATTTTGTCTGGATTTTAATGGCAGTGGGGGAGTTTTATTGTCTGCTGTTTGGCACAGTATAAGTTGAAACAGGATAGAGATTTTATATATTTCACAGTTAATAGTACATTGAATAAATTTACTCCAGATATTTTCTCTAGATTTTCTGGTATTATTCATGGTTTATCAGTGATCAGAACAGGTCTTACTCTTTGGGTCAAAAGAAACTTCTTTTTTTTTGAGGCGGTTATATATATTTAGGAAGAAAATTGTTAATGAGGAATGAGCTATGACTCACGTTCACAAAAATCTTAATAACTTTAATCACATTTTACTACTTATTAGTTTTGTAATGAACAGATAATTGAGTGATATGAAGACTAGCATATACATGTATAATAACATTGTTTGTTTAATGAGAGTTAAGACAGTATTTACCTATCTAAGTATAATTTGTGTGTTTATGTTGGACATAGTTTCGTTGACATGATCATAGTTGTATGTCATATTATGTCAGCTGCTGTCATATTCCAATACAAGTAGTCATCTCAATATTAATAGTCAATAAGTTTTTCACCATATATGGTCAGTTGTGGGATACTTTATTATCTATTTCAATACATTTGTCAGTGGAAAAACTTGTTATGTCAGTTTATCTTTTGATAGTATCATACTGATAATTTTGAGGTAATTTCCTGCATATTTTTTGTGGTTAATGACTTCAAACAAACATACGTCTTGGGCCTACCAATCCTAAGTGGGCTTGTGAAACACAACTGTTTTTTTATTGAAATTTTGTTGTTGTTGTCTTTTTAACCACAAATCCTGCTTTGCATTGAATGTAAGTTTCTTATAGTTGGTATAATGATTAAAGTATGTATCCTATAATTATGTATTAATAGGTAAAAATTACAATTTATATCATTTTAATGGAAGTTCCCACACAGGCCAGGTCACAAATTTAACAGATAATTGAAGTAGATTACTAGTGTTTTACAATGTTCAAAGCTATCTTAGTGACACTTGGAAAACAAGTTGATCAAGGAAGACTTGACAGTTACATGATACAATTTCACAGTACTTCAAATCTTACAGCAGTTTCCTGACTGTTAATAGGATACTGACCTTTGTTTGCTTGTAACCTCAAACCCTTTTAAAAGGCCACAAAGATACTACCGTCTACAATAAATGTTGTGAATTACAAAAATACATGCCTCATGTAGAATATCTGACTCCACTTCAAATAAAAAAGTAACATAGTATCCAATAGTGAGATGTTGACATTCTTGAGATAGCAGTGAGTTTTAATAGGTCAGAAATTAAATGTGATGAGCCCTACATCAATCATATAGTTTATACTGTACAGATGGTGGCCTCAAGCCGATTGATTTATTATCAGGTCTGACTGGGATTTGAGTATATACCTTACCAAAATGTTTTACCAAAATTTAGAGCTGTTTCAATACAAAACATCCGAAAGATATGTTTCTTATCATTACTTTATTACCTGTTTTAAATTGCCTAGTTTGATTGCTAATGTGTAAGTTTGAATGATTTGCTGCAGCATTGTTGATGATTTATTGTTTCACAAATCCTCTGAGTCTGACTTACCAAAAACTTTTATTTATATCATGGTTCATGTGCAAAGATGTGTTTCATTGCTGGTTGGAACTTATACTTGTGAGGGAACTTTTATACATTGTGGAAAATAATAAATAGTCTTCTTTCCCATGAATATAATTATAATATGTCACTCTTGTGGAAAAAAATATAATCATTTCATATTAATTGTATGCTTTATCCTCCACGAGATATTCACAGGTATGTTTGATATTTGGCTATGGCTGTGCTTTACATAGTTTACCACCTGGCAGGTATAATCAGAGTACACCATTCAAAACAGTAGCTAATGTTGTAATTGAATGAAGCTATTTTTAGCACTTTGAGAAAGAATTCAAAATATTTTTGAAATAAGTGGGGTCAAATTAAGCAAGCAAACAATATTTCTACTTTGCAATATGGAAAAAATGTGTTAGTAAAGGGTTTGCTTGTGCACTGCAGTTTTGAATGTTAGATGTCCTGTATGTATATGTTGGTATGAAATGAGCTAGCAGATGTTAAAGAGATAGATGACCACTAGGTAGTGTTACTATAATTTATGTAGACCAAACATTGATGTATAGATTAACAAGGTGTTGTAATACATGATAATACATGGCTGATGGTAGATAATCATCTATGTATAGAGCAAACAACATGTGGGAGTCTGTCCTTCGCTAATTATTGCCACATGCTACAATAATGCATATCATACCTGTCTACATTCTGATTCACTTTATTATATTGCATGATTTTATGTTCTGTAAGTGCTCCTTACTGTTTAAAATGATCTGATTGCTGCAGACATTAGCTCATGACTCTTTGAATGTGTTCTCTCTGTTAATTGTACAATAGTGAATCCCGCCAACAATAAACATGTAAATAAAAAAAAAAGAGTTTCATCACATAATCATGTACATACTGTCATACATGTACAAGACCTTCTTGTCAAAATCATAGGTGTATGAATATAAAAGAAAAGAAAAGAAAAAAAAGTATTTAAATAGATTTATGTTGAAAGTTATGCATTACATTTGTTATAGTGTAAAAATAATGTGAATTCTAAAACAATAATGGACATGAGTGCTAAAGATTCAAAATAGGTCAAATTTGATTTTGTCATCACCTGGATATGATTTTTATACTTTATCTGTTTATTATTAACTGGTGATCATGTTAAAGCAGTATACTATGCTTCAGCTGGTAAAGAATTAGCTCAGTGGCATTTTAATGATATTTCTGTGTCAAACAATAGATGCTGTGTTACACAATAATAAGAAAATAGTGCTAATCTAGCTGAATGTGTTAACTGTTTTACATTGAAACATTGCCAGAACATAATATATATAACAAACAGATTTTTGCACCTGAGAAAGAAAAATTGTGTTAGAGCTTTTGCTTTTGTATTTCTCTCTCTCCTGCTGAAATTACAATCTGACATTGAACTGGGTACCAGCAAATTTGTCAGTTTTTGTATCAAAATGGCACAAGTTACACCATGTTATTAATTGGTTGTCTAATGCTATAACAACCCTTATTACTATGGCATTGAATTTACTATTGAATAATGATTGAACTTAGATAATTAACATGTGTCAGGCTTTCAGTTGTTGTGTCATTGATGTTTCAAGGACTGTTGACATATAAACCAGTTATTGAAAACAAGCGATACCATTTAGTCATGTGTTCCAGATATTGATCTAAAAATTATTGCTCCTAAAATAAATACTACTGGCCAATGATTTGTAACATAATCATGTACAATGATATACATGTATGAGAAAAAATCATGATCATTCTCCCAGTTGTTCATTTTTTGCTTATTACATTATAAGTACCAGTAATTTATGATTATGTAAGTGATTGTGTCTGTGGGTGTGGCATATCATGACCATATTCTAAATAAAGAATAGTGCTGGTAGCTGAATGCCCTGAAGAGGCAAGGTTATGTGAATGTTTAAATGACCTTATATTGAGAACTAAAAAGGCTAGACCTTAAAATTTGCATGGCATTTAAACAGAGGTTTATTGTATAACACCTATGGCAATTACTTGTTTTAAAATTCAACTGTTAAATTGCCTGCTGAAATGCATGAGTAAAATACAGACTTTCTTTCTGCTCTAATATTTCATGGCAGGTGAAACTTTAGGCTATAAAATTATAATAAACATGTTAAAATGCAAATAAATCATGTACAAGCTGCACCCAAATTTGAGATGTGTAAAATATTTTACCTATTTGATAGTTCATGAATTAAATGTAATAGTAAAATGTTTAGAATGATAAATGTGCATACGTAAAAAATATACACACACATTTTATAATGATGTTGATGTAATTAAAGAGCAGTGTACAAGCTTTAGGGTAGGCAAAACATCAAGGTGACATTAAAGGTGACATGAGTATCTTCAGGCTTGGTTGTTTTCATTATGTTCATAGATGTAGCAAGCACCATGATGGGATGTCCTTATTGTGTTATATTTTATGAAATTTGTCCTTTAATAAACCATTTTAGATATTTTTATTTATTACGTTTTTATAAAATATCCCCCTAAAATGTAATAAAAATGTCATAACCTTCTCAACTGTGTACAGATATGTATTTTAAAGGATGTTAAAATTCAATTGATTTACAGTTATACATTATCTGATTTTATGTTACAGAATTTGACCTTAACTGTTTAAATGAGATGAAAGAGTTAAAGTGAGACTTTATTATGACATAGGGTTTGAATCTTAATTAGGCCACAACCGTATTTCTTTCCATGACCACAGCAGTACTGGCTAGTCCAGGAAGCGGCCTGACACATGACCAACAACATTATTGGAATGATCTAGATTCACTGGCGATCTAAAAGAATTATTTTTGAACTAATTAACTAAATGTTATAAAATATTTATGAGAAAGGTAAAACAGAAAAATAGATATGTACATAGTCATTAGAAAAGCTATAAATAGATTTTTATTATAATTTTCAGAACTGACAGCTAAGGAAGGCTTGTTGTTATGGTGCCAGAGAAAGACAGCTCCATACAAAAATGTTAATGTGCAGAACTTTCATCTTAGGTATGTATCTGTTGGCACGATAGAAATTGTTAGAAGTGTGACAGGTAAAATATTCTCCTATGTTGATTATAATGTATAGATACCAAGTTTATGATCATAGTACCATGTGGAAGGTGTAGTTTTTGTTTGGTTTGAGTCTCCGAAATGCCAACAACTTTGGGTCAGGTGTGAAAGTTATGATGAATATGAAATATAACCGGAGTATTATTTAAATTATTGAAACCGCTATATAGAAAGGCTGATAATCAATTTCCATCCCTGTTACAAATCTTGATTCAGCAAAATTATGTGCTCCTTTCAACATGATTTATAAATGTGTACCTTACATTGAGCCTTGAGGCCTCCTGCTATTTTTTTTCTGCTGTTATATTCAGTATACATTTGTATAGCACATTGAATACCGTAAAGTGCAGAAGAAATTATTTTTAAATGTATTTATCATAGTGCAAATAAAGCTAAAACTTAAAAGATTTTTTTTTCATAGAACATTAAATGTTTTAAAGAGGTTAATAATGATTCAGTTGTAAAAAGTTCTATTTTTAGCTATTGAGAATAAAGAGTTAAGTGTCAGAGTGTTTTAGATTAGAGCATTTAAAATAGTAATATTTATAGATTATAATATTGACTGATCACCCATCTAGCTTATCTTTCAATCATACAAACAATGAACAATTATGCAGTATTTGTTTGCATTTAAAGATTTCAAAGATCACAGAGATAGACAGATAATGATGTACATAGATTTATATAGATGAAATTAGATCCTCAATACACAGAAGACATAATTGTTCCCGTCCATCATCATATTTGTCGCGTCCATCATCATATGAGCCGTGTCATGACAAAACCAACATAATGGGTTTGCGACCAGCATGGATCCAGACCATCTGCGCGCAGTCTGATCAGGATCCATGCTGTTCGCTATCAGTTTCTTTACTTGTAATAGGGTTGGTAAGCGAATAGCATGGATCCTGGTCAGACTGCGCGGATGCGCAGGCTGGTCTGGATCCATGCTGGTCGCAAACCCATTATGTTGGTTTTGTTGTGACGCGGCTCATATTTGTTCCCGTCCATCATTTACATAGCATCATGATTTTGTCTGTTAATGCTTCATTTCCAATGAGAGAACAAACAGTTTGGTGCCATATTGTAATTGTGTAGCTGGTATTGAATGACAACAATGTAAATGACAACAATAATGTGAAAGAAGAATTTACACATCTTGAATTTCATTGTTTCTACAATGAGTTCCTGGTATTAACTTCAGTGAATCATATGCTAGTCTCAGAGAGAGAAACTGACTCAAATAACAGGACCTATTTCATGAGAAGACGATTGATTTTTGGTTGTTTTGTGACTGAGAGATGCTGTCAGTGTTTATACTGATATTCTACCATTCATCATCCTCCAGGGGGATTATGGGTGTTCAGCTTGACAGCTAATATGAATTCTTTTGGGGTTTTTACCACTTAAAAGATACTTGGGACCAGTTTTGAGAAGAATATCAATGGTTCTTAAATGATAAAACAATAGTTCAATAAGGAAAATATTTGTAATGTGAAACAAACATTAACCAATGAAAACTGAAAACTATGGCTAAGCAAATTTTCCAAAAGCTTCTGTTTTCATATTCTGTCAGTACAAACCTGCATTATATAATCAAAGCAGGAAAAATTTTAAATGATAGGGCATTCATAAACATTCTAAAGTTGAAGTAAATGAGGCTCAAAAATAGATGAAACTTTCACCCTTCAAGATCATGAAGAGTTTATTCTGACAGGTTTCTGATGTAGTGTATTAAATCATGAAGTAATTGAAAAGTTTAAATGTGGAAATGAACACCTACTGAGGAATTTGAAAATGACTCAGTTTTACTGAAAGGTTTATAATAAATCAAGTTTTTACGTCATTCATTCAAAGAAATTTTTAGCTCGACTATTCGATAAGAATAAGTAGAGCTATTGCAGTCACCCGAGCGTCGGCGTCGGCGTAACCACTTATGTTAAAGTTTTTGTAATAGTTCAAATATTTTCAAAGTCCATTGACATATGGCTTTGAAACTTTGCACACTTGTTCACAATCATGACCCCAACCTGTAGACAGGAGGAGGTAACTCTATCAAGCATTTTGACAGAATTATGCCCCTTTTTCGACTTAGAATTTACGTTAAAGTTTTTGTAATAGTTCAAATATTTTCAAAGTCCATTGACATATGGCTTTGAAACTTTGCACACTTGTTCACAATCATGACCCCAACCTGTAGACAGGAGGAGGTAACTCTATCAAGCATTTTGACAGAATTATGCCCCTTTTTCGACTTAGAATTTACGTTGAAGTTTTTGTAATACCTCAAATATTTTCAAAGTCCATTGACATATGGCTTTGAAACTTTGCACACTTGTTCACCATCATGACCCCAACCTGTAGACAGGAGGAGGTAACTCTAGTAAACATTTTGACAGAATTATGCCCCTTTTTTGACTTAGAATTTACGTTAAAGTTTTTGTAATAGTTCAAATATTTGCTAAGTCCATTGACATTTGGCTTTGAAACTTTGCACACTTGTTCACCATCATGACCCCAACCTGTAAACAGGAGGAGGTAACTCTATCAAGCATTTTGACAGAATTATGCCCCTTTTTCGACTTAGAATTTATGTTAAAGTTTTTGTAATAGCTCAAATATTTTCAAAGTCCATTGACATATGGCTTTGAAAATTTGCACACTTGTTCACCATCATGACCCCAACCTGTAAACAGGAGGAGGTAACTGTATCAGGCATTTTTTTACTATCAAGCACTAAGAATAGTCGAGCGTTGCTGTCCTACCGACAGCTCTTGTTAAATTGACTAATAATAAATGGGAAGTTTGTAATATCCTTAAAAGTTACTTAACTTCGTTTTGTATCAGTATAGCTTTTTAGTCATTTAATTGTTATTAAAATTTTCACATTTTTGAATTGATAAGAGGGGTTGAAGTTTACTTCAATTTAAAATTGTCCCATAGAAATGTCAGAACTACTGTGTGAAATTAAAGTTCATGATGAAATACAATGGCTTTATGTCACAATGAAATTATATTTGGAAATTATTATTATTTTGTATCTATTGTTCTTCTGATAAAAATGACTAAGGTCAGGAAAACTTCCTTGTCTTGATTTTAAAGAGTGTATATAACAACTTGATTATGCTTTTTGTACACTTGTTATGTTGTTTTTATCAATTGCACTTTTTATTTAAGTGATTAAAATCAGCAGATTTTGTAGTATAGGTTTCATGATCTAACTTAAAGTGTAATACCATGTTTGGTGTTTCTTGTATATTATCTATGACAATATCACTGACCATATATGATATGCTGTTGTAGCTGGAAGGATGGTTTGGCCTTCTGTGCTTTGATACATCGCCATAGACCAGAACTCCTAGACTTCTACAAACTTTCGAGGGTAAACATTGCCACATGCTGCCTGTGTGAAATCCCTCCCAGTTTCTGCTTCATTTACATTACTTATAAGTTATTAGTTGTATACAGATATGATACAATATTAAACAGATACAGTTTACAGAGTTTGCTATAATATTTATAAAAAAAAACATAAGCTATGAAATTCAGATACCTGGTTATGAATATATTACTGCATCACTTCCTGGAAATACATGATAATGAATAAATATAAGCTAATATTTTAAAAGTTTGGAATTACAACTACAGCAGAAAATAAAGTTTAATGTTTTCAAACAGAACGATGCTATTTATTTGCTGTACAAAAATGCTAACTTTCATTTGACATTATTTAATTTTAGAAGAGGAAATGAAATGTAAACAAATCTCTTTAAGCTTACATTTGCTTTTGGCATATTAGGTTTGTTTGTTCCTTTTTACAGATTTTTTTTACAGAAATTTTACTTTGTGTTTAAAAAAATCAACTTAGTTTCTTCTGTTTTGGTTCTTTTCTTTGTAAAACATGGGGAGAAAAGTGTAGCTAGCTGTCTGAATCTGTTTAGATTGTAATATATCTTTGAATTATTTACAAGAGTTCCCCCAGGAGAGAAAGCCCGGTGCCTGACAGATGACAGGAACAGATTTGTGCTATATGTGTTAACATGTCATTACCAGATTATTATTTACATATTGTTAGCTTGCAGAATGTTTAGTTTTATGCATGGGATTGTCTGAGGGAGCAGTCTTTTTATTTTATTTTTTTTCTGGTTTATTTGAAACACACAGCAAGAGATTTCAACATATCAACGGATGATCATTACAAGTGCATGGAACTGAAAAAGTTACTCCCTAGCTGCAGTTGTAGAAGAAAAAACCCCTACAGCAAAATTAGAGATAAAAATAACCAAACTAAATTTGTTTATTAACAAGCATGTGTATCTGAGCCTGTAAGGAAGTTAATAGTGACTTGCGTAATGTAAGGCCGAATAAAAAGTGTGTTTGCTGTCTCTTGACTAACTTGACGGAAAATTTTGACACTGATTATTTAGCATATTTGTTCAGTTGATATCTCATTATAATCTTGATTATATTAAGATTTGAAATATGCATTGCTTAATGAAGAATATTTATCAAAAAGACTGACATGTACATTCCATAATACTTTTCAAAATAAGGTGAGGGTATACCAAAGAATTCAACTACAAAGTAAGGAAAGGAGATAGCAAGCATACTTTTGTTTGTGAAAAATTTGGTCTAAGTTAAAGTTACTCTCATTTGTTTGGGAAGGTTACTTCCATGGCATTGCATGTTGTTTGTATTATCCTTCAGTTTCAAAGATGGTTTGGCATTCTGTGCATTGATTCATAGACATCGGCCTGATTTGATAGATTATCATGCCCTCTCTAAGGTAAGACATGGGGACCAGACAAACAGATGTGAAGCATGATAGGGTTTTTAAATTTTAATTTTATTTTCTATTGCTTTCGATTATGTTTTAGTTAAATGAGTTTTGCTTTCATGGTGTAAGCTTGTTTATATGTAACACTGCATTTGATAACTTATTAGTGATACAGTAAACTGTATTAGATATCCAAAGTCTATAAAAGATATCCACAGCCTATAAAAGCCCCATTATTTTAATAAATTGCTATTATTATGAAGGTCTTTGTACATTTTCAGGAAGATACAATACAATTATGATAAATACTGCAAATTTCAAGATAATTAAACTGTTAAGTGACAGTTGAAGTTGAATATCCGTAAATATCAGATCTTTTCGCCGAAAAGTCAATATATGTATCCTAAGATACTTAAGTCATCATCTTCTACTTGAAGTTTCCATGAATGCGTTCAAAAGATTACTTGAAACTTGAATATAAAATCACGAGATAATATCACAATTATCATGTAAAGAAACACTTGAAATTTATAAATTGTTTGTTTCACATTTGTAGTGTTGTTTCTTTTGTTAATTGATGTAGAACAATGGAAAGGAAGCAAAAACCTTCAATATGTTTGTGTAAGAAGGAAGGCAACAATTTTAATCTCCCTATAAGTTTATACAGATGATGTTACATCTTTAAAAATTAAGATTGTTTAATGTACATTTTACAATTGAGACCACAATCAGGTTATACAGCAAAACTAATTTGTTTAATGATATAATCTTAGTTGTTTGCAAGTCAATAAAAATGTTCCTTTTTTATAATACCCAATAAAGTACTGTTTCTGATGCTTCAGTCAGTTGAATTGGTCACTAAGTTGATTACAGCATTGATTTACAGACAATGTTTGTAATTGTAGGACAATCCATTGGAGAACTTGAACACAGCTTTCGATGTTGCCGAGAAACATTTGGATATCCCACGCATGTTGGACCCAGAAGGTAAAATAAACCAGTCACCACATCATATCTAATTAATTGAAGCTTATTTACAGAGACATTATTGATTATATAAGATAGTCATTTTACATTAAAAGTAAGCCTAGGAGGTTTGCAATAAAGTAGATATCAAAAGGACTTAGTCTTAAAGCCATACAAAGTTTAGTGAATAAAAATTTAACAATCAAAATACAGAATTCTCTTCCTATCTTTATTTTACAATTGTACATGTCCTGAAATCTGTTTTTTGTGTAAATGGTCCTTTCATGAACAATCTAGACTTGATTATGTAATTAATACCTGTACTAATACATTTTAAAATTGATCTCTGTGTCTTATTCAGCCTGTTTAAACCATCTAGTATGATATGCAATGAATTAATTTTGATGCAGATGTATATATACTCAAAGACTACGATAATATAAATACAGTCTCTTAACATACCACTCCTTAGATAAATAAAATGTTCTTTCTTTAATATAATTCTAGGTCTTTACAACATTTCTTTCTTGTTTTATTATAGATATGGTTAACTCAGTCAAACCAGATGAGAGATCAGTTATGGCCTACGTCTCTTCATACTACCACGCTTTCTCAGGGGCACAACAGGTTAGTTTCAATCCTAAATCAGAATTATTTTGTTAAGTATATTTTAACCACTACCTTACAGACAGAAACCAAATCTCACCAGTGCAACCAGTGCCGACCAAGATCACTGGCATATCCCTGCTGTCTGATCATGGTCTGCATTGTTCACTATACAAATTACGAAATTTTCATCAAAAATGATAAATGGTTTTGTCCAGAACAGTGTGGACAATTCTAACACTATCGGATTTTTTGCTATATAGACAAAGAAGGCCCGAAGCGTGCATTATTCTACAACAATGCACTCGCCGTTCTTATTACCTCCCTGTGTATTTTCACATTGAGGGCGCCATTTTGTTTAAAAAATCTGATAAATAAAAACATTTTTTGTCGAATTTTGTTGTGAAAGCTATCTAGAATGAAAGAAAATGGTCTAACTAAGAAAATGAATCCGAACACCAATATCTTTAATTCAGTCGTTAACGCTGTACAGACGTTTAAAGTGTTGTTTACGTGACGTCACAATGTAGCGCCAAACAGCACGTGCACAACAATCAAATCAAGAACGCTTTTTTAATGTCGCAAACGAGTTAAGTTTTACACTTATTTCACTTTTAATAATTTGTATTTCGCTTGAAAAATTATAGAGTAAAATAAAATAAACAAACAAAGATTTATCAACGTTTTCAAAATTCGTTATTCTCAAAATGTTTCTACACACGGTAGATTTAACGACAGTTTTTTTTCAACCCACTGGAACAGCCTTTAAAGAACGTTTCTATTGGAAACTCTGAGGCGAAAACAAATTTATCCACCAAACATAAAGTCCAACTTTATAATAATAATTATATTTTTTCTTGACGTGTTAGAATGGAAATAGATATCTATTCTTCATGCATTGTTGTATAATAATGCACGTTTTTCGTTCAAATGCTTTGTAATTAATCACTCAGGCCTATCGGCCTTCGTGATTATATTACTACGCATTTGAACTCAAACCGTGCATTATTCTACAACAATGCACTCAGAATTGATATCTATTTCCTAAGTATATTTAAGATATTTAGTGTGTAAATGGACAGTACCACAATTGACCATATAAATATTAATAAAGGTAGCATTCAATGAATTTGCTTGAAATTGAAATTGAGTGTTCTGTACTAAAACCTATAGTAGATCAATTAAACAGAACCTTCAAGATGTTAAATTGTTCTTACTTATTAACTGTTCATGTATAACATTGAATAATATTATATTTTGTTAAAAATTTGAAGTTTTTACAGTTAAAAGGTTGTGTAATATGTCCCAGAATGTAACATATTGTATAACATATAATTCATCATTGGCTTGAGATAGATAAACATGATGCAGCAGGTGTCACAATGTTTATATATTGATATCGTTGTTTATTGTATGATATAAACTGTAACAAATATTTTACCATCTGATATAAACTGTAACATACATGTATTTACAGGCTGAAACAGCTGCTAACAGAATCTGTAAAGTGCTGAAAGTGAACCAGGAGAATGAGAGATTGATGGAAGAATATGAAAGACTGGCCAGTGATGTAAGTATCATACAAACACAGGAATATACTTAAGATTTTGCCTTGTAACACTGAACCAAACCCATTCCATATAAATTAGTGAAAATAATTTTTATATCAACTTCCATACATATTTAGTATCATTCAATGAATTACTGAATTCAAAAGTTATAGGTCACCTTTTGTTTGACAATAACATTTAAGGACATTAATGGTGACATGTCCTGGGTCGGTACTCTGCGGATGAACCCTCATTAAGAATACATACATACATACTTATATATCAAATTATTTAAACAGTTCCCTAATTAGATTATTCGTGAATTTTCAACATTTTTACAGCAATATAAATTATATCAGTTTGTCAATTGATAAAGTTTTCATTATAGACTTTTTTGTCTCTTAAAACAATCAGTTTTTGTCACATTCTGGAAGTTCTGCAGCAGACATTAGAACCTGATACTGTTTATCATGCCATAAAATGTAACAAATATCAACCTTTAATTGTATTTGTATCATTGTATTATCAGTTATTGGCATGGATCAAGAAAACAACACCCTGGTTGGAGAACAGAACCACAGACAATACTTTACCCGGCACACAACGAAAGCTTGATGAATTCAGAGATTACAGACGTAAACAGAAGCCCCCTAAGCTTGAAGACAAGGCCAAACTGGAAAATAGTTTCAATACTCTCCAAACACGACTCAGACTTAGTAACAGACCAGCATATCTTCCAACTGAAGGAAAAATGGTCTCCGTAAGTAATGTTAAAATCATTCAAATTGAGGAATTTTAAGATATGATGTTATATCAACATGCAAATTGAAAAGTTTTTTTGAAAATTGTGGTACCTGTTTTATTTCAGAGTTACAACCATGAGCACTAGGCTCCCAGTATGTTGTTGAATTCAAGAAAATTTCTTTCTACATTGGTATTTTCAGTGAAGTTTTTAATGAAATGTTTTAAAGCATATTTTATGATAACATTATGATATATATCACTGTGACCTGTCAGCTTCATGTCATCATGATGTGACTTGTTCTGAACTGTTTTACAGGACATAGCAAATGCCTGGAAAGGTTTGGAATTTGCAGAAAAAGGCTTTGAGGAATGGCTACTTTCAGAATTACAAAGGTAATTGTGTGTGCCTCCTAACCTGTTAACCAAATTTTTTATTGGCAAATATTGCAAATATTTTACAGGATATATCAAATGCATGGGGCCGTATGGAAACGGCCGAAAAAGACTTTGAGGACTGGTTAATATCCGAGCTGAGGAGGTAAATTTTACAACACCCTTATTACAATGGGTCTGGTAGATGGTGTACTTATATAATCATTATACTAGTCTATCATAGAACATGAGGAAGGTGTCCATGCAGATTTAGAGAACATGACAAAGGAGTTCAGCTATCAGTTGTTTTCTCTCTATTTTGAAATTTAGTTCCCATTTTACCCTTTTTGTTATGATTATATATACTAACACAGAGTTCCAGATAATTTTTTTACACTGGGGGTAATTACCCCCACTTTTCAGAATGTGGGGGTAAATTTAGATATATCGTAAATCAAAAGGGTACAATTAAATTACTTACTTTTTTGTACAAAAATAATATGATCCTTTGAAAATAGAATATATTTTAATGAAAATACATTAAAGATATTTATTTTGTATTAATTTAGCAGATATTTAGCATGAATTCACTTCAATTGAAAGGCCTTTACCATATTCTTATTTTATTTTATATTGTTTACAACAAAAATCGGTGACAATACATAAACAGTAACGTTACAAATAATCACCAGTCAATTGCCGATTTCTGCATGTTTATTGCACCTTCATTAGCCCATACATTGCCAGCTTTAAATTTATGACAAGTCAGATGTATGAAATTTGAAAGCCACGGATAACATTTTTGCCAATTTTCAAATGTTGTGTTGCGATTCACAATGTTCGCCCTTTTCGTTTTAAATACACGATCTAAAATGTCTTCAACAATAGGATTCACAATTGTTTTAGCGGGTAACTGAGTTGCGTTAAAAAAATTGTCAGTTTTCCTCTGCTTTGGTTTGGAAGCAGCCATGATGTACGTCTTTATTACCAAACGCTTACAATTATAAAGGAAATCAAGCCACACGTTTTACCAAGCGCCTACGCGATAAAGACATAATTTGACTGGTTTACAGAATGAAAATTAGTTGGAAGTATTTTGGCGGGTATTAAACGGAAAAAGATACACAGTCAACTGTTAAACGGAAATGGAATCAGCTGTTTCGAAAATGAAAGTACACACCAAATACGCTTCGATTTTTCATTCTATGCGTATCTGATTTATAGCGTGCGTAAATGAACGCAACAAATTTGAAATATGGTGCGTATTTAGTTGCTTTTGAAGCGTAAAATACGCCGATACGCACGTTATCTGGAACTCTGTTAAACATTTCCTATATTTTGGTGGAAGTAAAACTAACATTTATCTTGGCTAATAGTAGTGATGAGTCTTTTCAGGTTACATGAAACAAAGCAGATACAAAATGTAGATTTTTTTTCAGGCAGATTCAAGCATGCTGGGTTGTAGATTAAGATAAATATTAAAAGTAACATTTTAGTAGTCCTTCCTGGGTATTGGAACATTGACTTCTAACTTTGTAATAGTTCAAAGTTTATTTTCAATTTTGTTTAAATACAACAACTTTTTAGAAAGTAAAGAAAAATTTTGAACCAGTAGTTTTTTGTCTTAATCAAGATAAAATTGCAATGATATCTATATAATTATCATTTTGTTTAATACTAAAATCCAAGTTTTTTTGTATTCATCATGTGTAAGTTATTTATGATACAGACATTTACTAATTTCTAAATGAGAGATTTATGAAGTATTGAAAGCATTTATTTAGTTTAACCTAAATCTGACATACATCTTTAACTTTTTTCCCCCTATTTTATTTAGTTGATATTTTTCACTAAGTTTTTCAAGATAAAAGTAGTTTGAATAGATTAGAATATAGCTATAGTACTGTGCAACATGTGATATTTGTATAGATTGGAGAGATTAGATCATCTTGCACAGAAGTTCCGTCACCGTTGCGAGATCCATGAGGACTGGGCCGAGGGTAAGGAAGACATGTTACAGAGTCAAGACTTCAAGAGATGTAGACTTAATGATGTTAAGGTATGCATAGTGATGTTAGGACTTTTCTGTGGGTCCTCGTATTGTCCTGACATTTACATTGGTGTAATATTATAACTGACTTGAGGAAACTTTCCATTTTTTTCAGTCACACACAGGCCAATATCTTCATAGTTTCATATATATGACATTTGTTTGTCAAATGTTTTAAGATAATGTTGTTTTAAGGTCAGATATTACTTTTATTCTTTTTGCTTCCTGTTATGGGAATTAGTTGATATATGCTTTCCTGTCAAAAAAACATAAAATAGGTTACACTAATTTCCTATTCTGTGATCAGATCTATTAGTTGTATCAGCATTAATATAACAAAGATAAGAACTAGCTGAGTGAATTTCCTCCTGGTTATGCATCAGTGTGTATCTCATTAAATTGATGCATTATTTATTTGATAAAAAAACTAGATGTACTATTCTTTATTACTTAAATTCTCATTTCTTGCATTCTATCCTGTAATGAAAGTTCTACCACAGTTATATTCGGATTAATCACTTGAGATAATTAGAAATATGGCAATTGTTCAAAGTACTGATGATCATTTTCTCTTAATGTTTACTTTTTTCCTGTTATGAATTACTGATTTTATTAGTAGAAAGTATGTAAGACGTGTTCAAGTTTGTGATTATTTAATGACTTGTTTATGCATTGAAATGCATACTTTACTTACTTCTTATAAATTCACAAGCCAGTTTCACCACTGTTGTGGCATACCCATTATCAAAGCTCTAGTAAAGAACCCACCCTTTATGGTAAAGTCCCTGCTAAATGTCCACAAATTGTGCATAGGACATGTTCTGGACTATTCTGGCATTGACATGCTCACAAAAAACACAAAAAAAACTACCAGGTTAACCCTGCATTTCCGGGACATTCAAAAGCTTGGCTTAGTTCCCAAGGTTACCCATGCACTGCCCTAGGGATGGGGTACTAGGGTTATAATGGACTGTCACAGTTACTTGCAAATGTCTTGATAAAAACATGCTAGAAATTATTGTTAACATAAAAACTAGGTCAAAAGACGCATGATTTGCAAAATCATTAATTTGTAAACTTATTTATCATTGTGTGAAATATCCCCAGAACTAGTACGCAATAATAAATGAAATATGACTCTATATATCTAATTGTAGTAATTGACTTGCTTTTGACATATGCTTTCATTTCAAAGTACACTCTTCTGAAACATATATATGTACTTATGTTATTGATGTTATCAGATGTCATATCATATATATCATATATTATTATGTATTTTAGGCAATGAAGAAGAAGCATGAAGCGTTTGAGAGTGATCTAGCAGCACATCAAGACAGAGTAGAACAAATAGCAGCCATAGCACAGGAACTTAAGTAAAACTCTTACTTCATACATCTATATGTTAACTGTTACCTCCCTTGATTCACATTTCATGACTTTATTTAAGAAATCATAAGGGGTACAATGGCATAGTGGTTAAGGTAAAACTGCCATTCAAACTAGGGATCATGAGTTCAAGTCCTACCAACATGAAAACCATGTTTCATTTTAAGACATCAATACTGGTTATTCACAGGAAGTGGGCTAGAATGTTTGAATAATTTGATTGAAAGCTACACACCTCAAGCTTAAATAAATGTTGTTTGAATTAAACCAATCCAAAAACGTCAGAAGCAATATAGAATTAATATTGTATGGCAAATAAAACAATTTTGTTAGCAAAAAAAGTAAGAGTATGAACAATGTTAGATGAGAGCAATAGATTAGAGTCAGCAGATAAAGTCTTACTTATAACAATGTTTCATAGAGACAGTTGTATGTTATGTAATAGATCTTTTTCAAATTTTAATAATTTTAAACTAAGAGACAATTATCTAAACTTTTTTTTTGCTTATATAATAAAATGTTTTGGTTTTTGTTTCCAGTGCTTTAGAATATCATGATATAATAGCTGTTAACAAACGTTGTCAACTTATCTGTGAACAATGGGACAGACTTGGAACCCTCACTGCAACAAGGAGGGTAGCCTTAGATGTAAGAAACATCATCATTTATATAACTGTCGTGTTAAAGCATTTGAACTCTTTATTTCCTAAACTTATTCTTGTATAAACTCTTTCATCGCAAATATTGCTTTACTTCTTTGACCATAAATGCTGGTCTAATATGTTTTGAGATTGCGCCTGTCAGGACAGAAAATCTTTGATGTTTACATTGGTGATATTTTCAAACAGGGTGATGATTATTGTTAAGTTAAAGTTTTAAGGAAAACACACTTTGATAATTAGATAAATCTGAGTTTACGTAATTTGTATAAAATGTGTAAATTATTTTTAGATATGTTTTAATTGATATGATTTACTTTACAGGAAGCTGAAAATATATTAGAAAAGATAGATTCACTTCACCTTGAGTTTGCTAAACGAGCAGCAGTAAGTATATTGTTACATCAATTATATACACAATTAGTTCTACTTTTACAGAAAAATTGTGTTGTCAGGGTAACAGATTGGATTTATAAATCCAGGGATATATTGGGTTACAAATTATTGTAAATTTCTCTCTAATTTGAATGTATATAATTACTGAAACTCAGTCTGCCATATGTTACAACATGCCTTATAGATGTTTTAAATACACTGTCATTTCTGTCACAGCATTCTGAAACTTGTTTATTTATACTGTTGAGCACAATACAATATTATTTAGTATAATACAAAGTGTAAAAAAAAATGCTTGCACTTTAACACATGATATTCAGCTTCAATCACAATATGGTGTCAGGAGGCTGTAAAATGTTGATGCCATTATATAGTATTAAACTGTTAAATCAGTAAGAATGTGAAATCAGTAAGAAATCTTGATTAATATCAATATTAGTTGATTTGTTAATCATAATGTAATATACAATTTAATATGAATGCAGGTTATTATATAACATAATTTGTTTTCAGCCTTTCAATAACTGGCTGGATGGAGCCAAGGAAGATCTGTTAGACATGTTTATTGTACACACAACTGAAGAAATTCAGGTATTATACCTATATTTAATCACCAAATTGTAGCAAGGAAATGATAATTGCAGTTTAATTAAATTTCAATTAAGACACTGCAGAAATGTGAATTAAGTTGAATTTATTTTCATTACAAAACAAGATGTTGGAAATCATCTAAGTTTCTTATTTTGTAAAGTTTATGAAAGTAAATGAAAGTTATAATTCTGCTTATTTTATGTACAAAATGTATGAGAATTTTTAACCTGTATTTTCACTATATTTGTAGGAATTGTTTGAGGCACATGAACAGTTCAAGTCAACACTTCCAGAAGCAGACAAAGAATTCAATGCTATTATGCGTCTTGCCCAGCAAGCACAATCTCTCTCGTCTTCTATTGGCATCAGCAACCCAGAGAATCCATACACTACCGTTGATCCTAAGGTATATATCTATATCTTATCTTGTTTTATCCAATCCCTAGGGGTTCTAAAGTTTTTGCAAATTGCTAGCTGAACATTTATTTGATTTATTTTAAGAAAAAATATGAAATGATGTCATTGTTTACTTAGAGGTTTTTTGTCATCATCTTTTGGATTGATTTACTTTGTAATATATTATTTGAAATGATCACTTAAAAGTATTACAGTTTTGATAAGGCATACAAATGTTTTGAATTTTAACCAGATGTTGAAAATATATATCAAAATTAGATGCTATCAACAAATCCATAAAGATGGAATACTGCTAGTAAAGATGACATCATAGATTGCTTTTTTATCTTTTTATGATGCTTGTTTTGTTTACTGTTTTGCCAATGAGGGTCATTCTTAGCAAATTGTTCTTTATCATTTATTAAAATATTGCTTTGGAAATGAATGTTCCTAATTTTTTTTATTATAAACACAGTTTATAAATTTGATAAACATATTTCATAAGATATAGCTTATACCCTTTAGATAATAGATGCTATAAAGGAACAAGTTATGAAGTAAATAAGCTAGTTGTGCAATATTTAGAATCCTGAAAGTTAAATATTGTCATGATGGTACTGAATGATTTGTAGAATGATGATATTGATAATGCATTTAAAATATACAGCATTGATTCTTTTTTTTTACCATGATCATTATTAATTGAGTAGTAAAGAAGTTAAGAAATATATTCATGTAAAGGCATAACCATTTCTATTAAATTATCACTAGTTTAATGTAATTAGTATAATCACTTCATTTTAATTACATAGTTGCTGTAAGCCATATACATATAATTGAAATACACTAAGACATGTTTTGGTGATCTTGAATTTATGTTAGGTCTCGATGAGGTTTTATGAAATTGTTATATAGTATTTAATCATGTTAAAAATGATACTGCTGGACTTACTGCCCCCAGTCCCATATTTGCATGACCCAATTCTAACTGCAACAAACTGTTAGTACTCGGAGTTTTGAGTTCAGCTTTGCAGATTTTTATTAAACACTCGGTCTGCAGTTTTACCATTCTATGTGGGGTTATCTATTGGAATTTAAAATGAATTTGGGTATGGAGCAGTATATTTGAAAAAAAAAAATGTAAAGATGCAGAACATGAGAATTAATAAAATCTGGGTCACTGAAAAGTTTTGCTAGGATATTATTTTTGTTTGCCCATTATGTTTTTTACTCATCATACATGTATGTTTTTCATGCCTTTGCTTGGATAGGAGGTTAGTATTGCGCAATCATCTATGTTCACTAATTACTATTAACATCTTAGCATTACACATACTTTAGCATTAATATTGTGGTAATCCTGCTTTCTTAAATGGGTAGTAGTGGAAGTATCAAAATAAAATCAAATTACCAATTTGTTTAATACTTAAAGTTCAAGTATATAAAGTAAAGTGTAAAAAGAATTAAGAATTCAATTTTTATGCCCCCGCCATGTAATGGCCGGGGCATATAGTGTTACCCTGTTCCGTCATTCCGTCCTTCCGTCCTTCCATCCTTCCGTCCTTCCGTCATTTTGTCATTCCGTCATCATCAGTTTCCGTTCATTGTCTTAAGAACGGTTGGGCACATTCAACTCAAATTTGACATATGGATATGTCATGAGAAAATACAGGTCAAGTTCGAATTTGGTCATGGTTCGATGATTTTTGGCAGAGTTATGCCCCTTTTACTTTGAAAATAATATGAAATTTCAGTTTCCGTTCATTATCTCAAGAACGGTTGGACACATTTAACTCAAACTTGACATATTGATATGTTATGAGAAAATACAGGTCAAGTTCGAATTTGGTTATGGTTCAATGATTTTTGGCAGAGTTATGCCCCTTTTACTTTGAAAATAATATGAAATTTTCAGTTTCCGTTCATTATCTCCCCAACGGTACAACACAATCAACTCAAACTTGACATATGGATATGTCATGAGAAAATACAGGTCAAGTTCGAATTTGGTCATGGTTCGATGATTTTTGGCAGAGTTATGCCCCTTTCACTTTGAAAATAATAATAAATTTTCAGTTTCCGTTCATTATCTCCCTCAAGGTACAACACATTCAACTCAAACGTGACATATTGATGCGTCAAAGGAATGCGCAGGTCAAGTTCAAATTTGGTCGTGGTTCGATGATTTTTGGCAGAGTTATGCCCCTTTTACTTTGAAAATAATATGAAATTTTCAGTTTCCGTTCATTATCTCCCTCAAGGTACAACACATTCAACTCAAACGTGACATATGGATGCGTCAAAGGAATGCGCAGGTCAAGTTCAAATTTGGTCATGGTTCAATGATTTTTGGCAGAGTTATGCCCCTTTCACTTTGAAAGTAATATGAAATTTTCAGTTTCCGTTTATTATCTCCCCAATGGTACAACACATTCAACTCAAATTTGACATATGGATATGTTTTTGGAATGCCCAGGTCAAGTTCAAATTTGGTCATGGTTCAATGATTTTTGGCAGAGTAATGCCCCTTTCACTTTGAAAATAATATGAAATTTACAGTTTCTGTTCATTATCTACCCAACAGTGTTACATATTCAATTTTAATTTGACATATGGATATGTCAAAGGAATGGGCAGGTCAAGTTGGAATTTGGTCATGGTTTGATGGTTTTTTGGCAGAGTTATGTCCCTTTCACTTTGAAAATAATATAGATACATCTTAGGAATAAGCAGTTTAAGTTTGAATTTGGTCATGGTTCAATGATTTTAGACAAACTTATCTTTCCTGAATGTTTATTTTGAACTTTCAGTTTCAGCACTCATTCTTTTAGCCATTATTTTGGCTACAAATATGCAATATGCTTTTTCTAAAGGTTAAGACTGAATAATTTCAGTGCCTTGAACGTTGTATGGAAATGGTTTGTGTTAACATTGAAAAGTTTTAAGGGCTTTGAACTTAAAATGAAAAAAAAAAATTAATGCACCATCTGAAATTTTGGCTGCATGCGGGGTAGGGATTAAGCGATGATCGAGAATAATCGAAAATTGATCGTTTATAGGAAATGATTACGATGATCGATTACAAGTTTAATAATCGATCATCGGTAATCTTTTTTCTTGCTGTTACTTTAAGTGACTCACTGTATTATAGCAACACTCTAAATTAAAGCCATCTTTGGTTTACATTATAATTTTTCATTCAAATGAATATGAAAGCATTCTGGTGACTATTTGTGACCATGGAGTTAATAATTTACAATGAGACATTCAAATTTAAAGATATACTATGTTCTAATCTGACATTAGAAAATTAAGAATTTCTACACAGTCTCTTTGTAAATATAAAATAAACATGTTTTGACTTCACACAAAGAAGATATGTTATATAATATATAATTATAATATTCTACACACTATTGTATAGGGGTCACAATATGAATATATAGTGTCATTAAAAAATCCTGGCAGTTTTGTTAAGAAAGGACCAAAATTACTTGACCCCATAATAGGTTTCAGCTTCGAAGTTCCCATACATAATTTATTTCTTCTTTTATTCAAATTGAGACAATAATTTCATAGATTTTGATAAATTTATTTGATTAAAATATTTTACTCAAGGATCTTCAAATTAGTGTATTTCAGCTGACAAAGTGGTAGTTACACAAAGAACAGAATATTAATGGAATTCTTATAAATATTAAAGCATGATATGTACATGTACCTATTTATTTTTGTTTATGTAAATACTTCGATTATATAATCGATGATTGATTGAAAAGGGTTGTTCGATTATTTTCGATGATCGATTATGATTTTTGTCCGATTAAGAAACCCTAATGCGGGGGCATCCGTGGCATGATGACACATTTCTAGTTTTTATCATACATAAATGTTTGTAGTCTCAGGGTTAGATATAAACCACTATAATGTAGAGGGCAGGACCACATGTTACTGCCTGCATTTGAAGATTTTCCATGTTGTGGGAACAAGAATTTTACAATGCTAAAAGAATGCAGTCACTGCATTTAAATTTCATCAAGATAATGGCTTTGCACAAGTTCTTGCAGTCATTCATTTTTTTCAGGCAAAGCTTAAAATGATGTTTCAGTAAGGAAAAAAATGCCAGCTTTTATTCCTGTGTTCCTTGGAAAAAATGCTTTGTGCTTAACTTGCTCCAAGATTGTATTTCAAGATTTCACTTGCATTTAAGAAATCAAGGCACTTAATGTAATGTAAGGGAGTTAACAGTGGAAAATCTTTTTGATAGTTTATGACAAGGTTAAGGGACTTTATATGACTAATGGTAACAGTGATTCTGTTAGACTGATATCACTAATGTATCTACCTGTAACATATGGACTTGTTTAACGTAGAAAATCTGTTGTGGTGTTGTAATTCTATGTTTTAGACTTAACAATAAATTAATACATATAAGATATCACACTGGTGGATGTTGGTACAAATAATATGTTTGTTTAAACTCGCAAGATTTCTTACAAGTACATGACCATTTTTTAACATAAATCTTGAATTTTGTTTGAAGTCTGCTTGAAAATAATGGTCAAAATGTCTTTATTTTCTGGTAAAAAAAACCCAAACAAATCCAATTTCAACAGATCCCAAAACATTTGCTTTAATGCTTTGTTTGGTGTTAAAATACCTTGTCAGAAATCTGACTTTGATTAGACTGTATGTTGCATTGAAGAAACAATACTATAAGCTTAAGTTATTGTCTCTTTTTCATAATACATACTATTTTCAATATAAATGATATAATTTATTTTTGCACAAGAATCGTTGTTGGTTATTTGTGCACAAAGACACATCCTCAGAGAACAGTTTGTTGTCTTTAAGGACATTTTCTCAAGTTCAAAGGTTAAACTGACTCTTGAATTAACCCAGTTATATCTTTTCCATTGAAAATTATGATAAGATTTTGCACAAATTAGTTTTCTGATGGAAATAGAATGTTGTGAACTGTACTTTCAATATAGAGGAACTGTTAGTTTGGCATGTTGCCAGCTGGCTTCTTTGACTCAGTATGATAATTATAGCTGTGTTGGATGTTATACATGTAATATGTATGACTGATATACATATGTCTTGTTGTCTTAAATAATGTTATACTATTTGAGCCATGTCACGACAAAATCAACATAATGGGTTTGCGACCAGCATGGATCCAGACCAGCCTGCGCATCCGCGCAGTCTGATCAGGATCCATGCTGTTCGCTATCACTTTCTCTACTTGTTATACCGTTTGTAAGCGAACAGCATGGATCCTGATCAGACTGCGCGGATGCACAGGCTGGTCTGGATTCATGCTGGTCGCAAACCCATTATGTTGGTTTTGTCGTGACGCGGCTCATTTATTGTTTCAACTATTGTCTCCTTGTTAGTTTTAATAATTAACAGCATGCATCTTGTCAAATGTCTGTTATTAACTTACATAATATACCAAATTTATCTGTATTTCCTTGCTATAAATCATGATGTCTTTCCCTATAAAAGAGTTGGGGTGTAATATATCCATGTTTTGTAATTACGTGTATTTGTTGAAGTCTTGTTTAGGGAAAGACAAACTTACAGAGTATTTCTTTATTATATACATTCTATCTTATCAATGAATGAATTACATTCCAGCATGCTTCAAATTACAATTTGTATTTAAATAACTAAAGAATGCAGCTTGTTTGTGTATCATATAAATAAATTACAATAAGAAATATCATGTTTAACTCTGCATGACTGTTAAAAATATTTCTATACTAAAGCATGACAAACATGAATCGTTGTATTTAAACAGAATTTACAAAATAATATTTTTGAGTGACTGTTGAATGAATATCTAGGAAAATGCCTTGTTTGATTTATGACTTTATTGATTTATTTTGTTATAGGATATCTCTAACAAATGGGGAGATGTTAAACAGCTGGTGCCACAGAGAGATGGTGTTCTCTCAGGAGAGATGGCCAAACAGCAAAAGAACGAACGTTTGCGACGTGAATTTGCTCAAAAGGCTAACGTTGTTGGTCCCTGGATCGAGACACAGCTTGATGCCGTAGCATCAATCACCATACAACTGAAGGCATCTCTAGAAGATCAGTTGAACAAACTTCACCATTACGAGAAATCTGTGCAGCAATATAAACCTCATATGGATGACTTAGAAACTATCAACCAGGTATAATTACACTCTAAAATAGTATACAGTCCATTGTTACTCAAATAGTATTACCCTGTATTAATTGTTTTTCTTGATTAAGTTTTTGTTTCAGTTTCTATGTACAATGACTATCAACTTTAAAGGCAAGAAGCCTTCTTCATAACTTTGTCTTTCTCTATGAATATGTAGATAAATTACTTTCTTTTCATCAACTATTTATGTCACTTGATTTCCATATACTTCGTATATCTTGACATTTTGAATGGGCTGATGTTCATTTTATGTATTTTACATTCCGGACATTATACTTAAGCGACATTAAACTTAAGCAGGCAATATCATAAAGATTGTTTAGACTGTGCTGTTATTAAGGTTGGCCAGACTATATATGGGTGACATTGGTCTACAAGTGTCACTATGGCTACTGTATAAAATATATTGAAATATATGATCTTATGTTTTCAGGAAGTACAGGAAGCAATGATCTTTGAGAACAGATATACACACTACACAATGGAGGTAACTCTATCTAAATTTAAATTATCTCTCTTTAATGCTTGAAATATAATAACCTTCAGTTGGTGAAGATTATTTCATGTAAGACTGAAATGCCACTAATTTAGATTATGCTTAAAATATTTAAATGTAAAGAATGAAGTAGAAACCATCATGTGAACATTAAACAGTGTGAGAATTTTCTGTAAGAAATGCTTAAGGTAAATATCAAGTTTCAGACTTTATAATTGAAGTGTTCTGTATTTTTGATTTTGAAATATTAAATTAAGTGATGTTATATTTCAGACATTGAGAGTAGGTTGGGAACAGTTGTTGACAGCCATAGCCAGAAACATAAATGAAGTTGAAAACCAGGTTAGTAAATTAATCTTTCTCAAATTTAAAGTATATAAACTATACACAAAGATAAAATGACAGTGATTCCTGTGAAATGGTAGCAGGATGTAGACAGCTTATTACAATGTATAGATACAATAGTAACCTTTGGGCAGGAAGTTAAATCATTTCCCTTAGATGGTGTGAAAGAAATCAAATTAAACCATTCAATAAAAGATATCCAATGAAAACCACATGTATTTAAGATGTTATCTGTTGGCAAAGTGTGTTATATGTCCAGTTGAACAGTATTATTAATTACCAAAATTATAGCTGGTCAATATCATAATTAAAATAAATTAACCCTCACCTGTCCATTTAATGTACTTTTATTTGTGTAAACAACAATAAAAAAAGGGAAAATAATTGATTTAATGGACCTTTAGGGTATACTTTTTATATGCCTTGTTTGATTCACCTGTGTTTAAATAATTCATCAATGTCAATTAATCACCTAGTAGTAAAAATCCAGGTATCTTAATGAGGTCTTTGATTAGAAAATGTCATAACATGTAATGATTGTTAACAGAAGGATAAAAAACTCTTAAACCTTTGTGATGTATTAGAGATAATCAGATAAAAACTTGTCATAAAAACTGTTAAAATCTTCACCAGCAAGGAGATATACTTGACCAGATAGAGGAAATGATTAATAGTTTTATTTTTAGATAATGTAATTAAGATTCAAAAGATAAATTGGTACAACTACACATCATATATAAAGAGTGAGAAGTTGTTGCAAACTACTAGAGGGTAAAGTGACATGTACTTGGAACTTCATTTTACAAAGGATATTTTAAAAACTCTAAAATTTTACCTTGGATTGTTTTAAAAAGAAACTGTAAATTGAATAGTGGAATAAAAATTGTGGCTTAATACCTACTGAATTTATCAATAATTTTTTTTATAAGTGTATATATCATTGACTGGTGAATTAGACAAAGAACTATAAATAAATATTAGATCTAGGATTGTTCAATGTGAAACTGTGAATCACTGAGGGAAAAATAACTATATTTATAATTGATACAGGATTGTTTAATGTGAAACTGTTATTGTGAGTGAGTTAAGTGTAGTTGATCAAGAATTGAGTATATATATAAAGAAGGAATGTATAGACACGAGACCATGTATTCTTATGATAGTTATGATTTGTCTACACCTCCACCACTACCACCTAGAAAATGTACATGTTGTTGTACATGTGCTGCTAGCAGGAATAACTCTATCAATACAAGCTATACATTAAATCACTCGGGATATATTAATTACAGTTTTGATGAAAGTTTTCATTCTGAGGTAGGATTTTTGGGGAATAAAATTTTTTTTTGTTATTTTAAGATACAATGAGGAAAATAGTTTACATCTCAAATTTGATTTTAACAAGAAAAAAATATAAAAAAAATTTCAAGCATTATATTTACTCTTTCTGAGTCATAAAATGTAATTAATATTTCAGAGATAAAGATGATACCAGACTTCCTTTTATAAAAATTTTCACATGCGTTACCACTCTTTTAACTTTTATATGTTCTGCACCTTAACTGCATATAAAGGCAATAGCATATTAATTGCTCAGTTAATGCAAATTCTTTTCTTTTCCTTGGTGTTTTAAAGATACCCATGATAAACTTGATATTTCATTTTTGTGATAACTGATATAAAACTTGACAAATATTTGATTTCCCATGCAGCATTAGTTGTACACTAGTTTCTATATAAACTGCTGCCTGGTATTTAAACAGGGATATTTTTATATCATCATTTTGGCTGTTTCAAGTTTCTATTTTCAATGTTATTGTCATGTTGGAATTTGTTTACATTTTTTTGGCATTGTGTTGCTGTACCTTTATACATTGTTGACATATTTTACATGCTTTGAAGTTTAGTTACCATGATGTTTATGAGAAATTAATGTACAAGAATTAACTTGTGAAAACTTTACTCTATGTATCTCAGTGCATGCGCCTCCTCAGGGAAATGTTGTTTTCATTATAATTAATGGATAATTGAATTTATGTTGGCATTTTCTTAGTTCATAAATGATCTCAGAGGAGAGCAATTCAAACGTAATGAGGATTTGATAATCTGGCTAGAATATTTTTCATGATAGAAATATTTAAGTGGAAAAGTACAAGGATTTACCTGTAATGTAGACAGCTGTGATATTAAGTTTGATAATTTTTTGTTAATTATCTATTTGTTTGTTTCTAGGTTATTTGGTATTTGAAAATATATCTTGTAATATCTGGAAGTTTAAGTTACACATAAAGTCCTGTATATAGTGTATATTACATAGATTGTTAATTATTTCAGATCTTGACTCGTGACTCTAAGGGTATAAGTGAAGACCAGATGAATGAGTTCCGTGCCTCATTTAACCACTTTGACAAGAACAGGACTCGTAGATTGGAGCCAAAGGAATTTAAGGCGTGTCTTGTCAGTTTAGGTTACAATATCAGAGAAGATAGACAGGTTAGTTCATAAACATTCTTAACTAAATATTATCATTTTGTAAATTGATTTGCCTAAATGATACACAAATATACATGCATTTTACTAAAAGATATATTTCATATTGCTGGAGGAATTATTTAAATATTCAATTGGGTTCATGGACATTTATACCATACATATTTCTCTTTGTCACTTAGGTAATTTGTAAGTGAAAATACTTTCTCTGTTTTGTGCTAAATCGCCTTTTTATCAGGATATAAATATTGTTTGGTTTATACAGAATATTTTTTAGTTCCATTGTGTTGGAAGCTATAAGCTTATTGAAACACTCCCAAATCCATTCCTGGAACCAACCAGTACTAAGCAATGAGTCAGTATCAAGCAATGAGTGTAAAGTTTCTTGCTCATGGAAACAACTTCAAAGATAAATTGAAAATACTTTATAGATGAATAAATGGTTTAAGTATATTATATATAAAAAAAGACATCTGCTTGTGTGTTTTTACTCGATACGGTTAAATATAACCAGATTGTTGATATTTTGAATGTTCCTAAAACAGAAGTACAAGTGTTTGTATTGTTATATTACAGGGTGATGCAGACTTCCAGAGAATCATGTCTATAGTAGATCCTAACCACAGTGGCTACGTAACGTTCGAGAGTTTCCTTGACTTCATGACTAGAGAAACAGCAGACACCGACACTGCTGAACAAGTCATGCAGTCTTTCAAGATCCTTGCAGCAGATAAGGTTTGTACCTATTACTTTATTATATTATAAATGTCCATGTGTTGAAAATAAGGATACATACTTACTGTTAAATGCATAAATTTTTTACAACTGACAAGCATTTTATTTTTTTCTTGCTTGATAGTTAAATTGTAAAATCAGGAGCCTTTCTTCAGATCCTGTTTTATTATCAGTTTTATCTTTTTCTAGACTTTAAAGAGAGCTTTTGTACTTTTAAAGTATTTCAACTGTGTTGCATATGTTTAGGTATTTCATAAAAGGACATATCAAATATATTATAACAATAACAGTGTCATAGATAAATGGTCACATGTTTAGTTGAGTAATGAAGAATCTCTGTGTTAATGTTATTCCGCTTTTAAATGATAGAATTTACATTGGAATGGTATAATATATGTGAAATTAAATTGGAATGTTTTTGTTTTTTTCTTTCAGCCTTTTATCACAGCACAGATATTAAGACAAGAGTTGCCTCCAGATCAAGCTGAGTACTGTATACAGAGAATGGCCCCATACAGTGGACGTGATGCTGTACCTGGTGCTCTAGATTACATGAGCTTCTCTACAGCACTGTATGGTGAGAGTGACTTGTGAGAATGTTAAACTACTATAGTGCCATTCACATTGTCAAATTTGGTCCCAGGTGATCACTTGTCGTCTGTAATTGCTTCTGTAGCATAGGAAGAGCTGGAGTTCTCCCCCTTTGGACCTGTCCTTCATGCATATCATGTGACCTGATTGGTGTGTTGTTTCAAAAACTTTTTTAAAAAAGGAGTGATGTGATGATAAGATATGCGAGATGACCTTTAACCTGAGATGTTGGCCAATGGAAAAGGAAATTATAAACATTTTGGGATTACAAACAAAAGATACATAAAGGATTTAATGATTGTATTACACCCATCATATAACATGTTAAACTTCATAAAGATACATGATAAAGTAAGGTTTTTTAAAGACAGAACAGGCATCTATATTGCAGAAGTGTTTACAGGGAGTTAAAGGCACACCACATATAGTCATGTTGTGGAGTAAAACAGACATCTATGCATGGATTGGTACTTTACATCATTGTATATTTGATTGTAACCTTCCAAACCAGTTTTAACCTCATGTTTTTGTTAAACCATCAACATGTATTATGAGAAAAAAAAACCTATATAATACAGCTCTATACGTTATATGTAATTTGTTATAATAGGAATTTTTTATATAAATTCACTCACTGGCAGGACTTGCTACAATACCCCAGTATAGAAATGGTTTGACCTGTCTCACCCACTCTGCTTGAACTTTTTCTATATCTGATCAGAGGGCATTTTATAATAATATTCAAGATTGGACTGTCAGTGGGTTGGTTTTGGTGTTTTTATTTAATGAGAGATAAAATTTGTATCAATTCTGGAGGCTGTTTCTTTGGGGATTTCTTTTTTACCATCTGTGCTATAAGGCGATATAATTACATACATACATACATACATACAAACCAATGGAACTGTTCCAGCTTTGGTAAAAATGTTATTTCTTGGTAATAACTTATCGGCGACTTGTAATCAATCCTCGATTTTTCAAACAGTATATTACAATTTTTATTAGTTCAATAGCTTACATATATACTGCTTTTATGATTAAATAATGAAGTTAGTATTTAGTTATTTTCAATTTGTTGTAAGATATTCACTCTGTATATAATTTATATGAAGCACTGCCGCTATGTAGCTTTTATAATATAGGTTAATAATAGGTCTTTTATTTCTAATCTACTTCAGATTCTATATAAGCAATTCTATGAACGAGACAAGATATCTGTGCAATTTGGCAATACAAACTGCATTTGTATGAATATATACTGACCTTTGATGTACGTTATAGCAGGCTATGTTCATGTAACTAAATTAAAATCAAAATTTCACTTGTTCTGTTGTTTAATCGAAATAGTTTTTCCGCATTTAATTATTCTTATACTGACTTTATTGTTGATCTGACTTGTTCATCAGGCATTTATATCTTTGCTTGAAATTCTTGACAACTTCTGTGGGGCTTGGAGTTTAGTGTTGAACCTTTATATCATTTTAATAGAGTGTAATCTTCATCTACCTAACACCACTGTTTATGATAGGGATGTTTTTAAGGGTGTATTTACTTTGCTGTATTAGTTTATTTTTACAATAGTTAAATTCTTATTTTTAACAACTGTTGGCTCGTGTGATACTATAGTCCAAACATTAATCTCTTTAACATAATAACCAAAAAAAAAGTTCTGTGCACAGAGTATGTGTATGTGTTCCTACAGATTGATTGTAATGGTACAGCTACCAGACTAGAGCTTGTGACAACATCGTAGCTCACAGATCATGAATATGTGCACTGTTAAATATGTCATATTATTGTACCATCGTAGAAGAAAGCGGGACTCGATATTATAAAAGTTTGCTACCTATACCGTTTAACAGTCTGTGGTAAGATACACACATGTTCGGAACTTTTAAAACACATACCCCTTTAACGATAAAACAACACTCTAAGCCAAAATGAAATATTTTTTAAAGAAAAAAGTGCCTCGATACAGCCTGCATTGTCTTGTATTGTACTATTGATCTATATGGTATTATAATCAAAAAATGGTAGATACTATTTTTATGACTGTATTTTATAGGTAAACATTTTAACATTACTCTGTCGTCATCATTTCCTCTCATTGATAAGGCTGCTGATGATTGTCATGTTAACATTACTTTTTTTTTTGCTTATGCTAATAAATACATAGGTACCCATTAGCCTATTTTATATATGAATGAAAGAAGTCATGACTTAACCAGTAATTTAAATTGGAATAAAATGAAATAAAAAACATAAAAGTGTATTTTGTCTTTTTATTATTTGCTCATGCACAAACATATGACTGAGAACTGAGCATATACATGCATATGCACAAGAAAATCATCAATTGTTTAATACCTTCTTCAGAAGACAAATTCAAAGTATTCTTGCCGAAAATACATCTAGACCTTATTCTAGACACCCAATTTAATTCAACACTCCATAATTTATTCATGGTAATTCTAGTTCAACTAATGCATTAAAAAGCATTGAGAATATTCCTCTTCAGAAATTAATGCAAAATTCTTTACAACTATGTACTTTGTGGGAGGCTCATCATAACATGAAGAAAAAACTGTTAATTCAAATTCTTGTCTACCACAAACTGTATCTGTTATATGTTTGTGGTATGTTAATGAGTCATGTTGAAAGAATTTTAATGGCAAGATAATCTGTATATTATCTCACAGATCTATGTAAACTTATAGCTTAGTCCATATGTAGCTTGACTTTTTGTCAAAGATAAAAGATTTATTACTACAGTGGTGTTATCCATTTCTGTTCCTGTTGCCATCCAAAAATTTGGCCATTACTTTAATTTTATTTCTTAATTGATTGTCTTCATGATTGGCCACAACAATCCCTTGGACAAGAACTTCAAGTAGACCAGACTGAACCTCGAGTCATAAAGGACCTTGATCTTCAAGGTCAAATGTTTGAATTTTGCTTTAATTGGCTGTAACTTTGTTATTATGTTTGGATTGTCTTCATACTTGGACACAACAATCCTTTGGACAAGGCCTTCATGTAAATTAAATTGATTGTGACCTTCACTTATCAATGACCTTGAAGGTTACATTATTGAATTTTGCTTGATTTTTGCTAAAATTTACTGTAACTTTGTAATTTATGAATGGAATGTCTTCATGCTTGAGCATTATCTTAAGAGGATCAAACTGAATTTGACCTTGAATGTCAATGAGTATTCTTCACTACAATATTCTTACTACGATGACATGGTTCACTTTAGCAATAAGAACAAGAGGGCCATGATGGCCCTGAGGTCGCTCACCTGTATAAAGGCACCCGGAGCGGGTCAGTTTAAACCCGGGGCTTTTATTTGAACAAACTTGGAAGACACCCATTAGAAGATGTTTCACAATGTTAAGTTTTTTACTACACACATATAATGAAAAAACAACGATCTCCTTCTTCCCCTACACCAACCCCCCACCTATCCCCCTTCCTCCCCCCCCCGGCAGGGCCAATTTTAACCCAAGGGCTTTTATTTGAACAAACTTGGTAGACACCCATAAGATGTTTCATGCTAAACATCTAAGCTCTAGCTCATTGGGTTTTTTTAAAAGAAGATTTTTTAAGTTTTTACTATACACATATAGTTGAAACCAATGACACCCCTGGGGCGGGGCCAATTTTGACCCCAGGGCTTTTATTTAAACAAACTTTGTAGACAATTACTAGAAGATGTTTCATGCTTAATATCTAAACTCTAGCTATTTGGGTTTTTTCAAAGAAGATTTTTAAGTTTTTGCTATACAAATATAAGGAAATCAATAACACCCGGGGTGGGGCCAATTTTGACTCCAGGGCTTTTATTTGAACAAATTTTGTACACACTTACTAGAAGATGTTTCATGCTTAATATTTAAACTTTTTTAATTTTTTGCTATATACATATAAGGAAAATCAATGACCCCTGGGGCGGGGCCAATTTTGACCCCAGGGCTTTTATTTGAACAAACTTGGTAGACACCAATTAGAACATGTTTCATGCTAAATATCTTAGCTCTAGCTCTTTGAGAAGATTTTTTAAGTTTTTACTATATGCATACAGGGAAAATCAATGACCCCCTGGGGCGGGGCCAATTTTGACCCCAGGGCTTTTATTTGAACAAACTTGGTAGACACTCATTAGAAGATGTTTCATGCTAAATATCTTAGCTCTAGCTCTTTGAGTTCTTTAAAAGAAGATTTTTTAAGTTTTTACTATATGCATATAGGGAAAATCAAAGACCCCCTGGGGCGGGGCCAATTTTGACCCAAGGGCTTTTATTTGAACAAACTTGGTAGACACCAATTAGAACATGTTTCATGCTAAATATCTTAGCTCTAGCTCTTTGAGTTCTTTAAAAGAAGATTTTAAGTTTTAACAATATGCATACAGGGAAAATCAATGACCCCCTGGGGCGGGGCCAATTTTGACCCAAGGGCTTTTATTTGAACAAACTTGGTAGACACTCATTAGAAGATGTTTCATGCCAAATATCTTAGCTCTAGCTCTTTGAGTTCTTTAAAAGAAGATTTTTTAAGTTTTTACTATATGCATAAAGGGAAAATCAAAGACCCCCTGGGGCTAGGCCAATTTTGACCCAAGGGCTTTTATTTGAACAAACTTGGTAGACACTCACTAGAAGATGTTTCATGCTTAATATCTAAACTCTAGCTATTTTTTTTTTTCAAAGAAGATTTTTTAAGTTTTTGCTATACACATATAAGGAAAATCAATGACCCACGGGGCGGGGCCAATTTTGACCCCAGGGCTTTTATTTGAACAAACTTGGTAGACACCCATTAGAACATGTTTCATGCTAAAGATCTTAGCTCAAGCTCTTTGAGTTCTTTAAAAGAAGATTTTTTAAGTTTTTACTATATGCATATAGGGAAAATCAAAGACCCCCTGGGGCGGGGCCAATTTTGACCCCAGGGCTTTTATTTGAACAAACTTGGTAGACACTCATTAGAAGATGTTTCATGCCAAATATCTAAGCTCTCGCTCTTAGGGTTTTTTCAAAGAAGATATTTAAAGTTTTTTCTTTCGGTTGCCATGGCAACCAGAGTTCTGCATGGAATTAAATTCTTTGAACAATTTTTAAAGGTGACCACCAAAGGAACATTCCTGTGAAGTTTGGATGAAATTGGCTTAGTGGTTTATGAGGAGATGTCATTTAAAGTAAAAGTTTACAGACGGACGGAGGAAAAGCGATCACAAAAGCTCACCCTATCACTTTGTGTAAAAAGTGGAGCATGGCCTCAAAAGGCAGTGGCTCTTGGTGTTTCAAGTAACATACAGGTTACAGGTTAGATAATATGGCTCCTGATCAAAGTAGTTGGTTACAGAGTGAAATCCCTGAAATGCAGAAAACTTTGTTGTGGCACCAAAAGGAAGCCAGCAGAAGTGGAAACTGTAGAAACACTAAAGTAGTTGGAAACTGGGCAAAACTACCAAGAGCAGGAACTGGATAATACCATAAGGGGTAGGAAATTGGATGCAGAAAACTTGGTAGAACCACTAAGCAAGATACTAGGTAAAAACTATCTTGAGCAGGGAATTGGGTAAAAACACTTGGAACAGGAAATTTGGTAAAACCATTAGGGGCAGGAAAGTGGAACAAGCAAATGGGTAGAACCACTCAAGTGACTGAACAGGTAAATGGGCAGCACTCGGAGGAAACCACTAGAAGTAGCAAACTGGGTAGACTTGCTATTGACAGGAAACGCTAGGCACAGGAAACTGGGTAGAACCATTACGAGCTGGAAACTGGTAAAACTATAAGTGCTGGTAACTGGGTAGAACTATTAGGAGCTGGAAACTGGGTAGAACTATTAGGAGCTGGAAACCTCTATGAGTGGGAAACTGAGAAGAAAGACTAGGAGAGGGAAATATGGTAGAACCACTAGTAGTTGGAAACATAGACAAATTATTGAGCCTTTCCCAAACTAGGTTGAATACACATGACTAAATTAGTATGCCATGGACCAAAATGGTCTTGAATCTCTTTTCCTTAAGGTGAACAAAACATGAACAAAAACAACTTTAACCAGAATTTCATTTATTGCTTACAATATATTAAAACACATGAATCAGTTCAACAATAAGTAAAGTTTTAAGAGAAACAGTTTGCTTTAATAAAATACAATAACAGAGCTTAGTAAAGAAACATATACACATGTTTCCTTATAACTGAAACACGTTTTTAAATTCAACAGAATGTTGCATCAGTGACACAATTATAACTGCATATACACAAGAAAGCTGATTCATTGTCTAACAATGATATATTAAGATGTAATACCTACAGATGGTCACCTTATGCACATTTCTGATATAACTTATGATCCAAAACACTTTTCTCTATATTTTTCTATATGATGTAAATGGGAATTTTGGGTATGTTTGATTATCAATGTGCTTTACAAAAATACATGTATTTTCATTTAATAAAATTTGTGTACTTTTCTAATCTAATCTTAATTTGAAATTATTTGCAATTCCTTCTGCATTGATTTTGTGGAGAAAAAAAAATCAAACTAAGGAAAAATATTTTATGATAGTAACCAATGAATACTCTTAAAGCCAAACTTAAATATGCTATTTTTTTACATTAATTTTCTTGTCACTTCCATACTAACATCAATAATGACTTGCCTATGTCACCAGTAGGAGTATATCTATACAGTTAAGTGATAGAAAGAGCATCAAAACATGAGGATATCTGATTTATATTGGGGTGTGGGGGTGCATAGCTTACTTCTTTTTTAGCATCTACTGGGCAGTGAAATTACTGGTGTGCAGGTAACTACCCCTTTACTTAACATTATGATACAAGCACCATTTTGCATATGATTTTCCCAAACAACTTTCCAATGAGAAGGTTGCTTAGCTAGGATACAGTTATCTGCTATGAAACTGAAACCCCCAACAATATCAATGTAAAGTTCCAAATACAATGTATAAAGTAAACAAGTGCATTACAGAAAATAACTTGTAATTTTAACAAAACATTTTTGTTGGTAGTTTTAGCTTCCAAATGTCACCTATACTTCTATAGACATTACACAATTGTTATGCCACTTAGGAAGTAATACTTTAAAACTTTAATATCTTGCATTTACCACTTGACATATTAGAGAAGTTATTCAGTGTACAGACCCACACTGTACTTTTATTACATAAGGACATATGAGCCGCGTCACGACAAAACCAACATAATGTGTTTGCGACCAGCATGGATCCAGACCAGCCTTCGCATCCGCGCAGTCTGATCGGGATCCATGCTGTTCGCTTACAGACCCTATAACAAGTAAAGAAACTGATAGCGAACAGCATGGATCCTAATCAGACTGCGCGAATGCACAGGCTGGTCTGGATCCATGCTGGTCGCAAACCCATTATGTTAGTTTTGTTGTGACGCTGCTCATATATAAAGACTGAACTGAAATCCACTTGTTCCCAACAGCCAACACAAATACCAATTAACATCAGGTATTTATATTACATACCACTACTTATGCTTAACAACACATTCATTTATCTTATATGCTTGTTTATAATTAATGAATTAAACATTTGAAACAACTTTAACCAGCAATCCTCTTCATATTACACATAAACTCCTCACTACATTTTCATTGATGAATTATTAACTTGGACTTTTCATGTCTTAAGGAAACGTCTATATAATAAGCAGCAAGCCTAATTGTAATACTGTAATTGAGTAGGCAATTAACTGAATATTAACTGATTTGACTGGCTTTAGTACATACTGGTGACATAGCCCTGTCATTATTACAACTTGATATCTGTTTTGTTGTTGTTGTTTTTGTTTGAGTTGGAATTAAAACATTTGATAAAGCATGTAAGATCAGCAAAATAAACTCATACACAAATATGTATTTTACCATTATATTGTACTTTTCTCTTTACATATAAAAAAAACAAAAGAAATAAACAGAAGTCCTTCCAAGTATGTCACATTTCTACAGAAACAAATGTTCTTGATGTCAAATTAAATACATTGTTGATGACTGAAATCACATGAAAATTCAAAGCTTCATTTCAAAACTTTTACAACTTTAAATGTTAAAGCTTAAAAGAACCACAAGGTTATGAAGAAAAAGATCTAAATTAATTTCAAATAAGAAAGCAATACCAGAAACTTGCTTTTACTTAGTAAAAGTAATAATTGTAAAGTGTGATGTAGATTGACAAATTACTGGTTAGAGACCACCAAATCTAGACGACCATCAAACTCGGGCAACACTAGTTTTCTATGTTCAGTGGTTGTCGATAAATCAGACAATTTTTTATCAAAAATAAATGCATATTCTCAAATACAAGTGTCGACATAATCGGAAATAAACAAACTAGCTCTTCAATTTTGAGAAGAACCTCGCTGTATGGAGTCAAATTATTTCAGGTATCTAGTTCTATTATTATGAAAAAATGTTCCAAAAAAAGTGTCCAGTTGATGGTCCCTGACCAGTAGTCCGAGTCTGCTGTAAGGAATGCCTTAAACAGCTGATCAAAAAATAATTTACTTCAATAAAAATAGTATTCATGAATTACTGAAATTTTTATAATAATTTGAACACTTATCAATATAGCACTTAGCTGTTTTCTTAAATTATTCACATTGTGTTTGAATGAAAAAATAAGTTTGAACCAAAATTGACTATTTAAACTAACAGACACAACAGAATGTAATTCTGAATAACTTTTAAAGTCATGTAACTATCTATGTAGTATAACATCTCATAGGGATGTTGTTCATAAATAAATCATATTTGCATAAGTTAAATTCATATATTAAATAAATAAGCAACTTTTCCCCTTCTTTTCTAGCACAATACAATGTACATGTATTTAAAAACATGGTCCAATAACGAATGTGGTTTACACTCTATAATATTAACTACCTTGGTATTAAATTATTAAAACTGCAGGCAAAACAAAATGCATGGTAAATTTTTGTTTAAAATTAAAAGTCAAGCTTTGCAAGATTTTACACCTTTATGATGGAATGATATATTCATTATTTTTCTGGTACATATTTAAATGAAACAGGTTAAAAATTATTCATATTTTTGTGTACATGCATTTATTCAGTAGTAAACTGGGATGTTTCAGCCTCCATTCCAAGCAAAGCTTGAACAGTTTCCATGGATATGGCTTCACCATCCGACCCCTGTAACTGTAGCGTGGTACCATCAGGATTTTGTATAAAGATTAGCCCATCTTCTGTCTGGTATATATTAGTTGCTGGTATCTGAATTGTTTCAGTATTACCTTCATCACCAATACCATCAAATTCATTAGTCACTTTTGCTTCAACTTTATTTTTGTCACCATTATTATCAATAGCTGCCACTGAGGTTTGGTTGTCATTTAATGATGAAGCCATCAATACATTACCATTAACTTGTGATGTATCTAAATTATGCTCTCTAGTTTTATTTGTAGATACATGCTCGATCATATCTATATCAATGTTGGCGTTTTGTTGCTCTTTATGTTTGGGCGAGGTTTTTACTTGTTCTGACGTATCTATGCTGTTTATTACACCAACAACTTCATTCTCACCATTTGTTTGCAAGGTTTGATTGCCGTCTATAGTTTCTATACCATTAGCTGCCTCGTTACTCTGATCATTTAACTGAGTCACTAACATGGAGTTAGGATCCACAGTAAAGACAACATTCTCATTTGAAGAGTCTCCGTTAGTTAACGTGTAAATAACATTTCCCGTATTACTGTCATCAATACCCGTAAACTGGACTGGGTCTCCATTGGGTAGTGTAAATATCATATTCTGTTGACTTTGGTCTAAATCTGCCACATTCATTTCTTCAGATTGAACACTTGTGACTGTATTAACATTTAAACCCTCTTCCGATCTGATATTCAAAATCTGCCTATTAGCAATGTTCTCTCCTGCTACACTAGTAATAATTTGCTGGAATTCACTAGTTTCACTTGGAACTGAATTTAGCATATTCATATTATTTAGAACTAGCTTTGGCTGCATTGACTGTGAGTTTGAAGACTGAGGTATGCTGAGAATGACTGGTTCACTTGTGACGCTTTGCGATACACTGTTAGTTGCCTGAGATGAATTGGTCAAGTCACTTGGAACAGAACAGACTGTGTATGTTCCTGTAACACTGTCATGTAATATTATTCTGTTCTGTGAATTTAAAACCTGCCCATTTGACATTGTAATAAGCTGATCACCAGTCTGAAGCTGATTTCCAGATGAGGCAGGTAAAATAGTTTTGACTGGTACACTGTTAGTAGAGAATGTTGAAGCACTAGACTGTGGAGAAGAGTTTGTTCCTGAGACAATGACAACTTTCTGTGATGATCTGTCTGAAGATGATGATGATGATAACGATGATAGTGATGAGGAAGATTGAGAATGATTTGAGAATGAATTTGTAAGTAATGAAACAGTTTTACCACTAGTGGGTTTCCCTGAATAAGAACACTGGCTCAAACTACCGTTCACTTTTTGTGGTGACTTAACCTTTATCTTGGATATAAATGGGACACTGTTAACTCCTGCTGGCCCCATATTGTTAGCAGTAGTCAATGAGATTGGAGTCACATTTGTACTGGAATTGAGATTTCTAGCATTGGAGATTGTCACTATATTAGACTTGTGTTTCATTTTTTTTGCAGGTGACACAATTTGTTCAGGTGAAACAACCTCCACTGTACGCTTAAGGAAAGATTTGTTGGTGTAGTCAAAATCCACAGACTGATTGGTGGTAAGGAGTTTGTATCTATACTGAATATCACTATCTGTGTCAGCTATGTCTCTTACTTTATGAGGACCAACCTTTAATCCAAGAGCCTGAGCAATATCTTTGTTGTCAACCTGAAATAAAACAAATTCCTTTAATATATTTAGAAAGTATACATTTGCCAAAGCATTGTAGCTTGTTAACACTTTGTCCAGGAAAAAATTGAAGACTTGAACATTTGATTGTGACACAGCAATACACAAATTGGTTTTGAAACAAGAAGACTATGATGGCCTTACAACACTCACTTGAGATCACTTATTGCTAGAAAAGGTCGTAATTATTTAATGCAGAGGTAGGTCATTGACTCATAGTGCAGCTGGACCTTTTTTGACCATAGGGCAATGTTTAATTTAACTTAAGTAGAAGACTACTTTTCAATTCTACATCTCGAGGTCATATTGTTTCATTACAGATAATATTATTATGTGTTTCCCTTTACAACTTTTGCATTGTAGTGTGAAAGTTAAATTTCTATGCAATTTGACCACTAGGCGTGACATATTTTTGACCCCAGGGTTATAATTCCTATAACATTTGTAGATTTATACTAGGTAATGCTCAATGCTAAATATCAAAGCTATGGACATTGTAGTTTCAAACAAGATTAAAATATCATTTTCTACTTTAGTGTATGTAGATCAAGTGACCCCCAATGCAGAACCAATTTCAACCTCAGGGGCGTGATTCATATACTTTTTGTAGAGGTTCACAATATGCAAAACATCTAAGCTCTGAGCATTGTTGTTTCTGGTGATAAGAATTTTAAATCTGTTTCCTACAAAACTCCAATCTAGAAAGTGACCCCACAGCTGGGCTATTTTTGACTCATGATCTATATAAATTTTGTATAGGTTTACTAATCAATGCTTCAAATCAATTGTCTTCACTCTTTCCATGTTGTTTCACACAGAAATATTTATGCCATGTTATTTCACACGGAAATATTTAAATGAGTTTTTCCTATACAAGTCTATATAAACTTAGTGAAATATGTAATTATTTATGTATCTACACATTCTGGTTGGTAAATACTATACATATATGTTAAAAAAGTTATTTCTGTCACTTTATATACATTTATATTAGTAGTTATAAATTGTAATTGATCTATATAGTACACTGGCACTACATCATGTCATGCTTGTAATGTATATGTTTTGTTGATATGGGCCGGAGGCCAAAATCAAATAAATCCTTTGTCATTGTCATTGTCATAGTGACTCCCAGGGCAGGGATAATTTTGACCCTGAGGATTTTTATAACTTTTGCAGAGGACCACCTGATGCTATATGTCAAGTTTTTGTGGCGGTGTGGCTGAGTGGTTAACACGTCTGACTAGTACTCTCAGTATTGCTAGCAATGTGGTTAGGGGCAGGACATTGTTTTCTTGAGCAAAAAATTATACTCATTTCTTAATACTGCTTAATTCCAAACAAATTCAAGAGTGCACCTATCAGCTTATAGATTCCTACAAAATCAAACTAAGACAGATCCAATATAACATATTACATGATAACATGTGTATTTATTAGGGATGGCAACGAATACAAAAATCAATACTCGAGTACTCGGTCATTTTTCCGATCGAGTACTCGGTTACTCGGATGATTTCCAATGATCTCACAGTATCAACACCGTCCGCATGCTACTTTCGTTTTCTATTTAAATTAATAGAATTCGTAACTATAAATAGGACTGCACGGGAGACAAATTAATTAAAATTAATTCAACAACATCATATTTTACAACGTTTTAATTAATGCAATAGCAAGTTTAAAACGAGTATGACAGTTCATATATCTTTTTTCGTCTTGAAATAATATAGACTGATCGGCGGCAACAAAAGTTTAAAAGGGGTCTAAATACTAGTTCCCCTTATTGTTACATTCATAATAGCAATCGGCCCTTTGTTGTTTTTCAAAATAGTTACTTCCGCTACAAACTGTTACTGAATATCATAAGAGCTGGATGACATAAGCGACACATGTGCGCGTGTCAACCGTTGATCGCCTATCATTTTCGCACCTCTGCAAGGATGTTTTGATTACATTTAACAGGTATTTAATGAAGATATAGAGGATATTTGTTTAGTTCAGTGTAAGATCGGAATATATTTCACCGAGTGAGCACCAAAAGGTATATTTCACGAGTGGCGCAGCCACGAGTGAAATATGGACTTTTGGTGTTCACAAGGTGAAATATATTTCGATCTTACACTAAACTAAACAAATTTTCTTTTTATTATATGCAAAGAAACGTTTTAAAAAGACATTAAACCAAATACTGAATGAAAAGCGCGCCAAATAATAATACAACGTGACGTCATTTACGACGTCACGTCATTAAGTTGGTACCCAGTACTGTGAACGCTGGTATTTCACTGTAACAACGTAAGGGGCTTAAATTCAAAACAGTGAAATTATCAAAGTGGTAATTTCACTGTTTCAAACAGTGAAATTACCAGTTTTATTTCACCGATATATTTCTATAAACCACCGAAAAGCATGAAATAAAATGCATATCTCCGAAAATTGGACATATCAATCTTTCTAAATGGTAAAAAATATAAATTATGTATTTTTTCCGAGTAATCGAATATCAATTTTGTTAACCGATATTCGGACGTTCGATCGAGTACTCGGTTAACCGGTTACTTGTTGCCATCCCTAGTATTTATACAAGAATATTATAGCCATGTATTGTATGTATATATTGTTTGTATATGTCTTTATTTTGTACCATGCAAATGAACAAATAAACCTTCTGTTCTGTTCTAACTAATATTAAGTTTGGGAAAGGGAGATCATTCAAGCAAAGGGACGTTGTTGTGTATCTTTTTGTATTTGACATTAAAGGTGTCAAGTGGTTTTGAAAAGTGCTACTGTAAAATCATTATTATTCGTGGGGCACGAATTTTCGTAGTTTTCGTGGGTAGGTCAATCCATGAATTTAAGATCCGACGAACTTTTATCCCAACAAATACTTCTTACCCAGTCTCTGTTCTATATATTACAAACATGCGTCGGCTCTTTTCCGGCCGATATTTCGTGAAATGGATGTAAATACAGACAGATAGTCAGGTTAGTGACATATTTAATCCGTTTGCAATATTTAAGAAACTTGAAAGAAAACTCAATTTTATGTCCTTACTTTACTGTCACAAATGTCGCATATACATACTTGATCGTTGTAGTCTACTAGGATTTGATTGTGTTAACAAGAATACTTGACATACTCGAGTAAATATGGGAACCCAGGCAATGCAATAATTAGCGCTAATTAAAATTGTCAGTTTGCTCTTATTAATTTAAAAAAAGTCTTTGATATAAATGTCGTAAGTACACAAAACTATAAAAAAAAAATACGATCGCTAAAACAGATTTATTGTACATTGTTTTGTCGTTTTTAGATGATCCAGTTTATATGCATTTTAGTCTGTATTTGTGCGAATGATTTTCCGTAAACATCAAAGACGCCACCGACTTTAACAAGATCCACATGGTGTTATAGACCGAGATTAATTCATATGCATGTAAATTTACACAGTCGCTGTGACGTTGCGTGTAGTTACTGTAAAATATGTTAAGACCAATTCAGGGTGTAAACTTTTAAACTCGCTGGTTAAAACCTGTCAGGTGTCGTATAAATTGTGCCATGTTTACACCGGGGAATTACAGGGGCAGTGTGTCCAATGGAGGTGCATATCATGTCACATAAATGTGTTAATTGCAGTCAATTATCGGCAGTAACTGTGCTATATTAGAGTTATGCCCAGAGGCAAGGATTAAATTTATTAACAAGCGCTGTGTGCCAAGTAAAGATATGTACATGTTGTAAGAAAAATGTTCGGCAATGAAGTTTAAGATTACTTTGCATTAGGTTACTGTTTTTTTTTACAAGAAATCGAAAATCCACGAATTTAAGAACCCACGAAAATGCCTGTTTTGATAAAACCACGAAATTTCATGCCCACGAATATAAGTGAATTCGCAGTATTTGTTTTATTTGAAATGTGCCCAGCAGAAAAAGTTAATTGTTTCTACTTAAAAGTAAACAAAAGGAAGATATCTAGAAAAAAGGATATCTTGGAGTGTATACAGAAACAAACCAATCAATTCTAGTAGAACTGTGAAACTTGTCAAAATAGGTTAACCATATTTTAAAGTAGAAATAGCACAGGAAAATGAATGCTGAAGTTATGAAGCTTGAGAAAGTCAAGAGCCATATTGTCTTGTCTTTGTATAGACAATAATACAGCCATCAGTGGTTAGAACTAAAAGCTGAACGCCACCAGATGAGCAAAAATATTTCGATAAAATCAAACCTGAAAAAAATGTACTAAGATTTTAGGAAAGAATAAAGATTCAAAATTCTAGTAATTATTTACATAAAGGTGTGGTGCTTTTCTATGTCCATATAACTTTTATAAAATAGATACCACAGTTATGTAACTTGACAAGATCATAGTGATTAGTCTTTAACTTGGTTAGTAAGTGCAAGTAGAACTCAATAATAATTCAACTTCTTCTAAAAGGTTAGCCATACGGATAGACAGACAGACAGGCTGTTCAAATACTCCCTTTAAGGGTATAAATACTGTACATAGTACACATGAAGCCTATTAAACCATCTTAAAGGCCCATTGTGTAGTGGAAATGCTTTTTACAATTCTCTAAAGCTTTTTATTTATAATGTCCTGTTAAAGTTTCCTTAAAGTTACTCACTGAACAATGACCTCAACCATGTTTGCTTCTGCTGCTTTCTGACAGTAGTCTAGTTAAAGTGATTAAGTATTTTGTATGGAAGTCAAAATACTACTTTGTTAACATTTTGCATCTTTTGAGACAAATAATAACACACTCTGTGCAACTTTCTTAGGGTAAAAAGCACAAAACATTCTCTAAAACCACTGTTTTTAATGTTATAAAACTTATGTTTGCCCTTCTAAAGATGTAAATATTTATTTGTTTCTGAGGCATAATGTGCCTTTTATTAGAATTATTAGATTCTTTATCAGTTATAAATATTCTCTGATGTATAGAAGAGCTTAAATAGAATAAATTTAATTAGTTTTCTTAGAAACATACACCTATCAAACATCATTAAATGTTGAAATGACCATAAATTGTAAGTTTCAGTCCTATATAAACTTAACTACCATACCTGTAACAAAGACTGGCTTTGCTGCCTTTCTGTTTCTGGTTCTACAACATATTGTAAATATTCTTTGCACAACTTTTTCACATGCTCATGGAGCTTCTCATATTCCTTGTATATATCATCAGCATGTGGCCAGGCTGGATTACCTTTCTCTACCTTCATCAAGAGGAACTCCCACAGTGTAATCACCTTGGCTAGTCGAGGCAGAACTACCTCCATCAATTCCTCATCACTACATTCTCTAGTGATCTACAAGGAGAATTATTTGAACATATTACCTTCAGGTCATATATAATCTTTTTTAAATCACAATCAACACAATCATACTGGTGATATTTGCAAACAATATGTTGCTTAACCTTAATTGGAAATGCTACAGTACCAGAAATACAGATAGAGAGAAAAATGGATTTTATATTTCAACAGTTACTATAATTTGATGAAAACTAAAACATTCTTCTCTGTTTCTGGCATTTTTGAAATGTTCATAGTGTTCATAGACAGATACTTCAAAAATAGCCTGTCAACTGGAAATTTCGCCTTATCACCTGTAGGGAAAAATCATACTTTTAAGCTTTGCACACCTGACTATTTTCCTAAGTTTCAGAACAAGGGGACTTTTTGTACACAACAAAACCTCTTTACACCAAATTAACTCCTTAAGAAAATTGCCTTTTACAAAACACTTAAAACAAGAGCTGTCACAGGAGACAGCAAAGCTCGACTAATAAAATACTGGACGCAGTAAGGAAGACAAAACTATGAAAGAAAAACAATTATGTATATATATGGGCCAATTTTAACCCCAGGGCCCTTATGTTAACACCTGTTAGAAGACGTTTCATGCTAAATATTTAAGCTCCTAAGCTTTTAGGGTTTTTTAAAAGAAGATTGTTTAAGTTTTTACTATACATAAAGGGAAAAACAATGACCACAGGGACAAAGCCAATTTTGACCCTAGGACTTTTATTTGAACAAGCTTGGTAGACACCCACTAGAAAATGTTTCATGCTTAATATCTAAGCTCTAGCTATTTGGGTTTTTTAAAAGAATTTTTTTTAAAGTTTTTACTATATACAAATAAGGAAAGTCAATGACCCCAGGGGCAGGGCCAATTTTGACCCCAGGGCTTTCTGTTTTTTAAAAGAAAGTTTATACGTTTTTTCTTTCGGTTGCCATGGCAACCAGAGTTCTGCATGGAATAAAATTCTTTGAACAACTTTTACAGTTGGCTACCAAATGAACATTCCTGTGAAGTTTGGTTGAAATCAGCTGTGCGGTTTATTAGGAGATGTCGTTTATTAAGTAAAAGTTCACGCTAGACGAAAAGCGATCACAAAAGCTCACCATGTCACAGCTAAAAATAGTATCTTTTTAAAAAATTCCAAGTTCAAGAGAGATAATTCTGAAAATGTTGGTGCTAGAGTTATGAACCTTGTTACATAAGATGTGGTTGATGATAAGGAACATATATTTGAAGTTTGAAGTTGATACCTTAAGAAATGAAAAAGTTATAGTGAAAAATATTTTACAGCACCAAAACTTTAACATGAAATCTGGACGCCGACGCTGGGGCGAGTAGGACAGCTCTCCATAAACTTCATATAGCTAAATATTATTATGTTCTTAGCATGACACATGTATGGCCTATAATATGTTAATATCTATTTAAAGCCATTCTTTGTGAAGTGTTTTTGTTTTCAAATGATTTTAAGGACATTATTTAGAATGCTCCAGTCTATATGTGACAGATACTGATTAAAAGATGTTAAACCCATTCAAGCAAACACTAAGCTGTTAACTTTTTCACCTGAATTATATTTGTTAATCAATATCTGGCCTTTTTTCCTCATATAGTAACTACCGCTAAACAGAGGAATTCCTAAAGCTAAAACATGATTTTTTTCCCCAATTGATAAGTATAAAATTCCCAATTATCAGTCTGCATTAATGTTGTTTTCTTTAAAAGGGAAACCAAAAGCAAAAACATTAATTACTTACTTAACTACATAAAAGATACACATACAAAGGCTATCAATAGAAGCTATTTGCATATACATTATGTTTTCATTTGTTTCTATAAGTTACTAGATAATTCTGAATTAAGAGTTTAAGACATGTTGGTGGCATTCCCAAAATGTTGAAAAAAGATCTTAAAATAGACTTCAACAAAATTGAGTTTTGAGTTTAAAGACACTTTTTTTTCCCAAAATTCCAATGATGTTCCCAAAATGTTTGAATACAGGAATAGGCTTTAACATTATTGTCATCCCTTTTATCACAAATACTTATCTTTCAAATGATTTAAATTTAAACAATATTGCAAAGACAAACTGTCAAAGGCAATTTTTCTGGCATACCTGTATATTTTTTTTTTATTACAAATTTAATACAAAACCAAAATTTGTAAATATGGATAGAAATTATGTCAACCTTACCTCCTTGAGTTTGTTCAGCCTCTTAGTTTCTGGATCTATTTTATTATATGCCCCTCTCCCTCTCCAGGAGCCCCTGCCAAATCTTCCCCTACCTCTACCTCGTTTTGGTGTTGGGGTGTATGTCAGACTAACGGAGGAATCCCTACTGTCTTCTGAGAAGCTGGCAGTACTGTTAGCAGTGCTGTTAATTCCATTAGGTGTGGCAGGAGTTGATAAAGTCAGATCTTCACTCGACACTGGAGTTATGTTAGGATCAGGTGGCTCTATAAATATATAAAGAGTTGTGAAAGATTGAGCATTCTAAATTAAAATCTCAACACCACACTGTAGTGTTCATATATGCACGACTACTTTTCAACTTTTGTGAAGGTGATTGGTGATAAGAAAATTGAATGTATGTAGAAAGTCCTTTATCAATTGTATCTCCTCTAGGCTCTAAACAGACAAGTAAAATTAAGTTCTTGGCCACATCCTTGGCAACACACATGAACAAATATAAAGAAATCACCACCTTTTTCTAATCTTATCTTTTGTGCTGTTGGAGTGATAATGTCATGTTAAACATACACTTAACAAACGTTCTAACCGATCACTTTTTAAATTTTGATATTTTATAACGGGTCAATAGATCCTTATAAAATTTTGCACAGGTGATTTTTGTGTCATTTCTTACCGATTTGTGGACAGAAAAATAATTTAATACGGTTCCATGCACTCACGCGGGAGACAGGGCGCGGTTTACACATTTTGGCACAAAATGTTCGTGCAGAGCGTGGTGAGTATTAAATTTTACATTGCATAAATCCTTGTTAACTTTATAAGTGAAAAAACATAAAACATGGCACGAATGTCGATGCAGGATCGTGCCGTAGCAGTTGGAATGTTAAATGCTGGAGCCTCTATCAGACAGATGAGTGGCTGTTCATAAATATTTTTTTTAAATATCGATAAGTATTATTTAAATAGAAAATGTTATAATTTTATTATTCTCAATGTGTTGAACTTCATTCTCTTAGAAATAAAATAAAAGTCGGATCTATTGGTATTATTCTTTTTCATATATAAGCGAAAACTCAGGGTGATCGGTTAGAACTTTTGTTCAGTGTAGATTTTTGCTGGTGTTGTAAAGTGGTATTTTATAAATAGAGAGTTTTGTAAAACATGACATTATTTCATAATGATGACTGCTTTATAAACATCTTGTTGTATAGTGAGAAAAATAAAAAATCTCATTCCTTTTTCATGTAAAACAATGTATACTGGGCAGGAACCAGTTTCTGGACAGAATTCGAGTTTTTTTAATTGTCTATTTTTTAATAATAAACATGCATTAATAAAACTAACACACCAAAAACCTGAGCTCTAACTATGTCCCATAACACAATGAATACTGCCTGGTGACGTAAGCAATGTACAAACTGAAGGATTAAATTAGGTCATCAAAAGTGTAAATTGTTCACTCTTGCATAACCAGTTTCCGGACATATATTAAGCTGCTATTCAAATCTGTTATTTAAGAAATAATATATCCCAAACTGTGATTTTATCGCTCAATAACATCACTGTTTGGAGTTCGGATGCAAGGAATTATATCACGAGGGCATAGCCGGAGTGATATAATGATGCGCATCCGAAACGACAAACAGTCATGTTATCTAGCGATAAAATCACTGTTTTGGATATATTATTTCGATTCTAACATGACATCAACAAATAAATGTTGCCGTACTTGATAGTTAAGCAAAATTGCGCCTGGTTTGTTTCCGTACTTATTGTCAGCGCGTCGGATTTTATAGAGGTTATGTCACATGTATAATGATTACGTCACATGTCTAAATATAGGACGTCAAACAGTGACTCTATTGCATATTCTAACACGACCCGCATTTTTCCCTATTGAACATAGAAGAACCGAAAGTGTGTGTTATTATGCTATAAAATCACTGTTTGACGTTCTATATTTAGATATGTGACGTAATCATTATACACGTGAGGTAACAACTAAAATGTGACGCGCTGACAATAAGTACGGAAACAAATCAGCCGCAGTTAAGCTTATTATAATGCACGGCAGCATTTATTTGTTGATGTCGTGTTAGAATCGAAATAATATATCCAAATCGGTGATTTTATTACTTGATAACATCACTGTTTGTCGTTCGGATGCGCATCATTATATCACTCGGGCTACGCCCTCGTGATATAATTCCCCGCATCCGAACTCCAACAGTGATGTTATTGAGCAATAAAATCACAGTTTGGGATATATTATTTCTTAAATAACACACACTTTCGGTTCTGCTATGTTCAATAGGGAAAAATGCGGGTCGTGTTAGAATAACTGATAATTATTCTAATAAAACAAAAAAATTTCTTCTCATATATTAGCTTTCTTATATAACTAAGCTGATTTACTGAAAAATATTTATGATAGGAAAAATAACGATCACGTAATGGGTCTCGGAATGACTGAAAAGTGAAAAGGATATTTTTGTGTGTACGGCAGCAATGAAGTGCGAAAGTGGAGTAAACCTAGCTAAACACCGTTTTCAGATACGTTACAGGTTCAGCTCTGGGGATTACACCCGATGAACTTAGAATGAAGTACACTGTGCATTAATTGCTACCCCAAATTATATCCCGAAATAAACAAAATATTGCGCATGCGCAGAACAAATTACATGCCCCAAAGGGATATAAAGCTGTTTTTAAAACACTGGTAAGATATCCTCACGAAATTTTAATGATGTATCAACTTGGAAGGAAGTTTATTTTCTCAAACAATCAAACCAAGCCATTTTCATGACATATAATACCGATCGTCATCGATAAAGACAAAATTAAGCCGTTGTAATACTTGTCCGGAAACTGGTATTGTCCGGAAACTGGTTCCTGCCCAGTATACACATAGATTAGATGCTTGTTAAAAACTTCTCTCCACAATTAAAATATTACACACCAGTATAAAGTACAATGTATATGTTTTCTTTTTTTCCCTAGTAGCAAATAGTTGAAACTCAATAATTATCATATATAGAATTTGATGGTATTTGATGGGCATAATTTCCTTATAAATTTGAGCATTCCTCAATCCTGTTAAGCTGCATTATAGTGTTACTAACCATTGTAAAAGACGGAAATTTTCCATTTAAAATGCCTTTTTAAGTAAGAAAAGACCATCACTAAATAACCCATTAATGAAATTTGATGGCATTCATTGAAGTATCATTTTCTGACTTATTCATGCCAAGTTTCATTACAATCTTACAGTTGTGAGATATTGATCTAAATGTAAATAATCCTTTCAGAGTTTCTTTTATTATATTATACAAGCTGACTAACCAATTTTAAGATATGGATCCAGACAGGACATATATAATATTATGTATAGATAGTAAAAGCAACATCATTTCAATACTCTCCTTCAAGGTGTGTGTGGGGGGGGGGGGGGGGGGGGGGGGCTGGGGGCATAAACAAAAGAAAATAAGGTGATGTGTTGTAGTACTATAAGCCATTCATTACTACATGTAATAACATCACAAATTCATATCTTGTCTCCTATACATAATGCTAACAAAAGCCATGTTGACATATCCATCCCACAGCTAATGTGAATGTGTGTATGAGAGCAGAATCATTAATTTAAAGGAAAATTTAGTAATACAGGCTGATGGTTAAAGTGATAAAGATGTGTCCTGGACAAAATACAAACTTTTGGAGATTATTCATATAAAGGCTATACAGTTACAATTCTGTGTCACTGCACATCTTCCACATATCTTTATCTTGAATAATTTTGGAGTTATGCTTTGCACAAAAGTTATTTTGAAGTTTACGTAGTAAACGCGGTTTATGCAAGATCTAAATTAATTCTACTTTCGATTTGATGTTTACATCGTCGGTACTTGACCTATATCCGGTTTCTAATACCACGTGACTAAATTCAGCTCCCTTATCAACAAAGTAGGACCCGCATCAGCAGCAATACGTATGCAGCCTCTCGATTTCCAAAGCGCTCTTTGTTCACACGCACATTAATTTAGAAAAATAATTTTACACCACCATCCAACTACGCCTCTCACCTTGAAGAGCAATGCCTTCTGGTTAAGATCTTGTCAGTATGCCTCTCATGGGGACTAGGCTCGTAAGCCAATACCAAGAAAAAAGGAGGCATACTGGCTCGGACTACACCAGACTTAATGGTTTTAACATGTTTTATGTCTTATTTCCAGTTTTAGTTATATTTATCATATAATCATTCATTTGGTCTGATGTTTCTTAGCCAGTTATGCCAAAAATAAAGATTTATAAGTCTATCACTTGTTTCGTGGTTTTAATTTGATTGAATATAAATGTAAATTAAACGAGAGGTTATTTAAAAATAGACATTTCTGCCATTGCATATCCTATTGTTCTCTCTGCTTCTCTTTAAAGTTTCATGTCAATACTTTTTATAGTTTTTTTTGAGTTTTGTTTCCAACAGAAAAATGTTAAATGGGACAGACAGATTGAAGGTCAGACAAAGATTATTATTCAATCCCTAAAGCCTTTTCAGCTTGAGATAATTAAATATTATTTAATGTTAACAATAACAACTATAGCTGCCAAATGAGTGTAAATAACCCTCCCATCTATGTCAGACAATATTGTGTCAGTGCTATGTATTCTACCACGGGTGACCATGACCTAGCACCATGGGTGACCTTGACCTAGCACCATGGGTGACCTTGACCTAGCACAACGGGTGACCTTGACCTAGCACAACGGGTGACCTTGACCTAGCACCACAGGTGACTTTGACCTAGCACCACAGGTGACCTTGACCTAGCACCATGGGTGACCTTGACCTAGCACCACGGGTGACCTTGACCAAGCACCATGGGAAACCTTGACCTAGCACAAAGGTGAGACTGGTTCTGAACATGGCCTTATTATGATGAACATCTAGTCAAGTGAAATGAAATCAATATGTAGTTAGGTTAAAGTACATCTTTCAAAATACTTGGTGTACATCATAAAGGAAATCATTACAACAGAAAATGCTGCAATGTACTTGATAAAAATTTGGTTAACCACTAAAATACAGAAAATGTACAAATGGTATTTCCTCAATAAATCAACATTCATTTTATGCATATTACCATAATACGATGACTGAACTATATACTGTGTGAATTATTTGAAAGTGTAAAAACCTTGTCAAAATGTAAATGACACACTATCTGCATGGATCACAGGTGGTCTTGGACAATTACTGTAAAATAAACATTTAATGCCAAAGCCTTAAATAACTTTGCATAAATGTATCTCCATTAATTTGAAGTAAAATAAGAAACACATTGTTTCAAGAAAATATCCAAAAACTAAACTGAAAAGCATTTATAAAGACCCATGCCAAAAAATAGTCACTTACAAAATGTACAAACCTTACACATCTTAAAATTGTTGGTAAAGTTTAAATTTCCCTTACATTACAACATTGAATGTAAACGTCCGTAAGTCTGATGCTATATGACATAAATTCACGGAAATTGAGAGACATATATATTTACAATGCTTCTTTTACTCCATACCGTGCTTATATGAGCCCAGCAGGTGCTTATCAATTTCTGCTTTTGTGCTGAATGACACAACAGTCATGTTCAAAAAGGTTAAAAGCTGTGTTAAAAAAGTACCAGTAAGATTGTGTCAATAGCAATATTTCACAGATAACAAAAAATCCAGCAAAAATGGGATGAACAAGTCAAGCGATCATAAACAGTGGATAAAGTTAAAAGCAATATTAAGAGTTAGTGACATCAACCCGTTCGCAGTAAATTTTAGACTGTATAAAAATTTACTGTGCTAAGAATTTCAAGAAACATTTTTGTGCATGTCTCTATAAATAAATGGCTTGAAATCAAAAGTGTTACCTACACAGTAGTTCTGAATGAAATATTGACACATTGTCACACAACATACTTATGACATTTGAGCATGGGCTGCATTACGTTACCAGGTAGTCTTGTAATTCGTTCTGTCTAGACAAATGATATTTTGCTGCTCTTTTGCTTGCATGTACACTACGTAATAACAGATCAAATATCAGTAAAAATCTTAAAGAAACTTGTTGTGTATTTTTATTTCAAAACCATTGTTGTCCATGACTTACTGCGATTGCCCTGGTACTAGTAAGATAAAATGCAGTTTTACATATAGGATATTAAAAGAAGTGAGAGATGCACAGACTGAAACAAGCATTTCTTTACCTCTTACACCAACTAACTTCTTATCAAGTAATCCCGATCAATAAAAAAAACTTAACCTAGTAGTAGTTTGTGTATCATTCATAAGTTTGCTGAATGTATACACCAAAACTCAATGAAAACAAAAAAGCTTTATAAAACAGTAGAGTACATGTTTGTTATAAATAATAGATTACCCATTTCCCCGTCTCCATCCATATCTATAGAGCCATGTGATGGATTGAGTCTCAGATGTCGCCCCAGTCCAGCCCTTCCAATATAAGCTCTCTGACAAGTTATACATTTCCATTTCTTTGGTTTAACTGATTCAACACCTGTTGCTGAAGAGACATAAAATACATATACATCATGATATAAATGCAATAAAACATAAAGTGTAAAAACAAAACAGGCAACATATCTTACCTACTGTAAAACATTTTCCTGAAGTAAACTTTTAAAATATAAGCAAGGAAGAGAGAATTCTTCCTTCTGAATTATTTGGCTGGACAGTAGCAATATCTCTCTCTTTCTTACTGTTTTTGGGGAACAGTACAATGTACTTGTAGTAGGGGGGATTTTAACATCTTCTCCCTTGTAAGCAGAATTTCAGGCAATTTTTGCTGCACATACATACAAGTTATGTGAAAAGCAACAGCTGTCATTCGCTCTACTAAGGACTTAATAGCAAAAACAAGAATCTGGATAATGTAGGAATTAACAAAAAGAAAAATTCATTAAAAAATTAAGTCTTGGATATTGACTAAAGAATTTTTTATGCTCACAAGGGCAATATTTCATTCATACCAAGAGATACAGGCATTTGACAGCGACTTCCAATTATGATCTCAAAGACATGGATTAAGTTTCAAGTGGATATCACACGTTCAGTAGTTTTTGAAGATTTATGTTGTATGCAAACTTTAACCAAAAATCTTTTAAGTTCACAAAGGACCATAACTCTGTCAAAGTCCATGCCAAGAGTTATGGGCCTTGGATAGTGACATCTAGTCATGGACACAAAGACCTGCATTATGATTAAAGTCATCTTGTATGTAAAAACTTAGGCAAGAATTTGCTTACTTCACAAATTTTCTTACTTCACAAAGGACCACAATTCAGTCAAAATCCATATCAGAGTTACAGGCCTTAAATCCCGAAACATGTGTTAAGTTTCAAGTGAAATCCTTCAGCACTTTGGAAGATTGATGTTGCATGCAAAACTTTTACCAGGAATTTTAAAGTTCAGAAATGGCCATTATTCGGTCAAATCTGAGCTAGAGTTATTGGCCTGGGATAGTGAACTATTATGATCTTAAATAATTTATTTAAATGTGTGAAGTTTCAAGCAAATATCTTCAGTGGTTGATGACGATATGATGTTGTACAAGGCTATGCAGACAGATGCCTAGGTGAGTACAATAGCCCAACTATCTTTCAAATGAGCCGTGTCACGACAAAACACATGTTGTGTTTGCGACCAGCATGGATCCAGACCAGCCTGCGCAGTCTGATCAGGATCCATGCTGTTTGCTATCAGTTTCTCTACTTGTTATACGGTTTGTAAGCGAACAGCATGGATCCTGATCAGACTGCGCGGATGCGCAGGCTGGTCTGGATCCATGCTGGTCGCAAACCCATTATGTTGGTTTTGTCATGACGCGGCTAAAATAGTTATGCAGAAAAATGAACAAAACAGTTCTAAAAGCTTTTTTGAATACAGGTTAAACTGTAATGACATTTAGAATACAGACTGAGACAGTTAAACTAGGGCTTGATCTTCCTTGTTCATGTTTTCACTTGTTCTCTGAACTATAAATTCTGTTTTAATACTCTTAAAACATGCAAAGATTCACTTGGAATGTGAATATATCTACATTTCTTACGTAAATAAATTTTTCTTAAATTACACTTATATAAAACATATTTTCCTAATTTTGAAGTGGAACTTAAATGATAACTCATTCACTCCAATCACTGGGCAATGCTATAAAGGAACTTCACATGCATCACAAAACAATTGCTGAAATTCAAATGAAAAATACTGCAATAAGTAAAACTGTTTTATTCAAAACTATGAATTAAAGTAGCATGCCTCCAGACTCATGCCAATTTCTATTGAAATTTGAAAATGTATTCAAAAGTAAAATTTTGTGAAGTTAAGAAAGAAAATAATTTACACATTGCAAATAGCACTTACAATCCACGTAAATTAACAAACAAAAAAAGATCAATATGTGCAGAATTAGTCATGCAGCAGATATTTGGTAATGAATACTGCAAATTCAGTCATTAATCAAACACAACAAGTAAATTATTACTTGAATCATAAATCTTTTTACTTTTCTTAAAATCTCTGTACATTTTTCTGAAGTCTCATATTTTTTTAAATATTTGGCTCATCTGGAGGCATGCAGCTTTAAAGTTTCCTACATTGACATCTGATACAAAGTCAGCCAACTATTCAGTATTTATACACAGAGCATCAAGATAACATGGTATTTTGTCATTCCTAGTCTAATCAATATTTCTTTATGTTTGTTTGAAGCATTTTTGCTTATAAACAAATGTAACAAGGTAAAATAAATTGAAAGTTCAAAACTTTAAATGACAACTTCAAAGATTCTTTCCACCAACACTGAGATAAAAGCCAACCTAAAAAAAAAACATGAGCTGCATTAAAAAACTATTTCTATGTTATAATCTGGTCACATGTCATTTTTAATATACCTTGTCTTGTTTGCTCCCAAGCAAAAGAAACATAATGTTCAGCAATTGTGACAGTACTTACAGTTACACCTAGTAAATTTACACAGTAAATGTGACATTGCATAATTTAGTGTAATACTGTTAAATATGGTAAAACCAATCCAGGACTCACTGATTAAAAATCAGCAGTGTTTTATAAATTATGCAAAAATGAATTACATCAGCAAATAACAAGGGCTTTATGTCCAATGGAGCTGCATCTTATGTCACATAAATGGGTTCATTGCAGTCAATTATCAGCAGTCTATGTATTATCAACAATTTAGTTTGAAGTTCAGGACAGAGGCAAGCATTAAATTTATTGACAAGCATTGTGTGATACATACAGTAAAGATCTGTACATGTGGTAAGTAAAAAGCTCATCAAATTCAATTTCGCTTTGATGTTCAAACTCGGCGAAGCTGAGAAACTTAAGGCGACTTAAGTCACTCAAATCGCCCAGTTGCTAGAGCCCCGAATTTAATGAATACACAAACAAATATTGATCTACATGTAGCAATGTTTAATAAACCTAAATAAATAAGAGATTCTTGGTTCCAAATTGTCAATCTATGAAAGCATTTTTCCTCTTTAGCATGCATAGACCAAGTTGAAAGCATGTGATAACTGAAATGGGCCAAAACTGGATTTTCAGCTTGACTTTTGGGCTCAAATCTGAATTTATTATCTACTCAAATTTCAACACATGTTTAGTACATTTGGTATAAAGAACCTACAATACCCATTAAGTGGCAAGTGTTTTTATGACCTACTTATGATTCATGGTTTATATTACCTTCCAGAAAATAACATTTATATCATAAAGCCTATGTTCCATATTATTGTAAGTCAACATAGAACTGTCACATTTCATTACTTTCAGTTTGCATATATTTTGAACAACACTGAGTTGAGTGTCTTTTCAGACATTTAATAAATCAAACAAAAGAAAGGAAAAGTGTAAGTTTTGGCATTTTTCAACATCAATGTGACATGTCAGAAAGTATTTGAGAAGTAATATCTTCATCAGGGCTCTCGATTGACACGGGTATCTGGGTTTTGACTCGTGAAAATCAGGAATGCACACATTTGACTCGTGACAAAATCTGCACAAGAGTCATTTTGCCACATGGGAATTTTAGCTATAGATGCATCAATTATTACCTTCCATCCACTCCTAATCACCTATCAAATCCTACATATGTTAAAATCACACTCATTAAAAATGTCAACAGGCCATTTAAGTCATGTATAAAGTGCTTTACACACTGTTTATTGCCTGTGCACTGGAGTGTGACTTCACCCGATGATAATTATTTAAATTAGTCTTTGCCTTACTTTTTAAAAAAAGGTGGAAGCGCAATTTTCACCCTATAGGGTGATGAGCCGAAAGTAACAACTGTCACAGTGACAATCCACCCATAAAAAAATCTTAAGAGAGAAGTCACTACTTCCTCAGCTCAAATAAAAGAGAAGTTTGAAGGAGTCGAGCTACCGGCAGTAAATGGACACAATCTACCTATAAAAACATAGAAGCCACAACATTAAGTCAATAAACAAATAGTTACCATAGGACACAAAGTTTTCGTCATCATCTTTCCTATCTGGTTCATCTTCTCCTTCATATTTAAAATCAGAATATCCACCATCACTATCATCATAGTCTTCATCATAATCAAGCACATGAATATGCTTAAAGTCTTTCACCATGTGTTTTGGTGGTTTTGAAACTCTACCTGATCTTGTTTTAGGACGCATCTTTTTTCTCTGTTCTTTTTCTTCTTTAGTTAATTCTGGTCCTTCTATCTTATCTACTTCATCATCTTTAATCCTCTTTTTATATGTTTTTCGAGGAACAAATGACATGACAGTTTGTTGCCCAGAAGGTTTTGTGCCATCCCCTGTTCCATCCTTGTGTAATTGGGATGGATATATTACCCGATACACAATTCTTGTATTTGTCTGTGGATTAAATAAGACACTTGAACCAGTTGCAATATTTTTACCAATTTGCTGCTGTTGAACAACTTGCATTATTTGCTGCAATTGATCTGTTGACAATTGTTGAACAGGCGTATATTGATTGCCTTGCTGGATTATTCTAATTGGATTTTGACTTGACCCTAAGGGTGCTGAACTTTGTGGCAAATGTTGTTGAACAATAATTTGTGGCTGTGAATCATTTTCATTTAATGGAAGTTGGGAATTCAAGGCTGGAGCTGTGCCTTCCTCCAACGCTTCACTGTTTTCAGTAGGATATTCCATCACATCAGATTTACTTGCTTGATTAACAAAATCTGTTTCATTTATAAAATTTACGGAAGTGTCACCTACATAGCCCTCTTCTACATGAACTATATTATCTTGATTTGAAGCATCATTTATAAACTGAATACCGCTGTTTATTAAAGTTCCATCATGCAGAGCCTCAGTCTCTTCATTATATTGCATTTGGACAGCAGGCATTCCAGGGAATGCACTGCTAGCATCAGCTAAGGCATGCTGAAGCATTTCTTCATCGGTGACATCGACTCCTACCTGGTCAACAATATCACCGTCCATTTGAGCAACTTCTTCACTACTGCCATTCATTCCAACATGGGAAGTAACCTCAGATACTAGGGCACTGTTATTGTCCATGTCGGCCATATTTGTTTTGATTTTGTCCCAAGATCTATCGGTCACAGTTTCGTTGTGACTTGGGATTTAGAAGAAAAGGAAAAATCACGCTAAATATGATTATTTTTTAACACAATTTAAATAGGACTTCATTGCATCAATGCCTTTAAATGATTAAAAACAGGGTTTCATTTTAACCATTGTAAGTTCCTACAACTCTCTTTTTTTCGCCATTTTGACGATAGATGTCGCCCTTCCATATAACATGAGTTATCGTTCATTGGGTAGGTTAAGTTGCCGACGAATAACAAGAAGTTCGGAGGCGGTAAATATGAAAATGTAACATAAAACAGGCTTAGAAATATTAGAGACATATTTAAATATAGCTCTGAGGAATTATTCTAGACGTATCAGTATGAATACTCTATATTTTTTAACTTTGATGTTAGAATATGATAAGAAAACCTTATTTTACAATTGGTTTATGCTTTTCACAAGGAATCAAATCAAACTGATCAAACTGGTGAAGTGACTCATAAGATAAGTGAGGAGTGTGTGTGAGGGGGGAGGGGGAGATGAAATTGGCATTTCAGAATCCGAAAATGTATCTTCTTTGTAGCGCTAATATATACCAAATCTAAATTCAGATAAAAATGTGACAATTGAGGCATTAACACATAATATACTTTTTGAAATTATCAGTAAATCCAGAAAAAAATGTGTTACGATTTCAACTTAAATTTAAATCACACTACTGTATAGTTGAGTTATTTTGCATAAAAAACAAACATTTTTATGATAATGTATAATTAAGAGTGGCAGTAATGATTTGAGGTGATTTGTAGAATAAAATCATTACATAGCGACCAGCCTTCAGCAAAAAACTAAAATTACCAGACAATACGAGAAAGTATCTTGTTTATCTAGAGGTTGAGGGTCAGTATTCACAAAGACGAGGTGCCAGCCGAATCTGGTTTAGGTTTTGCAGCTGTTCTGAACGAGTTCTAATCCAATCACCTCTCTGGCGTGGGTTCGATCCCTGGGAGATGCTTTGGTAGTTTCGCACGGAGGAAGGTAGTCTAGTTCTGGTGTAACTCTCCAGGAACGATGGTTAGGAAACTACCCGCCTATATGACTGAAATACTGTTGGGAAAAGGCTTAAAAATGAAACAAATAAACAAACAAACAAAACCTCTTTATTTCACATTTTTACATTTTGACAGATCTTAGTTATTTCAAATACAATAATCAATTGATTTATTTTTTACCTTGAAATTCACAATGAAGCTTGATGGAGTATGATATGCATTTGCTATAGATATTTTGGACTCAAAAATTGAAAACGATAATATATGGGATGTGGTATGAATTTGATATGTATTTTTTGTACTTTGGAAATGGAAACGTGGTTAAATTGATGAGATGTGATCTAATAATAATTTCTATTGGAACATCATGTGGTTCAAGCGCTGAAAGATCTTTGGTTACATTTAATTTTCAAGGTGTGAAACATCTGAGCAATTTATTACGCTTGTTATTAGAATAACTTCAAAATTTCATGACAATATAGACAGCAAGTACGACCCTGTATTATTCCATTTTGTTTTGTTCCACCCATTGTTTTATCATTTAGGGCAGAAACGAGTTTTACTTGGGGACCATATACCGCTTTCCATGGATTGGCACTAACGTGTCACACAGAAGGTTCCAAGATCACCGCCGTATTCATGAATACATCCGCGGACCAGTAAGACAACGGAGTGATATGAATATACTCATAAATTAGAAAAAATACCAAGCCAGTGGTTGAGTAATTGATTTTTTAAGGTTAAAACTCAAATGTGTATACATATTCACAATTTTTATAACATCACGGGATGTTCATTTTAAAAAAGAAGCCTGTATAAAATTTAAAATTAAACAAGACTAATTGTTTATCTTATTTGCACTAGACTAGATATTAAAGACATACAAAATTATGGAACATGTACTTATGTCACTAAATATATAGAGAGTAGTTTGCAATAACCTTGGATTGCCATTGAAAGCCCGAAAAAAGGAGAAAAAAGAATCCCTAAAAAAAGTCCAAAACGGCAAAATTGAAAATGTTGCAGGCTCGGTTTGGTGGAGCCTGTTCATGGACGGTACGGTCAAATGCAAACTACCCTCCACGCGCCCCTTGCACCGGCTTAAGCAGAATTCAATATTTAATATGAACTGGTACAATTTTGAATTTTGAAACATCCGCAGATGTGTTAATACGGCGGTTATCATGGAACTTTCAATGTGACACAGTAGTGCCATGCCATGAAAAGCGGCGTATGGCCCCCGAGTCCTTAATTCCAACGAGGTTCTTGTACATTTACATACTAAAACTAAATAATTGTCCGTTTTAAAAGTATACTAAAATATATACTAACTCGTTACTCGTATCAATTTTACTATTATTTTATTTGCACGAGTTAAAAAGGAGTCAAAGACACGAACACTTATATCTAGCCAAACTATATCAAGTAAGTACGAGTTTCTAGACTTTTCAAGTAATACAGAGCTTTAGAAATGTCAAATCTTTGTTTTTAGTGTATGTAGGCAATTCCAGTCATTGGTTGCACTATTTAAGTAGGTTATATCATCTTGTCCATACCTTTTTGGAACTCTAAAATTGAGCTGATTCGCCCAAGTTGAATAAAATAGAAAGATATAGAATCCATTAAGAAAGTCCAAAACGGCAAAATTGAAAATGTTGCAGGTTCGGTTTGATTGAGCCTATTCAAGGACAGTACTGGAAAGTTCAAGCTACAGTCCACGCTCCTAGCACCGACTTAAGCAGTATTCAACATTTAAACATGTTATGGTAAAATTTTGAATTTAGAAACAACCGCAGATGTGTTCATACGGCGGTGATCAAGGAACCTTCAATGTGACACGTAAGTGCCAATCCATGAAAAGCGGCGTATGGTCCTCAGGTAAATAGTGCCCTAAACGAGAAAACAATGCATATGTACATCATACATATAGGGGCGTGGACAGTAGCTTGCACTTTCCAGTACTGTCCATGAACAGGCTCAATCAAACCGAGCCTGCAACATTTTCAAAGTTATCTGTTTTTTTTCGGGATTCTATTTCCCTCTTTATTAACAAGTACAAAGTTTTCTTTCAAGTATGAAGGGCACTGGTAATTAACATTTTTTAATACATGGTTCAGACGTTTTTGCTTATTTCAGTTTTCTACACTTACCAAAGACATATCATTAAGACTAACATTACTGCCACTCAATTATGAACAAGCAATCTATGTTTTTCAACAGATATGGCTTATCAATAAACATTATTTTCTGAAAGTATCTATCTTTTTTCACAAGTTTAAAGATTTTAAAAGAACATCATGCCGTTAGAATTTTTAGTTTTGCTCTTACATAATATAATTATTGCCCTTTTCTGTAACACTTATATAATTTGCATATAGCAAAATGTACCGAGTTATACCGAGACATGTTTAATTGAATCGAAAAGGGTTTACATAGCGCGTTTCCAGACCATTCTCTGTTTAGTCCTAATAAGGAAAGACAAATAATCACAGATGCATCTTTAGCAGGCGTTGCAGCAATAATTCCCTAAGAAGATAATTCGTGTGTTATACAAACATATATACTTAAATTGGCAGATGTTGAACGAATCTCTAACAGTCAACAAGTGAAAGAAAATTTAGCGTTAGTTCGATCATTAGCACATTATTCAAAGGATTTGAAAAAGACACAAGGAGCTTCAACATAGGAAACTAACCCCGCTATGACCACAAGCAAACGCTGAATATGAGCGATTTATATGAAAGTCATAGGCAAGTCAGTATGAGGCTCTCATATGCACCATATACTTAGTTAATCGGAAAGAAGACATGTTTGAAATTACAGGAACAGCAGATCTACACCACATGGGGCAACGAATGAAGCTCCTGCACAATAATTATTGTTCTACAGAAGACCTATTGGCATCAAAATCCCCAATGTACTAATATATTAAAACAAAATAAATCTAAAAAGGAGATTTATAAATGCCAGAGAAATTGACAGAATATAAAAAGAATGAAAGAATATGCAGATAAGCGAAGAAACTTTGAAAAAACAGAATATTAAATAGGCGATGTCCAGTGTGTTAGTCTCAGTATAGCAAAATAAACAAAATAAACTCAAAACTCTATATATGACCCAAACAAAGGTGCTAGTGGCATTGATTTGACCTAAAATGTGTTTCACCTTGTTATTTATGCAATAAAATATCCATATATTTAAAGAAAAATTTTATGTTATATTGTTATAAAGACTATAGACAATAGGCCTATAACAGTAAAAAATATATTTTTTAAATATATGGATATTTTATTATTAAACACAGTTAAGGTCTAATCAATGCTCTAGCACCTTTGGACCCAAACATTGAAAATAACTGATGATAAAGGCAGAGCCAAAAAACCACAACAAATCACTAGAAATTTAAGCCCCTTCACAAGATTATTGCGATATATATGTACAATGAACGAAGTCATTTTCAATGAATATTTAATTATTTTTAATCGCTTTGCGCTTTTAACGCTACTTTTCGCGTTTAAAGTACCAAATCGCAACTTTTCGGCCATTTGTCTTATGATAAAAGCCGAGTTGTTCCGATTGGTACAGTAAGTTCCGAGGATTGCCGAATTCAGAAACAAATACAACAACAACAACACGAGTAATGTTACAAAACATGAATCAGTGTAACTATCAAAAAGTTCTATTATCAACGACGTTATGGAGACCTTTAACATCCCAATTTCGTATGAAATACACGAGAATATGTATATTAACCCCAAGCCAATTGTCAACAAAAAATAATTTGTTATCATGCAGGATGACATTGAAGAGAAGTTATGAAAGTGGAACCCCTAAACCTATACCCAAAAAGTTTAGGAAAAAGCTTTTACCGTTTGAAGTTGAAGGAAGCTCCAAAGATGTTTTACTTTTTTCTTTCCACAGAAGAGACCGATTTTTTAGGAATATTGGATTTGCTGGAATTTTCTTGTGTATAGTGTTTTTGAACAGTGCAGATGTGATGTACAAGTGTCTTCGTCCTGTTGAACTTGAATCACTAGACACAGAATATCCATGGTATTACTGGTGGAGAAAAGTAGATTTTGCATCGCAACATGTACGATTAAGAGTCTCTGGTTTTGTGGCAATGTTTGGTAGGTATATTGACAATGGAATTGGTTATGACCCACAGGCAGTCTTTGTTTGGATACTAATTACTATACATGTACATGACCACTCCATTTTCTTTTGATAAATTAAATATTTATTTATTCAAAATGTTTTTAAAACATAAATTTTTTAGTTCAACAACAAAAGATAGTTGTTCTTTTAATTTCATATATAAAGACAAGGTAGAAAGAATTACAGTCAAATCGGCCCCAAGTCAGATCAGCCACAAAATAGTCAAATCGGCCCCAAGTCAAATCGGCCTCAAGTCAGATCGGCCCCATTTTATTTTTAACCAGGTTTTCAATTTTGAAAATCCTGGTTATTAGATTGGGGTATGGCGGGCGGATGGGCGGATGGGCGGCTGGGCGGATGGGCGGATGGGCGGGCGTCAAACGAAATTGTGTCCGCTCTGTAACTCTTCAACCCTTTGAAGAATTTTGATGAAACTTCAGACAAATGTTTACCACATCAAGATGACGTGCTGAACGCATGTTCCGCATGGCTGGCTCCAAGGTCAAGGTCACAGTGACATTAACATTGAAAATCCTGTCCGCTCTGTAACTCTTCAACCCTTTGAAGAATTTTTATGAAACTTCAGACAAATGTTTACCACATCAAGATGACGTGCAGAACGCATGTTCCGCATGGCTGGCTCCAAGGTCAAGGTCACAGTGACATTAACATTGAAAATCCTGTTTACATGATTTTAACTTCGGGCGTCAAACGAAATTGTGTCCGCTCTGTAACTCTTCAACCCTTTGAAGAATTTTGATGAAACTTCAGACAAATGTTTACCACATCAAGATGACGTGCAGAACGCATGTTCCGCATGGCTGGCTCCAAGGTCAAGGTCACAGTGACATTAACATTGAAAATCCTGTCCGCTCTGTAACTCTTCAACCCTTTGAAGAATTTTGATGAAACTTCAGACAAATGTTTACCACATCAAGATGACGTGCAGAACGCATGTTCCGCATGGCTGGCTCCAAGGTCAAGGTCACAGTGACATTAACATTGAAAAATCCTGTTTACATGATTTTAACTTGATTTGGCAGTCAAAGGTCATATCATCTTTGGAGGTAATTTAAAAAAGATATGATATATTATTTCATGTCTACTTTGTAACTTGTTTTTCATTATACAGAATTATCAATATAATTATAGTGAACAAATTCTTCTGTGCTGAACTCGTCCTACATTTCTCAACGGATTTTGTTCAAACTTTCACAGAAGCTTTGTCATCAAGCACCCTGGCACATATTGTCGGGGTTTTGTGATTGGATAGTTTTTGACCTAATTATGGCCCTTTGTTTTTTTCCTTATACATAATATTATAGTGAACACTTCTTCAGTGGCAATTCCTCCTACATTATTCATGTTTTACATTGCACATAGTTACATTGTTTGTTGCTTGTATTTGTATTTCAAATACAACATATTTATCTACAATGGTGATAATTGAAAACCTGGTTTCATGGCATTGCCATGTTTCTTGTTATTTTCTTAATTCATTATTCATTTTCTTATTTTTTAAATGTTGATAAAAAACAATTGTGTGGATGGGAATACCAAATGACAAACAATGGGTTACATAGAAAACAAGAACAAAACATATAATAATCAATCTAATTGATTATATTCATTTGAAACCATTTTTATCAAGAGTTTAATATATATGTTTTTTATATTTATACCAAGATTTTTTTCAATTTTGTTAATTATTATTTTATACACAGAGATGGAATCTGGGTAAGTAGAATTACTCAAAATTTTTAATTAAATGTGATTACTTCAGCTTGAAAGACGGCACAGTCTAAAACGCAAACGTCTTAAGTTGTTGGTGATATAATTTATTTTATAGTTCTTTTATAGTTTTTTAATTTAAAGAAATTAAATTTAGATTGATTAAATATATAATATATCCAGATGTGTTGGACACGTGTAACTAATAAACAGCTAATTTAAAGTGTGAACAACATGCTACCGGATTAAACGTCTCACTCTTTAATTGGATGGATATCTCTATAAATAAGTACTTTTCGGACAAAATAATCTTAACAGAACAGAACATATACTTTATTTCTGACTGGGGCATAATACCCATCATCTCAACATACATATACATGTATATTTATTATAATGCATGCACCAAGAAATCATGATATAATAAATTCAAGCAGTTATATTCACATAATTATATACCAATTTTTTTTAAAGGGACAGTTTGAGAATTTACGTTTATATATGATGGTCTTCAATTAAATATCAAATTATACATTCATATATGATATCTATATTGTCTGCGTGTATATATGTTTATGTTTTTTACATGCTATAAACATTGTATAATGTTTCAGGCAATAAAATTTGAAATTGGAAAAAGAATTGGCGTGTTCCTATATGCGACAAATCAAATTAAGTTTGAACATCACATAATTTGTACCGTCACGTTTAATCAGGTAGCACGTTGTTCACACTTAATTATCGTTAATTTCATCAATCATTCGTTAATCCAGTAGCATTGCATCTCTATTTATTATTATCAATAAACTATAATTTAAATTAAAAACTACTCTATTAAAAAATGCATTTAGAAAATTAGTAAAATACATTTTTGACTGTTGCTAAAAAATCAACCATTTTATACATAACTGATTAAATTCACTTCACGCAAAATTGTTTGTTAGTGCCCGTCTACACCTATCCAAGTCTTGAATGCAAGTATCATATTCTCTTGTATTGGATAGTGTAGACACCCTACTTGAATGAGTTTTAAAGAGAAATTATGTGACATCCAAGAAGATAATTCCTTGCAAGAAAGTTAGAACATGTTCTATTTTTCTACAAGTTTTTGGCTGTCAAGACACTGATAATACCGGTTTGACACAAAACATGTGCCCGAAGGTTTGATAGTGCTGTTATTTTTATTATTATCTGACTTTTTGTTGTGATTCAGTGTACATGTCCTTTGAATTTCAGTTAATGATTACAATGTCTTGGTCAAAGGAACAAATCAATACGCTGATACACAGAAGAGCAAAAAAATAAAAATAAATAAAAATAAATACATTGTAAAAAAATAAACAAGAGCTCTTTTTCAAGTAGAGTCAAAATGGATTTAAAATGATCTTGTTCATTTAGTGAATAAGTTTCATCAAACAAAATAAATTTTTGTCACATTTTTTCAATTTTAAAAAAGAATGAACGCATTTACTCCATTCTGTTTTAGCTAATTGCATCATTTTCCCGCTTTTTTTCACATATTTTACAGAAACATGATAGTCTTGCAAAGACAAAGGTATAAATCCTGGGCTATCTTAATGAGACATTTCAGTAAAAATTGTGCCTGAAAAAATGTTGAAAGGGCCGTTTATTTAGCTTATCTAAATGTGACATGTAAGAAACTTGAATAGGTGTAGACACGGCCTTAAAAAAGCCGAATTCAATTCATGATTATTTGAGACAATGACTGAATTGATTAAAGACACATGATAATTGTTTGTTTTTCACATAATTATTTATCTTCAAAATGTAGACCGACCTTTATATGTTCAAATATTTAATTGTTATTAAATGTAGAAATCAATCAACAACCATAGCACACCTGCATAATTACATTAATAACAATTATCACTAGCATCAAAACTGTCTCAATTTCGTAATGAATTATTTTTAATTGGAACATTTATGTTAAAGTACAATTCTCAGTAAATAACCTTGTAATTTTTGGCGAATAACATTATTTTAACCAAAATAGGATTTTTCATAAAAATAACTTTAGGGCCGATTTGACTAGTTGTGAGGCCTATTTGACTAGTTTTGGGGCCGATTTGACTAGTTTTGGGGCCGATTTGACTAGTTTTGGGGCCGATTTGACTTTTTAAAATTGTTGTGTGGCCGATTTGACTAATTTTGAGGCCGAATTGACTAATTTTGGGGCCGATCTGACTTGGGGCCGATTTGACTAGTTTTCGGTAGAAAGGTTCACCGGCGGAACTGTCACCCGGCTTTATTTCAATATTTGAAGTCACAGATCTTTGTAAATTTTCAGCCAATTTTCACCAAGTAAAGTGCAATCTACTCAGAAATGATTGATTATTCCAAAAATGTACAGTATTAGACCAGTTGGTACAAAAGATCGAATTTTAAAGCAAAAATGCACTTTTTGACTAGTTCGGACTTCACATGACCGAGCCGTTAGAAGACTTTTGAACATAAAGCGATCTTTTTCTTAATAATAAACTCATGTCAGTGCATGCAAACAGTTAAACAGAAAAGGCAGCTATATATTATCCCTTACCGGTCCAAATTTATCCAAAACGTCTGTAGGTAGGCACTTCCAGTAATATTTGCACTAACTTCTTAAATTTTTTTCCATGCATGCAAATCCTTACCAGGATATACCTAATGTATACCCCGTTTCGCATAGTGAAGATTAAGTGAAGCTGGGTAACAGCGGGAAACTAAGTTTCTAAATTTAGAAACAAGGCATGCACATTTAAATATCTTTAAAATTGTTTTAAAAAAATCTGATATAATGACTGGGAGTGAAACACAAATTGCCTCTGAAGTACAGTGAATCATTATTTTTTATATTGATAAATTGTTATGTTTGTTCTTTAGAACAAGCAAAAAAAATTAAATGTTTTCGTTTTACATACATAGATCCTATAACTCAATTTTTATTATGCCCCCACCATAAAATGGCTGGGGCATATAGTGTTACCCTGTTCAGTTATTCTGTCCTTCCGTCATCATCAGTTTCCATTCATTATCTTAGTAACGGTTGCACACATTCTACTCAAATTTGAAATATATGGATATATCATGAAAAAAACAGGTCAAGTTCAAATTTGGTCATGGTCCGATGATTTTTGGCAGAGTTATGCCCCTTGATGAAATTTTCAGTTTCAATTTATTATCTCCCCAACGATATTACACATTCAACTCAAATTTGACATATGGATATATCAATGGAATGCAC